CTCCACCAGCCCCGGAGGATAAGCCAGCATCAGCCCTGACTCGCAGGCCCCTTATCCAGAGACTGGTGCTCATGGCCCACCTCCCTTCCTTTCTTGAAGGCCCGATCTAGGCCTCTGACTAGTTTCTGTGTTAGGTGGCCCTTCCATCCCAGACCCTTCAGAGAGTGGGAGGCCTGGAGGGGAGAAATAGACACCCCAGCCTACCAGTGCTTGCTGGAACCTGCCTGACCACCCAACTCTGGGATCTTGGGGCCCTCAGAGGCCTCCATCCACTTCCTGAGCAGCTGGCCACTGAGGCAGGGAAGGGGACTGTCGTGACAAGAGGACAGTGGGGGTGGAAGAGGCTCTGTTCCACAAAGTCTTCCTGGCAGCCACTTCAAACTGAAAATCCAAGGAGAAGCAAATTTACAGCCCTCCTGAGCTGTCCCAGACCCCAGGCAACACGAAGCCCCAGCTGCTGGAGCGAGCTGTGGACCAGGGTCCCTGGGCCTTTCCTCCCTCCTCTTCTCCCGCCTCCTGTCTAAGCAACGGCTTCTTGGCGGCTTCTTGGCTCGGGAGCTCAGCCAGTGGCCCAGAAGACCTTCTGTGCTGGGAAGTGAGATGGAGGGGGTGAGGAGCATGCGGTGGGGGAGGGCTTCCTGGCCCTTGGGGAGCTGGGAAGGGAGCGAAAAGGCTGGAGAAGGGATTCCTGAAAGAAAATCAAAGAAGATCCTATGCAAAGGTCAAGATGGTTTTGGAGAAATTGAGGCAAAGCCTGCTTTCATGGCCACAAAGTACCCAGGAGAAGCAGACATGAAGGTTTCTGCCTTAAGCCAGCAGCTCTGTGGTCCAGAGGTTTAAAAGGGTTGTCGGGGTCTCCCTGGTGGCATAAGGAGTTAAGTCTCAGCTGCAGCTATCGGGAGTTCCATCCCCAGCCAGAGAGCTGACCCACATGGCGCAGCAGACCTCTCCTGTCTCGCCCACTGCTCCCCTCAGCAGTCAGTCTGCTGTTCTGCTCCCCACTCTGTCTCTGGTGAATCCTCTCACCCCCCTCACCTCTGGCCTGTACCCCAGTTCTTGTATGCATAAATAAATAAATCTTTTTTAAAAATCCAAATTTAGCAAAGTTTCCCTAATTGTTCATAGTTCAGAGAACCTGTCACTTGACCTCATAGGTACACCCTGATCTGTATGTAAGCAAGTCCTTCTGCTCATGTCCAAACCAGCAAATAATTTTAGTACCGTCATGAAGTATAAATGTTTTTGCAGCAAACAAAATTCATATATTCTGAGTTGGAAGTGACCTAGAAGGTCCTGGGAGGTGACATACCACCAGTGACAAGACATTTGGTGTTTGTCAAGGGAGCAGAGCCATACTACAGAGCTGATGGCAAGCTTTCTCCTATGTCCATAAACCCATGCAGCCATTCATTCATTCACCAGTGCTTTATCAGTTACTGGACTGGGCAATTGAAGCACTTCTTGAGGTTATCTCATCAATTTGATAACCAACTCCTCTGATCACCCTCCCTGGAGAACAAAGAATCCATCAGAAACAGGCTCTATTAAGAAATTTTTTCTTATTTCAAAAATGTGATCATTGCAAAGCTGGAAAATACAGCTAAACCAAAATACACCAATTAAAAGTACCCATAAGAGGGGCCTCCCCGGTGGCGCAGCGGTTGAGCGCTGGGTTGCGAAGCTGCCCGCAGCCTCTGCAGCGCCAGTTCGATCCCTGGCTGTTCCCCGGCCACCGGAGGAGGGTCCCACATGGCGCGCAGACCTCTCCTGCTGCCTGCTTGCTGCTCCCCTCAGCAGTGTACTTCGGTCCTTCTGCCTGCTCTGCTCCCCGCTCTGGCTCTGGTGAATTCTCTCACCCTCCCGCGCTTCTGACTGTATCCAGTGCTTGTATAAATAAATAAATAAATAAACAAATCTTAAAAAAAAAAAAAAGGTACCCATAAGATGCCTTAGGAAGAGCATCTTCATGGTCATTTTCACAGACATCCTTCTTGGTGGGATAACCTTTGCCTCACCCTCGCTCTCTGTGTATTTGGACTTGTGTACGTTGAAGAACCACATTCAATACATAATTCGAGTCCAACTTCTCCAAGAGGCTCAAGGGTTTGTGGAGCGTGCCGTTCTTCCCCACCTTCTGACCAAGTACTAGGAATTCACCTGGGACAGCATATGGGAAACTTCCTACGAGGAGGATGGGCCCATCCATACCAGTTCACGTGTTCTGAGGATCTGCCTTCTCCCCTGCCAGGTGAGCGCTACAAAACTAATAACCTTGCAGTGAGAATCAAACCCATCTTCGGTCTCCTTTCTCCATTCCCATTACGAGGATGCGAAACCGTTTCTTAGCAAAATGGTTCACACTAACAATCATAAGCCCTTGTAATTAATGGAGCCCTTACTAATATCAGGACTGCTCCAAGCACTATGCAATTTTTTTGCCTTTTTAAATCTATTTGTCCTGCTTCCTATTAGACTCTGCAGAAACAGTGGTTTATGCCTCTTTAGGTAGGACTACCGCCTAACACAGATCCCAACAACTAGCCGATGCTTAATAATGCTATGGATAAGCAAATGCCTACACCTTCCTCCATGAAAAGCACGTGAATTCTGATCTCTGAATGTGTTTTTAAAGTAGGAGCTTATTGCACACTCATTGTGGGGCTCTGAAACTATTAAGAGAGGGGAACTGCATCTGGATACACCTGCCTGCAGCCCCTTCCCCTGCCCCCCAAGCTTTGATGGAAAACACTTGAGAGCCAGTGGGAAGAAAGGGAGCAGAAGCCTACTTGGCTCCCTATAGGAGGGATGTGGCGTTTCCTGCCGGGCCCACCAGGTGTGGACTCTAGTAGATGCAGGAGCTATCCCCAGGCCCTCAGCCTCCTTATGCCCTCTTTCTTCAGTGGCAATGTCTAGGGGCTGTTTCTGCAGACCTGTCACTGAGGGAAGCCCCACTGGCAAGCAGTGAGAGAACATGGAGTAGAAACAACAAACAAATAGGCTGGGAGAGGTAGCTGCCAAAACAAACCAAATGCAAAAGGGCTGCCTGCCACCACCTCAGTTGGGTCCAGGCCAGGAGCACAGAGGCAAGAACACATACGTGCAGGGAAACACATAGTTTCATCCAGCTCCCTGATCCGCTTCACTCCGCTACTAGGGGGCTGCAGGGCAAGAGACCTTTGCAATCAAGGCTGATAGGGAAGCGGGTGGGGGTGCTGGATAGAAATGTCTCGGGCTTTGGCTCCCTCAAGTCTTCCCAACACCTCCTGCCTTCAAGCAACCCAGAGTGACCTTCCAGTCATAGAAGACACCCTGCCTGCTCATGAACCCCCTTTGTGCATTCTGATCCCCCTGCCAGATATGCCCTCTCCCCTCTTTTCTGCCTGGCAAGCTCCTATGTGTCCTTCCATATCCATTTCAAAGATGAAACCATTTTGGACTCCAACAGGAATTAGCTGTCTCCAAATTCACATTTCAGTATCATGGAGACTCTTCTTACACAGCACATTTTACTCATCCACAAAAATCTGCGAATCCATTTTCCCAGCTCAATGATGAACTCCTTGAAGGCAGGAACCACTTTATTCTTATCCTTGTATCTCATCCCAACCCAGACCCTGGTTCAGAGTAGGTACTAGGCATGTTTGGTTGTTTGAATGAGGCATTAGCTGCTCACCCAGCATTAAAATCCCTTATCAATAGAAATACTCAAACTAGAGGAAGAGGTTTCAATTAGTGAGGAGTCTGATTTTCAGAACCCCAAATCATACTGCCTTCAAGTGAACTAGAGCAAAATTCTCTTACTAACCTTTAGATCAGAGACTTTCAAACTTTTGACCTGAACCAACAGTAAAAAACTTACATCATAATCAGTGCATGAGTAGATACACACATCTGTAACTGAAAGAGCGTCAACAAAACGTTAACATTTAAATTGCACTTTTTTTTACTTGCTTTTTAAAAGGCTATGACCCAGTAAATTGATTTTAAGATCCACAAATGGGTCACCACCCACTTTGATAAACATTGCCTTAGGTGACTTGTTTGATAAACACGAGAAATCAGATCATCCCACAAATATCCAAACAAAAACGTAGGTATTACCTGTGTGCCCAGTACTTCAGGGGAGAGTTAGGCTTTCCTTCCCCACGAGAACAACCAGCCAGAAGAGACTGAAGGGCTCTGATCCATAGCTGCTGGGAACAATTTGGACCCCATACATAGGACCAGGAAATATAGCAGCCCGTCAGTCCCTGTCACAGAGCTTGACACAAAGGAGGACCCACTCTCATTCCTCCGTTCTTAAATCCTTACCTTTCCTATAACCTGGGAACTGCCACCTGAGAGCTTGATGCTTTCCCAAGCATACATATAACCAACCTAACTGCGCCTCAGCAGGCAAATTGCACCTTATCCATCCATCCTTCCTCTGAAAGAACAAAACAACTTTTAAAAAAACATTTTAAAAGGACAGATTTATTAGGGAAAGGAGAAAGAAAAAGGCACCTGCATAGTCACAGGCGGGGAGGAGAGCTGCTGAGAACAAAAAAAAAAATCTTAAAGCAAACATTGGGATTGTCAGGCTTCTGCATCGTACTAAAGTTTGGGTTGGTTTTTTGTTGTTGTTGTTTTAATGTCATACTGTCTGTAGTACAAGTCATGCTCTCAATGGAGGCAGGAAACCCTTGGGTTCCCCCTCCTGTACCTAAATACTTGTCAAGTTTCCTACTCTCCGTTTCCACAAAGAATTTACACAGGAGAGAGGCATTCAGGGGGTGGTCAGACATTAATACAACACAACGCTTTTTATTGTGAAGTACAATAAAGTTATAGACGACAAAGTTTCAGGAAGACCTGCTGCTTGCGCCCAACAGGAGACAATATTCCCCTTCTCCATTCCTTTGTCCGAGGGACAGGCTTTTCCTTATATGGCTCTGGTAAGAGGTCCGTGATAGTATTCAGTACAAAGAGAGCCACATCTGAGCTTAACTCTGGGGGGGGGGGGGTAAGGGGGGTTGGGGAGGCGGCAAAGGCAGGTGGATCTAACTTCAATTACTTGGGTGTCACCCTGAAGACACGGATGTGGATGGCTGAGTTGTTGCGGATGCGGGTCAGCGGCTCTCTTGTATCAGTCTCTGGCTCCAGCTCATCAACAAGCTCCACAGTGGAGGTATTGGCAGCCACCTGCAAGGACCCGAAACTGCCCGCCTGCAACTGCAGGGCAATGTTGATGGCACGGTTGATGGCGAGACCCAGGCCATGAATATAGATCTCAGTGCATGCGTTCTGACCCCGTGGTCCTCCGTCCAGCAGCTTCTGGCAGCGAGCCAGCTGGGCCTTAAAGTCAGTCTTCATGTTGACATAAATGTCATTGGGCCTACGGGGCAGGCGGTGGGGAAGCCGCTTCCGAAGCGTGTACTCCACAGGGTCCAGGTCAGCCTCGACGGCCCCGCGTGGCTCTCGATTTTCTGCCATGCTGCGTGCCCTGGCACGGGAAAGGGACGAGATCAGAGTACTGACAAGCGACTTCACCTCCTTTCCTATCTCGTTTTCTGCTGCAGGGTGCAGCCGGCAGGCGGCGCCCTCGACGCCCCTCTTCCTTTTCAGCCTCAATTCCCTCCCATTCGCTTCAGCTCCCGCTTTCCCGCCACCCCCAGGTCTTCGTTCCTATTCATCACTTCGCAGCCACCGAAGGCCCCTCCACCGGCCCCTTCTCTGCGCCTACTCTCTGCGGCCCGCGGTGCTGCCCTTCCACGCGCACGCGGCCCACACCGCTGCACGGACCGGTCCGAACACAGAGCGCTGTCCGCGACCCCCGGGTCCCACAAAGAGAAAATGAAAAGGATTAGCAACGGGAACGCCGGCTCGCAGGCGCCCAATTGGCGCCCGGCTCCTGAAAAGAGGGAGTGCGCACGCGCGCCGGCCACCTGGCCAGGCCGCGCGAACCGCGGACGCCTTCCGGGCCTCCGTCCTCCCCGCCCCTTCGCTGAGAGCTCGCGCACGCGCGCCAGGCTCCCCCAGTCACGCGAGGCTTCCGGAGGCGCTGGCATCTACCACGTGGACGCCTCCGAGGCGGGGCTGGGAGGCAGGGGGTGTGTTACAAACCCAAGCGCGGGGGAAGGTCTGGAAAAGGGGGGTGGTGTCAGTTTCCCTAGGCCAGTCATAAGTCCCGCCCGAAGGAGGGCCCTGCAGGGGGGCAGCATGCAAAGGACGCTTATTCTAAGTGCTTTGAGGGTTTGGAGGCAGGGAGGGGCTTGCAAAGACCAGGGAGTCCAGAAGCTGATCGCAAGGGGGCCTGAAGGCGAGTCTGTGCTTCCGCCTCCAGCAGTTTCTTTGGTCAAGGAGGTGTGGGCAAAGTTGACAGCGCCGGCTTCCCGCCCCAGGGCTCTGTTGCCCAAAGAGGGAGGCGGACTAGGCTGCAGAGTGGCGAGGAGGAGCAGTCAATGAGTGACAGAACCACTTCACAGGGACCCGTCTCTCTCCCCAGTCTCTTGCCATGCTGGGCTGAACCCCAGGGGACCCAAGCTATGAGCCATAGTGTTACAGGGCAGGGAGAGGGCAGCCCACACCCAGCAAACCTGTCTGCTCTAAATAGGTTCTGCCATCTGCTGCATCAACACAAAACATATGAGACTTTAATGGGAAGGAACTTTAATACAATTAGGAAACAATACAGGAAAGGCAAAGAATCTAGTTTCTAAATCAAGCACCCAAAGTTACCTGTCCCCTCCTGGGTCAAAGTCCACCCAAGCAGGATTGGCCCAGAGCAAGGCCCCAAAGCCTGCCACAAGTCTAAATCACCTTCCAGTGGGGACCCACACAGAAGGATCAGAAACCACCAGACACGTCTGGAAGGAAAAGAGCAAAATCAAAATCAAGACAAAAACTGCCATTGTCACCTTCCCACAGGATCTATCACCCACATCTGTGTCACCCGGTCCACGACCAAAAGGCAAGTGCAGTTTCTTCACGTGTCTCTAGGCTCCATGCGCCTCCTCCAGGTCTCCTGGCTCCATCCTGCTTCCTTCCTTCCTCAGTCTCCTCTGCAGCAGCTTCTCTCCCTGCTCAGCTTCACCCTCCCTTGGGTGAAGCAGGAAACCTGGAACCTCCCCCTTTCCTGGGGTCCACCCTGTTACAATAGGACCAGCTTCAGGACTGCCCGGGGGCACGACCCACTCTAAATCCCTCAACCATCGCTCTCTAGCGCTTTGGCAACTGCCGGGGATCTGCGAGGAGGGACGTGCGCCCCCTGGCGGGCAGGGCAAGGCGGCGCCCGGGTTGTAGCTCCGTGAGGTCAGTGGGTCTCCTCTACTTGGGCCGGGGTTCTCAGCCCAGGTTGATGCAGCTTCTTGAGAGTTGGAAATGCGTTAGACCTGCATCGGGGAGCTCCAGCTACTCGCTGCTTAAGCTTTCCCCTCCTCAAATGGGGACAATTCCTTGAGTCGTGAAACCTAGCTTATCTGTAAGCCAACATGTGAGTGGATACATTCTTAGGTCCCCAGGCCTGTCTAGTTGGCTGGGGAGGAGTCTGACCCCCTTTGACTGAGGTCTGTAAAGAGGTCAAGTTCCTGAGAATCTCCTAGTGTTTTAAACCCCATAGCTCTCCTTTTAGCTTCAGATTCATCATTCAAGATGATGGGGTGAAGAGGAAAGGCTGGCTATCACCCTATTTTGCCTTCGAAGTGACAATTGAATTGAATTTTATTCAATGAAATTGAAGAAGTCAGAAGAGTTCTTCAGGGAACCAAGGGGTATTGTGGAGACACTGAACAGTATTTCTAAGAGACTGGACGCATATAAGCTAAAATTCCACACCCAGGAAAAGATACAAGAAGAGCCAAATAAAGCCAAAGCAGAAAGATGGAAGGAAATAATAACAAAAATCAATCAAGTTGAACACAGAAAAACAATAAACTTACCCCAAAAGCTGGTTTTTTGGAAAGGGCAATAAAATTGTAAACCTACCAAGATTAAAAGATAGGACAAGAAAAAGAAGACTCAAATTATGATTATCAGAAATTAAAGCAGAGCTAGCACTAAAGAGCCCTCATACGTCAAAAGATATTGAGAATAATACAAACAATTTGACATACATAAATTTGACAACTTAGATGAAATGGACCAATTTTTAGAAAACCACAAACTACTGCTCATCCAACATGAAATAATCTGAATAGTTCTGTAACTAGTAAGGTAATTACATTCATAGTTGGGGTTTATAGTTGTTGGTTGGTTGGTTTTTTTTTTTTTTAGATTCCTATTTGGCACTTCATTTATTTTTAATTGAGGTAACATTGGTTTACAACACCATGTGACTCTGAAGTATGTGTTCACTGCTCTTCATTATTACTAAATTCGGGCCTCCCTGGTGGTGCAGGGGTTAAGACGCAACCTATGAAGCAATCCACAGCCACTGCAGCACGAGTTCGATTCCCGGCCAGCCAGGGAGCAACCCACATGGCACAGCAGACCTCTCCTGATTTCCCCACTGCTCCCCTCAGCAGTGTATTTCAGTACATCTCCCTGTTCTGTTCCCCACTCTGTCTCTGGTGAATCCTCTCCCCTCCTGCAACTCTGGCCTGTACCCCAGTTCTTATATGCATAAATAAATAAATCTTAAAAAAAAACCCAAGTATTACTAAATTCATAGTTGAAAAAACCTTCATTTAAAAGGAAATAGCTAAGCCCAGAAGGTTTCACTGAATTCTATCGAAAGAAGAAATAACAGAAAATCTATACAATCTTCCAGAAAACAGAATAGGAAGATTTCCCAACTAAGTTTATTAGTCCAAAACTAGAAAACACAAAAGAGGAAAATTATAGGCGGCTTCCTGGTGGTGCAGGGATTAAAGTCTCAGCACTATCAAGCTATTGCCAGACACTATGCATGAGTTCCATCCCTGCCAGGAGCAGCAGACCTCTCCTGACTCACCTGCTGCTCCCCTCAGCAGTGTATTTCAGTAGATCTGCTTGTTCTGCTCCCCACTCTGTCTCTAGTGAATCTTCTCACCCCCTGCTCCTCTGGCCTTCATCCCAGTTCTTATATGAATAAATGAATAAAAACCAATATTAAAAAAAGAGGAAAATTACAGATAGATATCCTCAACATTAACACTATCTAAAAAGAGTTTATTTCAAAGATGCAGAACTGATTCAATGTAAGTAGACCAATAATTCCTACCATATTAACAGGCTACAGAAGAAAACTCACAGGATCATATCAATTGATGCAGAACAACCATTTAACATAACTTGGAAGCCAATTTAGGATTAAAAGCTCAGAAAGGAAGGAATTTCCTCAATCTGATAAAGAGCATCTATAAAAAACCTTCAGATGCACTCATACTTAATGGTAAAGTTTGATCACCTTTACCTTAAAATCAAGAACAAGGCAAGGATGTCTTCTCTTCACCACTCTTATTGGAAGTCCCACCCAATGCAATAAAGAAGAAAAAAGAACAGATTGGAAAGGAAGACATAAAACTGTCTCTGTAGAAAACATGATTGTATAAATAAAAATCCCAAGGAATCTACCAAAAAACAAAAACCCTCAGAACTAGTGAGTTTATCAAGTTTGCAGGATATAAGGCCAACATAGAGAAATCAATTCTACTTCTGTATATTGGCAGAATATATAATTGGAAACTGAAATTTAAAACACAATACCATTTACAATAACTCCAGAAAGGGGGTAGAGAGGAGATACATTTAAACACAGGCCTAACAAAATATGTACAAAATCTGTTTGCTGGAAACTACAAAATGCTGAAGAAAGATCTAAATAAGTAGAGACACACCATGTCCATGTATTGAAAGGCTGAACATAGCAAAGATAGCAATTCTTTCCAGATTGATCTATAAATTTATTGCATCTCCCATGGAAATCCCAGCAAGACAATTTGTAGATATAGACAAATTTATATTAAAATTTACATGGAAAGGCAAAGAGGGCAGAATAGCTAAAGCAAAATTGAAAAAAAGAGAGTCACACTACCTGATTTTAAGACTTATATAGTAATAATCTAGACAGTAATAATAATAATCTGGCAAGGAACAGAAACAACAATCATTAAATGGAATAGAGAAGCCAGAAATAAATCCAAAGAAGTACAGTTCTTTTTGACACAGGTGCAAAAGCAATTTGATGGGGAATGTACTGTCTTTTCAGCAAATAGTGCTAAAATAATTGGACAAGTAGGCAAGGAACTAAACTTCAGCCCAAGCAAAACCTTGTACAAAATGCATGGTGGATCTACACATAAAATGTAAAACTGCAGAACTTTTAGAAGTAGAAAAAAAAACCTTCATGAAATACGGTCAGATGAAGAGTTCTTAGGTATCATCCATTAAAGAGGGGGGATAATGTGCACTTCAAAATTAAAAACTTTTGCTCTATATATCATTAAGGAAACACAAATTAAAACCATAATGAGACAACCACTACACACCCAATAGGATGTCTACAATAAAATAATCTAGATAATACTAAGTGTTGATGAGAATGCAGAGAAAGTGGACTTTTCATACACTGCTTGTGAAAATGTAAAATGATTCAGTCACTCTAAAAGTTTGGCAGTTTCTTCTAAAACTAAATATATATTTACCATAGGACCCAGCAACAGCACTCCTAAGTATTTGATAATTTATACATAAACATCCATAGCAGTTTTATTTGTAATAGCCCCAAACTGCAAACAGCCCAGGTATTTTTCAGAAGGTGAATGGTTAAACAAACTGTGGTAATATCCATGGAAAACAGCTTACTGAGAATTAAGGGCTGGCTCAGAGAGACTTGTTAGGCTATTCAATATACTGGTTACATCATACAACACTGTATTAAGCAGCTCGTACTTTAGTGTCTAGAGTTTGCATGTTCCCCCTAATTCGGCACTGGTTTTCTCCAGGAACTCTGATTTCCTCTCACATCTCAAAGATGTACATGTTCATTGGTGTGTTCAAGTGCCCCAGTGTAAGTGCACTCTGATATAAGGGTGTCCTATCCAGGGTCCTGTCCAGAGTGGGTCCCAACTTGTACCCTGAGCTGCCTGATAAGCTCCAGCCACCTGTACCTTGAACTGGAGTAAGCATATTAAAAAATAAATGAATACAAATGATTATTAAATATTAGAAGCGCTTTAGGTTTTTAGAAGTTTGGCGGTAATTTTGTGATCAGAAATATGCTGTAGAAACTTAACTCTTGTTTAGATCAATTAGCCTATCATAAAATTGGTTTCATTACAGGTCATTTCCAAGTCCATGGACCCGTATAGAAGAACAGTAAACATAACCTTGGGAGATCCAAGATTTTTCAAATGAAGCAAAGGCGAAACAGAGACAGGAATGTGTAGAATGGCGCTCTCATCCTGTACAATCCCTCCATTACCATGGAGAGGTATTCAGTGACTGAGTACTGGGAGACAGGAGAAAAGATGAGGAAACAGAGGACTCAGAAGAAGCAGTAGTGAAGTGGGAGGAAAACCACAGCCCTATGGTGTGCTAGAAGCCAGGTGAGGCAAACACCACAGAAGAATTTGCCATTAAGAAAAAGACAGAGTTTGGCTTCGCTTTCCCCTTGGTTAATCATGTAACCAAATTTCCTCATTAGTTCAGAAGCTTGCACATTTAAAACAATACAGACCAAGACATTTTACAGCATAGTGACTGAATAAACAAAAATATTTTAGGTCCAAGTGATTTCTTCAGTTGCTCTTTAATTCTGTGTGGGAGAGTCACAGTTCTGATTTAATAACTTCCTTTTTCAAAGAGAATGCTTATATGAACCAGTTTCTACAGTGCCAGTAGCAGCAAAGGCTGTATAGTTGGAGGAGGTTACTTGCCCAGGATCACAAGCAGGTACACAGGTTTGGAACTTGGGGACATATTTCAACCTTCTAGAGTCCAGTGTGCTCCTCTTGATATGCTGCATCTAGCAGGTGCTACTGTTCTATCAAAAACATCTTCATGGTAGTATTTGAAGCCATCAGCTGAAATTTTATTTCACTTCTTATGCAACTAACAATACAGATCTTCTCCTGTAAACTGGACTGTCACTATCCTTAAACTAGTGCCCATTTTTCCTAAACCTACTCAAATTCCACCCTTTCTTCTGGCTCAGCTCAAGCTGCCACTGCCTTCAGCTGCTTCCACTCCCCAGAGTCCCCTCATATCTTCTGTAGCACTTCTCCAGTATAATTTACAATCTCAAATTTGCAAACCAATAATTCTCATTCACAGCTTAGGCTGCAGGTAACTTCAACCACTCAGAACACAATCTAGAAAAGTCAAAAAACAAAAAGTAACAACAAAAACTTTTGTGCAAGAAGAAACAATTGTCATCTGTTCATGAGCTTTACTGTAGAAGAGTTCTGACCCAAGATTGAATTCTCTTGATACTCCTTCAAAACATTAAGTCTGAATATTTCCTTTTGTAGACTCTGGTGAGCCCCCAGCCCTTATTAGCTAACATTTGTAGAGTGTTTGCCCTATGCCAAGTATAGCGTTAATTGCCAGAGAGGCAGGAGTTCAATTTGCTCAAGGTTAGAGTCAGTAATGAGTGAATGGAACCAGCATAGGAGCCCTCCCAATAAAAGACCATATTTTCCAGTGGTGAACAAGCAGCTTGGCTGACAACACCGAAGCAGGAATCCTGACTGCAAGAAAGTCAAGGAACTGGAAAAAGCAGACACTAAAACTGTAAGGGAATAGAGGGGGGTGGGGTGGGAGGGCTCAGTGCAAGAACAAAGGCCTTGGCACAGCTCCTGGGGTCTCAGGCTCAGTTAAGACACAACACTGCAGACTCAAGTTCCAATTGGAACATAGCCTTCCTTGTTTTGAGGATTACTTTGTGTTTGATAATAGATGTTTTACGAAGCTGGATGGACAGTATACACTCTGGAATGACTTCCCCATCCCACCCCCAAAATTGATGAAAACACACAAAACTTTTCATCCTAAGAAGTACAGGGGGACTTTAGAACTTCATTTCGGAAAAATTTTTAACCAAAGGAGAGGTCAATCTACATCTCATATTTGCATGATAGTTTCTCTCTTCTCCAAACCTTTCACATTCACCAATTTAAATTTTTTCAGCACTCCAAGACGGGAGAGGCGCGGGGGCGGTGGATGGGGTGGAGACCAGCATTAACACCTCACTGTAAAAGAAACTGACGCCCAGAAGCATCAACTCCCGTCGCTCCCGGCCCCCAGCCGACCCCTTCACCCGCCCTTCCGTCTAAGAGTTAATCGGTGGCGGAACCCGGAGAAAACTCCGTCTCACCAGCCAGTGCTCGCTGGGCCTGTTTATACATCATTAGGGTCCACTTATTTCAGCATGCCCCAGGATGTGTGATGACCACCTCCGAATTGTGCCTCGTCTCCTTCAATCCAAGCGGGCTTCCCGGAGGAAGCCGACTGCCCAGGAGACACCGGTGTAGCCACCAGCAGCGGCCTCCTTGGCGATGGTCGAGTGTCACGTGCCCGGGGACAGCGCTGGGGACACCCTGGGGACTCCCCCCCAACCGCAGCGGGCCCCGCGTCACGTGACCAGCGGGGCTCCCGGGTCACGTGCTGGGGCGGCGCGGGGGGGTGACGGGGACAGCGGGCGACCCAGCCGCGCCCGCTGGGCACACGGGGAGCGCGCGAGGCTGTGCGGGTCGGAGCCGGCCAGGGCCGCGGAGGGAGGCGGCGGCGGCGGCGGAGGGGGCGGCCCCGCGGCCCCGCGTCCGCATCACGTGGTACGAGGCGGGCAGCCATCTTGCTACAAACACAAACAGAGAGGAGCGGCCGCCGCGGGAGCGCCAGCGCCCCCTCTCCCGCCGCCGCCGCCGCCCCCCGGCCCGCCGCGCGCCGCCCGCTGCCGCCGCGCGTCGCTAACGCCCGGGACCGGAGCCTCGCGTCGCCCGCCCGCCGCGGTAAGCGCTCGGCGGCCCCGCGGACCCCGGCCCGCAGCCGGGCCCGGGGCAGGCCCGCCCCCGACGCTGAGGCGGCCGCGCCGAGCCTGCAGGAGCCGGAGCCGGAGCGCCGGCCGCCGGCACGGACCCTCCCCCGTCTCCGCCCGAGGCCGCCGCAGCTGCCGCCGCCGCCCGGTGCGTCCGCCCCCCGGCTCCTCCCCGCCGGACCCTCCCCCGGCGCGAGCCCAGCCTCGGCGCGGCCCGGCGGGGGGCCGGCTCGCTCGTGGGGGGCGGCCGCCCTTGCCCCACGCACCTGGCGCCCCCTCCCTGAAGGGCACGCCGTCCTCCCGGGCCGGCCCGCCTCCTTCCCGCCCCCGCGCTCCTAACGGTCGCCCCTCCGGCCCCCGAGAATCCTTGCTCAGGCCGGCTGCTCCCACCTTACCGCCCGCGTCCTCCGCGGGCCCGCCCGAGGGCCCCCGACCCCAGCGCCCTCCCTCGCGGGAGCTTTCCGCGCCGCGCCTCCGGGCTCCTAACGCAGTTCGCTGGGCCCTGCGGGGCTTAAAATCCGAGCGTTCCATGACTTTGGCTCACAGGAGGGCCCTTCTCCATAACCGCAGCGCTTAGACCGGGTCTTCACCTCAGTCTCCTTTCAGCGACCGACATTAGTGCTTGGTCATTGGGGTCTCCTTGCTCCCGAGTACCCCGCGGCCGGGGTCAACGCTAAAGTCTCTCCTGTCGCCTGGCCGGGCCCTTCCCAGCCCCTCTCCCCTATGCAGCAGTTCTCGGGCCACGGCCCTTCACATTTTGCCTTTTTTTCAAGTTAACTTCAAAGACACTCTCACCGCCAACCTCTCAACCCGTGGTAGCTAGAATTCCCAGTAAGCTTCCCGGTCTGGTCCGTCCATCCCAGCACCCGGCCCCGGGAAATGCTAAATAAATACTTGTGGGCCGGTTCTTTCCTCCACCCACCCGTCTTGCTTCTTTCTTGCTTCTCTGAGTGCTGCTTTCCTAGAGCTCCTTAGCCTCCACACACCCTCTCCACTGCCCCTCCAGCTGATATGCCAGTTGCACCTTGGTCCCCCATCCCATACTGCTGCAGCTAAGACAGCACTGGATGCCCCAGGGCCGTCCCCTTCACCTCTCTGCTGCTTGCAGTATGGGCCTTTGCTCCCTGGCTCCTTCATCTGCACCGTGCCACCCATCTCCACTTTCATGTTAGATTGTGGGTCTTGTTCTCCTGTAGCCTGTCGCGTAATTGGGTTTGGGGCGTATCTGGACTTTGTGTTGCTATCCTGGTGGGATTCGGGGGCCTCAAGGATCTCACATGATGATTACCTGCAAGTGAATGGTGTTCCTACACCTTTAACCTGGCATTTTCAGGCCGTGGATGCGTTAGTATTGTGTGTAATTTGATGGACAAAAAGACACCAGTTTGTTCTCACTTAGGTCTGTGGTTAGCGTTCAGGATAGAAAGCTGAGAAGGTGGAGAGAAGAGGTGGCCACGTGAAGGATTTAAAAAATTGCAGTGAGAAATTTAAAATGGTTTAAAACTCACAAAATACCCTTGAGAATTTGGAGTGGTTACTGCTGGTGGTGTGCCCTTCTCCATTCTCCGAGTTTAGAAACATTGGGGTACCCTGTCTGGTACCCCAATACTTACCTCCCTTGTTTTCTCTAGCTGGAACCAAGACTGGGCAAGTGGGCAGAAGGGATCAAGTGAGGTAAAGTGGGAAAATTCTTTGAAAACTATTAACCAGTAGATAAATGTCAAGTGGCATTATTTGTCCTGATGCCTCAGAGTAAGGAGTTGGAGAAACTGACCAGCCAGGAGGAACACAGGCTTGCATCTCTTTTCAAGCCTGGAGTTCTCATCCTACCACATATGGAGAATCTTCCCATGCTGAGAAAGGATGGAGTCACCTCCAACAGGCGTGGAACTGGGCAATTACTCAAATAGGGAGTTTGGGATTCTGCTTCTGTTAATAGAGGTACCTTTTGATGCCAAGGCACATTGCACTGGATTGAGGCTAATTTTAGGGGTGATGGAATTAGGAAATAATGTTTTGAACTGAGTGTGTACTAGGACTACCTCTTTGGATCTTTTCCTTCACCCAAGTATTCTGAACCCCAGAGAACAAGCTTCCCTCCTGGTCCCTTCAAGCCTGTTGTAATCTCCCAGAACCAATGTGTCCTCTCCCCCTAGCTCCAGCAGGGGGCAATCTTTTAATATCACTTCAGATTCCAAAGGAGTGAGGGTATTCTGTGGCATGAAAAAGAGATGATGGGGCTGGGAGAGATGAGGCAGAAGGTACTCAGGGCAGGGCGTGGGGAGTGGGAGGTCAGCTGGAATGAGCCTTGAGAAGGAAACCGTTGGATCCTGTTGCCAGAATGCCAAGTGCCCTTGGAGAGCCCTGTCACCTCCTGTTTTGAACTGGAGGCTTCTGGGTGTCATGTGGGAAAGAAACGCACGTGTTCAGAGGAGTGGGAACTGCAGGCAGCATGCATGCGGCTTGGTGGTACTGCCTTTAGTCCGAGGAAGGGCAGGGCAGCCACCAGCTTCTGGGGCCAGGTTATCCTCTGACTGGACCCAGAGTTTTGACCTTTTTCTCCATCTGTTCCCTAAGGCAGGTGATGACCTGGGCCTTCTCTTGTACTTTCCTCCTCCTCTCCCTGACTCCCTCTCCCTTGCCTTTGCAGTTTCCCTGCTTCTCACTGGAGTCACTTTCCCTGGGTTTACTCCTTATAACCAGGACAGACCAGTGAAGACCAGAAGTGGACAGCAGCAAGGAGAGCTGCCTTTGCCCTTCCCTGGAAGGGTGGGAGGGTGAGTTCTCCCCTCCCCACAACAGCCCTCCCAGGCCTGCCGTACTCTCCTGTTTCCCAAAAGACAGGGCTTCTTCTGGAGCAGACTGGAGGAAGCCCGGAACAGCCTCTCCTGAGGCTTGTTTGAAGGAATGCAGGGTGTTTTTTGTGGAGTGGAGGGAGGACTTTGGTATATGATAGCTATCCTTGATGGGCTTTTTCCTTAGAACTTTTTCTTTATAATTGTGATAAAATATATACACAGCATATACTATTTTGATATTGCTAGTGCACAGTTCTGCAGTGTTAAATACACTCACACCGTTGTGCCACCATGACCACCGACCCTTCCCAGAACTTTCATCTGCCCCAACTGAAACTCCGCCCATTGAAAACCAACTCCCCACCCTCCAGCTCTGACACCCACCATTCTGCTCTTCTGTCTCTCTGAATTTGGCTCCTCTGGTATCTTCTGTGAGGAGGAATCAATATTTGTCCTTTTGAGACTTGTTTTACCAGCATAATATCTTCAAGATTCTTCATCCATTGACCAAATTACAGAAGGCTTGTTCTATGGAGAGAATTAACCTTACTCTACTATCTTGGGAGGCCTCCTTGAAGTCAGTGAGAGGAGGAACTTTGCAACCGGCCTGTCTCCTAATGGCCTGTGTGTTGCAGCATTGTCTGTCACTGGAAATGTCCAGCTGAGAATGTTATAGAAGAGAGGGCCCTGCCCAGGGAGGTCAGCCCCACTCTAGATGGTCTCAAAAGATGTGTTTTGCCCTAGGATCCTGGTATTCTGGGAGAGGGTCCTGTTATGGAGTTTTGCTTCACCTTCCGGTCTACAGCTGTAGGTGAGAGCCTCTTCCCTTGGCTCCTCTAGTAGAAACCCTTCTTCCTCCTTCCTTCCCAGAGTTGTGGAGACTTGGAGTTGATGGGAACTGTAGAGGCGTTCCGGTCCAGCCTCCCCCCCAGCCAGTGAGGGAAGCCCCTGTGCAACTCCCCGCAACCTTGCTCGGATCCACCAGGGATGAGCCGCCTCCTGAGAATCCCCTCTGCTCTTCCTTAGAGGGACAGATCACTGCCACTGCCGCCGCTGCTCTGTCAGCCTCGTAACTCTGACCTTACTTCTACTTTATGGTGAGGGGACCTAGCTTGTAGCCTAGGAACCTGATTGCTTTCTTGGCTCTTTTATTTACGGTCAGGTTCTTCCTGATCCTGGGGAAGGAGCCTGGGTGTTGAATCCTGTTTGGTAAACCAGCCCTTGGGTGCACTGACCCAAACTTGTCTGCCTGCAGCCTTCACAGTTCTTCACCTCTGTCCATGGAGTAGCCTCCCTGCTCCCCATGTTTTGGCTTGCTCACCAGACTGAGTACCTTGAGTCTAGCTGCTAAGCAGCCCGCCCTAAGATTTTTCGGGAGGGAAGTAATTTTGCTCCCAGATTAATTTCTAATCCTTCTCTCTATAACTGGCCTTTTTTCTGTAGGATACTTGTGGTTCCACTGGTTTTTATTTGCTTGTGTTTCTGTTTTACCTTTGTCCTGATCATCTGTGCATATCTCACTTCCCTCACCTCTGTCACACAGTGAGCATGCAGAGGCCTGGAGCAGGTGCCTGGCGTATTCTCTGAGGCATTGCCCACATCTGGTCAGGCTCTGCTGAATGAGTTTACTGCTCAAGAGGCCAGGCGTGTAGGGACAGAGATGAGGAACAGGGGCTATGGTCTCCTGTGCTGGCTAACCTTCATCCTCCAGGCAGCATTGGGCCTCTCAGTTCTGCAGGACAGAGGAGGGCTGGAGATAAGGAGGCCTGTCTGACCCTTGAATTTCACCCCACCCTCTTATCCTCACCTCTCCTTAAGGATTTTTCCCCAATGTGAAGGCCCTTCCCCAGGCACCATTGTGGTCACACCAGCGTCCAGTGGCTTGGGGACCCTGGTTCATTCTAGCATAGGCCCCTGCCAGAAGAGTGCCTGCCTCGCCCACCCTGCTTCTCCAGGCAAGGCTGCCAGGTGAGTCTGGAGTGGAGGGGGCATCCCCTGCAGAAGCTGGAAGGGGCCCTAGCTGCCCTGTTTTCTTCCCCTCCCCAGGTCTCCTCTCATCAACACTCCTTTTTGGTTAACTCATGGTGGGAGTGGCCACGTGGCTGGCTTAGGTGAGTCCTTTTAGAGCCCATTACTGTGCCTGCCAAACTGGGCGCTGTTCCTCCTCCTCTTGAGGTTCTCTGGGTGTGCTGTCTCCGAGGCCCAGTGGCCTTGTGCCTCCACAGGTGTTTGGAGAGTGAACGCCAGGTGCCCCTCCTCTGCTCATTCCTTCTGACCTCTAGGATAGATCCAGGTCCGCAATGGCAGCAGAGACCCTCAACTTTGGGCCTGAGTGGTAAGTCAGATGCACTTTGGGTGGCTTGGAAAAGCTGGGAAGAATAGGGCCTCTCAGGCTTCTGTCTCTCTTCATCCCTGATCTCCCTTTTCTAGGCTGAGGGCCCTTTCCAGTGGTGGCAGCGTGGCCTCCCCACCCCCTTCTCCTGCCATGCCCAAATACAAGCTGGCTGACTACCGCTATGGGCGAGAAGAGATGCTGGCTCTTTATGTCAAGGAGAACAAGGTGGGGCAGGTGTGCTGGGGTGTATGGCCCAGTCTCCTTTTGGCCTCAGCCGGTTAAGGGAACCAGGAGCATGTGGTAGCTTGGCCCTCCTGCCTCTTGACAGGTCCCTGATGAGCTGCAGGACAAGGAGTTTGCCGCGGTACTACAGGAGGAACCACTGCAGCCCTTGGCACTGGAACCCCTAACAGAGGAGGAGCAGGTGGGGCCAGGCCAGGCAGCTGCAGTGGGGATGCTGGGTCGCCACTTTGTGGGGGAGGAGCTGAAGTTGGGAAGGTTCTGATAGAGGTTGGGGGGTGGATAGGGTGGGGTACCTGGGTCCTCACACCTACCCCTGGCTCCCTCCTCAGAGAAACTTCTCCCTGTCAGTGAACAGTGTGGCCGTGCTGAGGCTGATGGGGAAAGGGGCTGGCCCCCCCCTTGGAGGTGGAACCTCCCGTGGCAGGGGCAGCACTCGGAGCCGAGGTAGAGGGGGTTATGGCGGGTTCTGGGAATGGGCAAAGTGGGGCCATGGTCTTGAGGGTGCAGAAAGGAACCGGCAGGTTTCCCAAGTACATTTATCCCATTTTTAGGCCGCGGCCGCGGCGACAGTTCCTTTTACCAAAGAAGCATTGAAGAAGGAGATGGGACCTTTGGACGAAACCCCCGAGAGATCCAGCGCAGCCAGAGTTGGGATGACAGGTGTGGGCCAAAGGAGGTGGCGCAGAGGCAGAGCAGGGCCCTGTGATGGGAGGCTTGGGCCTTGTCATTGTTAGATACTAACTGGAGACTGACCCCTGAATAAACCCTGGTCCAAAAATTCTGTGCTTCCAACCCCTGCGGTTCTGCCCTTTCCTTCTTGATACCTGTCTGTTGTGACCTGTTCTGCCTGTCTCCTTGGCATCCCTTCCCAGGCCTGACTTCCCCCTAGTTCTCCCCAGTCCCACCTCTCCCCACCACTCTTAGATCAGAACGGACAAGGTCTGTAGGGATGCGGTCAGTTGAGGAGGGGAAACTGCCCTCTGATCAACCCCTTTCCCTCCTGCAGAGGCGAGAGGCGGTTTGAGAAGTCAGCAAGGAGGGAAGGAGGTATGAAGAGTGGTGAAGGTGGTGGCCACAGCCTGGGGGTCGTTGAGATGGGGGTAGGACTTAAATGGGTGACCCTGGTTAGGGGCTTGTTTGCTGGGGAGGAGGGGGTGAGTGCTACAGGGCCCAGAGCTGGACGACTCTTTTGCCAGCAGGGTTTATAGTAAGAGTCTTCTAGGGTCTGTGGCTGCCATTCTGCTGACTCTGTCTTCCCCCACCCCAAGCACGCTCCGGGTTTGAGGAGGGAGGGGCTGGCTCAAGGAAGGAACATGCCCGCTCAGATAGCGAGAACTGGCGTTCTCTCCGAGAGGAGCAAGAGGAAGAAGAGGAGGGCAGCTGGAGACTTGGGGCAGGACCCCGACGAGATGGCGACCGCTGGCGCTCAGCTAGCCCTGGTGAGGTTGGGGGCACGTGGGCTTTGTGGGGGATGGCGGTAACACGACCTTCCCCCAAGGGTGGGCTCCCGTGACCAAGTGGAGAGGCAGACAGCTTTCTGGTGGGTTAGGGTGGGCGAGAGAGTAGTCCTGGAAGTGACATTTCCAGGGGTTCCTGTGGGCAGCAGAAGAGTGGAGACTGGCGTGACAGGGATACTGATTCTCCTCCTCCAACTTTTCCTGCCTAGATGGCGGCCCCCGCTCTGCTGGCTGGCGGGAACATGGGGACCGGCGTCGCAAATTTGAATTTGATTTGCGAGGGGATCGAGGAGGGTGTGGTGAAGAGGAGGGGCGAGGTGGGGGAGGCAGCTCTCACCTCCGGAGGTGCCGAGGGCCTGACGGTTTTGAGGATGACAAAGATGGGCTCCCGGAGTGGTGCCTGGACGATGAGGATGAAGAAATGGGCACCTTTGATGCCTCTGGGGCCTTCTTGCCTCTCAAGGTATCTGTGAGGAATCAAGGGGGAAGTTCTGTTGGAGGTTGGCGGGAAAATACCCTGATTGAGTCCTCTTGCTCCCCCCTCTCCTCACCTCCCCCCACCTCCTGTTGCATACCTTAATCTCATGTAGAAGGGTCCCAAGGAACCCATACCTGAGGAGCAGGAGCTGGACTTCCAGGGTCTGGAGGAAGAGGAAGAGGAGCCTTGCGAAGGGCTGGATGAGGAGGGGTCTGAAGCAGGTGAGACTGCAGGGAGATCCAAGGAAGTCGAGCACTTAATGTTGGGCCAGGCAGACAGAGGGGCCCTTTCCAGTCTGCTTAGAGATTCAAGAGAAGCCAGTGCGCACGGATTTGGAGAGAGGCTCCCGACCAGTAAAGCTGTATTACAAAAGCAAAGTGCTAGAGAAAGATCAATCCTTCAGACATGCCAGAACAGAGGATTGGCTCTTTGGTGACGTAGACAGCGTGCACAGGCAACCAAAATTGTAGGGCAAAAGAGTTAGGAGTGCAGAGAAATTGTGGTGCCAACATGTGGTGTTAGCAGAGGGGCCGGAGTTAAGTGGTAAGTTCAGTATTCAGAGGCTCAGGTTCTGGTCACAAACAGCATTTGTGCAAAATCATTTTTAAAGCTTTCCAACTGTGGGCCTCCCGGGGGGCCTAGGGTTTAAGTCTCAGCACTATCACCACCATGGCCTGAGTTCACTCCCTGGCCAGAGAGCTGACCCACATAGGGCACAGAAAACTTCTCCTGTCTCGCCCGCTGCTCCCCTCAGCAGTGCATTTTAGTATGTCTGCCAGTTCTGCTCCCCACTGTCTCTGGCCTGCACCCCAATTCTTCTCTAAAAATATTTTTCACAAAGAAATAAAACTTTCTAACTCCTTGGTTTTCAATTCTGCTAATCCCGCCTCTCCTGCAGGTGGGAAGGAGCTGGCCCCACTGCCGCCTCAGGAGGAGAAGTCCGGCTCCCCCTCCCCGTTGCCCACCTTGGGCCCGCTCTGGGGAGCCAATGGGGAAGGTGCTGATGCTTTGGAGAAAGACCTGCCAGCAAATGAAGGTAGCCAGAGGGTGGTGAAGAGAAGGATCCCCTTACGAGAAGGGGGCATGCAGGCGGGGAAGAGCTAGCTTTAGAGCCATTTTTCTGGAATGAGGGTAGATGGGGGACTCTGTCCCCTTCTCCAGACTGCCTGGTTCACCACCTTTCCTTTACTCCTAGGAGATGATGTGAGGGGAATGCAGCTGAGTCCCGGGGTAGGCTCACCCCCTGGCCCACCTGGAGATATGGAAGATGATGAAGGCTTAAAGCACCTGCAGCAGGTGCGGGGTGCCAAGGAAGCTCTAGGAATCTTACCCTGTCAGGGGACAGAAAAGCACTATTTCATATGTCCCTGCCAATCCCCCCCTGTCTGTGACCTGAACCTACCCCAACCTGATGTTGCTGTGGTTCAGAGATTGAGCCTTGCGTCTCTCCCTGGGCTCTCAGGAGGCAGAGAAGCTGGTGGCCTCCCTGCAGGACAGCTCCCTGGAGGAAGAGCAGTTCACAGCTGCCATGCAGGCCCAGGGCCTGCGCCACTCTGCAGCTGCCACTGCCCTCCCCCTCAGCCATGGTGCAGCCCGGAAGTGGTTCTACAAGGATCCACAGGGGGAGATCCAAGGTGACTGTGAAGAGTGGGTGGCATTGGGACACCTCCATTCTCGTTCAGAGTTCCTCTCTGACTGCAGTCTCCCCCTGTTGGGTCAGGCCCCTTCACCACACAGGAGATGGCAGAGTGGTTCCAGGCGGGCTATTTCTCCATGACCCTACTGGTGAAGCGGGGCTGTGATGAAGGCTTCCAGCCCTTGGGTGAGGTGATCAAGATGTGGGGTCGTGTGCCCTTTGCCCCAGGGCCCTCACCACCCCCACTGCTGGTGAGCATACCCCCTTTTTTTGAGGAACAGGGAGGGGTGGCGGGCACTTGGCAGGGGGCAGCAGGTGGTGCAGAGTAAGACAAGGTCAAAGCTGTGGGATTGCTGTCACCCTCACTCAGGGAAACATGGACCAGGAACGGCTAAAGAAGCAGCAGGAGCTAGCAGCAGCTGCTTTGTACCAGCAACTGCAGCACCAGCAGTTTCTTCAGCTGGTCAACAGGTAACAGGGGACTTGAGGGACTTGTAAGTAAGTCAGATCCTGGCCTTCTGGCTGGCCCCTCCCAATGCCTTTCTCCACAGCCGCCAGCTCCCGCAGTGTGCACTCCGGGAAAAGGCGGCCCTAGGGGACCTGACACCACCGCAGCAGCAGCAGCTCACGGCTTTCCTGCAGCAGCTCCAAGCTCTCAAACCCCCCAGGTCTGTGGGCTGCTCCGTCTGTCACAGGTTTCACTTGGCTGCATGTGTGTACAAGCCTCAGGATGTGTGAAGGGAAAATGGGGGCAGGCCAGAAAAGGATTTAGGTTGCTGAGAATCAATGCTTTGCTCCTCAGAGGTGGGGACCAGAACCTGCTCCCCACGATGAACCGCTCCTTGTCGGTGCCAGATTCAAGCCCCCTCTGGGACATACATACCTCAGCCTCATCACAGTCAGGTGTGTGCCACCACTTGTCTTGAGTCCCAGTGCCCCCAGCCCTGTCTCAGCCATTCCTTGTGCCTTCCCTGGTAGTCTGGGTGAGTCGGGAGCTATATCTGCTCCTCTCATGCTCCTCCAGCCCAGGGGCCTGAGCTTCCTCCTGCAGCTGCCTTTGCCTCCTGCAGGCGGTGAGGCCAGTCTTTGGGACATACCAATTAATTCTTCGACTCAGGGTCCAATTCTAGAACAACTCCAGCTGCAACACAAAGTGAGTTTAGATCCCTGAGTGTCAAGGGCCAGACTGAGGTGGGGCACACCAGGTGTGCCCACATCTGAGGTCTGATCCCATTGGCAATGTCAGTTTCAAGAGCGCAGAGAAGTGGAGCTCAGGGCGAAGCGGGAGGAGGAAGAGCGCAAGCGCCGGGAGGAGAAGCGTCGCCAGCAGCAGGAGGAGCAGAAGCGGCGACAGGAAGAAGAGGAGTTGTTTCGTCGCAAGCAGGTGGGTGCCCAGCAGAGCCCCAGGCTGGCGTGGGGGCCCCTGTTGCCTGCTCTCATCATGTCTCTTGGCTCAGGTGCGGCAGCAAGAGCTCCTGCTAAAGCTGCTGCAGCAGCAGCAGGCAGTTGCTGCTGTTCCTGTGCCCCCTGCGCCCAGCTCTCCGCCCCCACTGTGGGCTGGCCTCGCCAAACAAGGCCTCTCCATGAAGACACTGCTTGAGCTGCAGTTGGAGGGTGAGCGGCAGCTGCATAAGCAGGCCCCACCTCGGGAGCCAACCCGGGCCCAGGCCCCCAACCACCGAGTGGTGAGTAGGATGGGCCCCTTCCCATTTGATGAGCACCTTTTAGGTCTTTGGGAACTCTTTCCAGTTAGCATTCAGGGTGATTGGGGGTAGGGCCATCATTGAGCCCAGACTTTCTAGCTGGTCCATACCTGACCCTAAAGGATTTCTCGTATGTGTGGCACCCTCTGCTACCTAAATGAGCCTCTCCACTTAGCTCTTCTCTTGGGTGTATGGGTATCCCTATTTGGACCACCACCCTAACTTCCTGCCATCTATAGCAGCTTGGGGGCCTGGGTACTGCCCCTCTGAACCAGTGGGTATCTGAGGCCGGGCCGCTGTGGGGCGGGCCTGACAAGAGTGGGGGCAGCAGCAGCAGCCTGGGGCTCTGGGAGGACACCCTCAAGAGTGGCGGGAGCCTGGCTCGCAGCCTGGGCCTGAAGAACAGCCGGAGCAGCCCCTCTCTCAGGTAGGTGCCAGGCCTTCAGGGTCTGGGCTAGGCTGGGGTGGAAGGATGTGGACTCCTGAGCTGATTTTGCCTCTGATGCACCCCCATTCCCACCCCAGTGACTCGTATAGCCACCTGTCAGGTCGGCCTGTGCGCAAAAAGACAGAGGAGGAAGAGAAGCTGCTGAAGCTGCTACAGGGCATCCCCAGGCCCCAGGACGGCTTCACTCAGTGGTGTGAGCAGATGCTGCACACCCTGAGCACCACGGGCAGCCTGGATGGTACAGGCGGCAGAACCTGGGCGCTGGGCTGGGCCAAAGGTTCCCGATCTGCCCTGACAGCCCCCACCTCACCCCATAGTGCCCATGGCTGTGGCGATCCTCAAGGAGGTAGAATCCCCCTACGATGTCCATGATTATATCCGTTCTTGCCTGGGGGACACGCTGGAAGCCAAAGAATTTGCCAAACAATTCCTGGAGCGGAGGGCCAAGCAGAAAGCTAGCCAGCAACGGCAGCAGCAGCAGGTAGGGTTTCCCAGAGCCCTGGCAGGTGGGAGGAGGTGGCCCAGCACCCTGCTGACTCCCCTCCTCCTCTGTTGCCTTGCAGGAGGCTTGGCTGAGCAGTGGTTCCCTGCAGACAGCCTTTCAGACCAACCACAGCACCAAACTCGGCCCTGGGGAGGGCAGCAAGGCCAAGAGGCGGGCGCTAATGCTGCACTCAGACCCCAGCATCTTGGGTAGGTTGGGGAGGGGAGCCAAGAAGGTGGGGCCAGAGCCCGGGTGAGAGAGCTTAAACCCAGCTTCTCCCGGCTTCAGGGTACTCCCTGCACGGACCTTCTGGTGAGATCGAGAGCGTGGATGACTACTGACCAGCCCGTCCCACCAGCCCCCAGGCTGTAGGCCAGGGGCGGCAGCAGCAGCAGCAGCAGCGGCGGCTTGGACCCTTGGGTCCCCGACCTGCCAGCTCCCCAGAAGGAGCATAGGAGGAAGCAGGGGCAGGGTCCCCAGCACTTGTTACAAACCACACGATGCACCTTAACTCACCCACCACGAGGCACTTTACAGATTGGGGGGAAGGGTTTTTTGTTTTTTGTTTTTGTTTTTGTTTTTTTTTTTTAAATTTTAAACATTGAAGAAAACAATAGGAGACAGAAGAAATCTTTAAAAACTAGACACTAAGCACCTCTTCCTCCTTCTGGAGAGGAGGGTGATGGTGAAAGGTCCGCAGAAGAGTTTGTTTTGTTCTGTTTTGTTTTTTTAAGAAAAAAAAATGAAAAATAATGAAAAAAAAGTTAGGAGACTGAAAGGAAAAACACACTGTTATTTTGGGGCATTGGGACACAGGCCCCACAGACCTGTCCTGCCTGGCCCCCGAGGCTGCCCTCGCCTGCCCAGCCAGCGAGGCGGGCCATTGGGGTAACTGGAAGCTGGGGTGCCAGCAGTTTGCACAGCGAGGCCCCCTCAGCCCTGCCAGCCGGCTCCGCTGTGAACGGCCCCCTTGTTGCTGTGATGGGCAGAGGTGTTAGGGTAGGGCTCAAGCAGCCCCTTGGCTTTGCTGCTTTGGGGTAAAGTTGCACAAGCGGGACTAGCCGCCTCAACTCCCCAGGCTGCCAGCCAGTGGGGCGGGTGGGCGGGGCTGGCCAGTGCCAACCTCACCTGTCAGTGCAGCAGAACTTCCACTCCAGCCCTGGTGAGGGGCTTCCCATCCCTGCCGTGGGAAGGTGGGGGTGAGGCAGTGGGTGGTCTGGGTGTGAAGCTTCAAACCCCAGCTCCCTGCCTTGCCACATGAATGTATTCTTTGGGCCACATGACCCTGCTTGCCCCTCGACCTGAGCGAGGTGGGGGCAGAGCGGTTCCTCCAGGAGCTGGGGGGAGAGGCGCCACTTCATGACTGTTGTTTCTCCTGTAATGGGGGCAAGAGGAGGGGCCCAGAGGGCCTCAGGAGTGGGCACTTGGGGTTGCTAGTTGCAATGTGGGGGGGCTGTTGGAAGGGAGCTCCCCACCGCAGCTGGTTGTGTGGGATGCACACCCCTCCCCCCCAGCTCCATGCTGACCCCTCCATTGACCAAATGGGAAAGGAGGCGTGATTCTCCCCTGCTCCCTGATGCATTTTTAATGTTGGGTAAGGTGGCATGTTAGGGTAGGCTGCCCTTCTGTTCCTCACTGACTTCTGATTCCTGATCGCCTACCTGGGTTTGTCTCCATTGGGTTATTTTTTTCTCTTTTGGGTTTCTCATCTAACTTCTCCCATTGACCTCATTGCTCAGAGTGCAGTATTAGGGCAAGATTCTCCCACTGCCTCCCCTCCATGAATGTATTTATCCTTCTGCCCTGGGGAAGTGGGGAGTGGCCCCAGTTTCTTTCCCCATCCATCCCCAGAGATAACTTTTTTTTTTTTTTTTTTTTGCACCAAAGTGGCAACTGGGTCAGTGTTGGGGGATCAAGCTGGCCTCAGGGGTGGAGGGGCCCCCTCCACCTGCTTCTCCCTGGTTTCAACAGTGTTAGTGTCCGTGAAAAGACAATTTTCTCTCTAAAGCAATAAGGGGGTGATGGGCCAGGGGGAAATGTCTTGCTGCTGCTGGCCCTCCAGCCCCCCCCATTCCTCGCGCCAGTGTTTGGCGGCATTAGAGGTGTGGGGGGAGTACTGTTGTGACTGAATGTAACTGCCCCTGCCCCTGCCGCAGCCAATGCAGGGGAGGGGATGACACTCTGCCCTGTCTCTTCCTTCCCATTCCCCCAGCTAAAGAGACTTTGAACTTAGGGGGCCCTTGAGCCTGGAGAGGCCTTAACCCTGTGAGGAAGTGTAGGGGGAGCCCTCTTCCATCCCCATCCCCTTCTGAGAGTGGTCAATGTTTACAAGCCCCTGCGCCCCCCAGCCCAGGGACTCAGAACCCATCACTGTCCTTCCCTGACCCTTCTTCCTGAGTCCCAGCTGCTCTCCCCATCTTCCCAGGGCTGGGGTGGATGCAGGGGTCTCTCTCCCCATGTCGGCCTTGTACCTGAATCTCCCACCCCCACCCCATGTGACTCCCCTCTTTACCAGCCCCTGTAAATACCCCCCCATTCCCTAATAAAAACTTGGTGTGTGTTCTCCCCTTCTGCCTCTGCCCTCTTTACTTGGAGGAAGGGGGTGCTGGGGAGGGGAGACTGCAGAGCTGGGAACTGAAAGCTGTGGGCAAGGGGTGGCTTTGGTCAGCCAGCCCAATCTGGCAAGACTGGAGAAGCAGGGCTGTGTGTCTAGAAACAGCGAGAGCCCACCCTGCAAAGCAGGCAACTTGCCTGCCTGGGACTGGGGATTTCTTTGCTGCCCCTACTTTAGTGGGGCCTCAACCAGTCAGCCCTCAGGGACAGAGATCTAGAATAAGGAAGACACAAGCAAGGGTAAAGACCAGGAACAGACTTGGAAGTGGTTCCTTTATGGAAAAACAAAATATAATAAAAATTAAAATAAAACTGGATTTAAAAAAAGCCAGCCTCTGGAGTTTTCAACCTCTTGCCTCTGCCCCTCCAGAGGCATGAGGGCCTGACCCCAGGGCAGCGAAAGGATGTGGGCTTTCTGCCCTTCCCCATCCCCCATCTTATACACAGCTGTTATCTCCACAGCCGGGGGGGCCCCAGGAGGAACCAAACCTGGTAGGGGTGCAGGGACCCAAGGCCCCATGGCCTGGGGAGGGAGGCTTGGTATATATATACACCCAGCCCCAAAGCTCCCGGCCTGTAGTGTGGGCATGGGCAGGGCCCTGGCCTGGCCTGGGTTGGGGTTGGGGCGGTTAGTTCCAGATCTTGAGGAAGGAGTCCCAGGAGCCTGTAGCCACAGCCATGCCATCGTCAGTGACCCCGAGGCAGCTCACGCGATTGTCGTGGCCAGCGAGGACACCTGCGAGAGAGGACTCCATCAGAACTCAAGTGGCCTGCATTCCCTGTCCCTGCCTACCCCCATCAGCGCACGGCGCTCACCTGCACGGTCGCCCTTCATGGCATCCCAGATGTTGCAGTTGAAGTCGTCGTAACCAGCGAGCAGCAGCCGGCCACTTCGCGAGAAGGCAACAGAGGTGATGCCACAGATGATGTTGTCATGGGAGTACATGAGGAGCTCCTGGTCTGCCCTCAGGTCAAAGAGGCGGCACGTGGCATCATCAGAGCCCGTGGTGAAGGCGTAGCCATTGGGAAAGAACTGCAAGACAGGTGCAGAGTGGGCTGGGGGCACAGGGCAGAAAAGCCTGATGGAGGCACGTGCCAGCCCAGCTTGCCCCAGAACTTACGGCCACGGCGTTGATGTCAGACTCGTGGCCAATGAAGGTCTGTCGGCACATGGAATCCCGTACATCCCACAGCTTGATGGAGGCATCGCAGGCACCTGACACAAAGGTGCGGCCATCGGGGGCCAGTGACAGGGACATCACATCCCCACTGTGTCCAGCAAAGCCCACCGTCTGCTGACCTGTCTCGATGTCCCACAGAGCGCTGGAGAGAGGACAGGAAGAAGGGATCAAGGGGATGCAGGGCAGATTTCCCAGTGTCTACCCCTCCACCAAGTGAGCTCAACAGAGACAGTCTCTACGGAAGAGGTGCAGGGAGTCACCAGGTCACAAACCCGCTCCTGTCCAGGGCGGGGAGGGAATGGGGTCCCCTCTGCCCTCTCCTTCCTGCCGACAGGAGAGGGGATCTAGGTGTTCAGGAGAGGGGATCTAGGTGTTCAGGAGAGGGGCTCTGCCCTTGCTCAGGGGTACACTATGTGCCGAGCTCTGAGGCAGCAGCTCAGACAGGAAATACAGGTGAGCCCCATGTGCCTAGCGCTGGCTGAGCCTCACCAGGTGGTGTCCCCAGAGCTGGTGATGATTTGGTTGTCATCCAGGAAGCGGCAGCACGACAGATACCCTGGGGAAAGGGGCTGGTCAGCCGGGACTCTAAGGGAGGGCAGCACAGCCCCTCCCCCCACAAACAGCACCCAAGCCCTGCCAGGCCTCTCTCACCAGTGTGGCCAGGCAGCTCCCGGCTGACCCTGACATTGCCCTCACGGGTCTTGAGGCTGTAGATGGAGCAGATGTTGTCCAACCCCCCACAGGCCACAAAGTTCCCTGAGGGCGCGTAGGCACAGGTCATGACCCAGGAGGAGCGCAACGGGATAGCATGGACCTAGGGAGGAGGGGCAGTACCCAGGGTCAGAGCCAGCCAGGGCCCACAGCCCAGCCCGCTGGCCACAAGAACCACCTCTACCTTGTTGGTGGTATAGCTGTCCCAGATGATGAGCTTCCCGTCCTGGGAGGCGCTGACCAGCAGCCTGTTGGAAAAGAGAAGCAGGAGCGAAGTTAGGACCCTGACTTACCCTCTGGAGACAGGACACCCTGCGTTCTACCCATCTGTGGAAGGCTCTTTTAAGAAAACACTCAATAGCAGCCGAAAAGTTCCTGTGACATGGTCTTGTTTCCCATTCCTTGAGGATGTCTGGGACTTAGGATCTTCCCAGAGAACTTGGCAGTGTTGGTATCCAGTTTACCCCACCACATCTGCAAAGTTGCCCCCTTTTGCCTGCTATAAAATCAGCTCACAGGGAAACAGTCCCAACCACACACACACACCTTGAGTCCGTCCCCCAGTGCATGGCGTAGATTTTTGCCAGGTGCCCACGGAGGGTCCGCCGTGTCCTCATCTGGATTCTCCCCACTGGGTCCAGCCCAGCTGTGATCTGGAGGTGGAGGCAGAATGGACTCAGGGAGGGTTCAGGCATGGCCAACCCAGCAGCATACCTTACTCCTTCCCCAAACCGCAAGTCCAGCCACAGATTCACCTCACCTGGGTCAGTGTAGAATCCCCACATGCTTTTCGGGCATCCTGTAACAAATGGTGCAGCCAATTAGAGAGCAAGAGGAGAAAAGGGGCGAGAAAGAGTAGGCGAAGGAGGAGAATGAAAAGATGAAACAGTAAGAAATTAGGGTTCCCCCCCATCACTTCCCCCCCAGAAACCCCTCACCCAGCCCAGGCAGGGTACAAAAGCCACCTGGCCCTGCCCGCTCAGCCTTCCCAGCCCCAGCCGGTCAGGCCCTCACCCGGATCTGGTTCCGGAGCTGCTCAGCCTCCTGTCTCAGTTGCTCCAGCTCACTCATGGCGCCGGGCCCGTGGGGCGGGGTTGGGGGCGGCTGGGGGCCGCGGGACGGGGGCTGGGGGAGGCAGCTCCTCGCCGCTGGCCCGAGGCCTGGGGGATGCAGGGCTGACGTCAGGCCCAAGGCCACCGGGGAAGAGCGGAGAAAGGCGGGGTTGCAGGGCGGCCCGGAAGGGGTAAGCACCGGTGGGGGGCGGGGGGGGCGGCCGCGGCGGCCGCGGTCCTCGGGGCAGAGCCGGGGTCCCCGGCACGGAAGAGAGGTTGCGGAGGAATAGCTGACTTCCCCAATCTTCCTCCCGCCCCCCGGAAACAGCGGGAAGTGCAAGAGGAAACGCAGGGGAAACCCCTCCCTCGGACAGAAGCCCGGGCGGGACAGCAGCGGCAGGAACTGGGGGGTGGGGAGAACCGGGGGGCGGGGAGAGGCCCTGCGAAAACAGACCCGGCGCCCGCCCCGGCCCGCGCAGGCCCCGCCCTCCCAGCGCCTAATTTTAAAAGGGGCGGTGCCTCTTTAAATTCGCCCCCACACGCCGCACACCCTCCACACACACCCCCAGCTTCGACGGGGAGGGGGGAAGCCAGAGGGAAGCTGGGCTGTTCGTGGGGTTGCCTAGGCAACCGTCACCCGGACTGAGAGCACCTCATTGGTGAAGTGCCCCCACCCTAGCCCCGTTGCCAAGGCAACCGCATCCGAGGCAGAGACCTGTAGGGTGGTAGGGTGGGTGACCCCACCCCCGGCCCCATCACCCCCGCCCGACCCGGTCTCACACCCCTCCCCAGACACGGCCTCGGTGGCTGTTTACAGGATTTGGGAAAAGCCGATTGGGCGCTAATAGGTTTGGGACAGCTCACCCCGGATAATCCCAGGGCCGGCTGCGCCCCATTAGCCGCCCGCGGCGGGTGGAGGCGCGGGCGGTGAGGAAGGCAGCCCCAAGCCGCTGCTCGCTCCAGCGCCGAGGCCGCCCGCCCCGGCGCGCCCGCAGAAAGCCCGTGGGAGCCGCTCTCGAGTAATTAGGACTCCGAAGAGAGGGCCCCGGCCCCGAGGCGCGGAGCTGCTCTCTCCCAGGCGCGGGCGGGCCAGCGGGCGGCCCCGGGCGGCCCGGCCCCTGTGCCCTTGGCACCCCCAGGAACCCGGCCCGCCGGGCTCGACGCCGGGGCCCCGGGGGCCCGGCTGGCTCCGCTCCAGGGTCCGAGTCCTGCCCCCTCCTTGGACACCTGTGAGATCTGGCGAAGCACACCGCCGCCCCGGGCAGCCCCCACCCAGATCACACTTCCCCCAGGCCCCGGGCGTTCCTCTTCCCCACTGACATTTCCCCTCGGTCAAGTTCAGCTTTCTACGCCAGCGCCAGGGGAAGCCCCTCCACAGAAAAGGGGAGGGGGACCCAGCCTTCTGCCCCACACTCGGGCTCAGGACAAAGCCCAGGCAGGGCGGCCACGCCAGAGGCCCGGGGCAGAAGGAAGCAGGCCGGTAGGAAGCAGCTGGGGGCGGGGGCGACACTTGCAGCCCTCCGTCCCCATCACCCTCCCGGGTCCCTCGGCAGCCCCCGGGGTCTGGGCATGCGGCAGCCGGGGGCCTAGGAGAACAGGGGCGCCAACGCCCCCGCAGGTCTGCCCGGGCTAAGGGGAGGGCGCCGGGGAGGGTCCCGAGCGCTGGCAGCTGGAAGGCGCGGGCCGGTGCCGCTCGGCGAAGCGCAGTGGGCCTGGGCCTCCGGCCCCCACGACCTCCATTTTGCCCAAAAGAGAGCGGGGTGGGGGGTGGGGGCGCCCAGGATCTAGGCTTGGGGTCTGGACTAGCGAAGGGAACAGGGTGCCGACATCGCAGCTCTGCGGTAATGGCACCGGGAAACGCGGAGCGAGCCCCAACCGAGAGTAGGGTGGAGACGACGGGGAGGGCGGCCTCGCGGCCTGCCTGCGCCCCGCGGATTCCGGAGTGTCCCCAGGCGAACGCCGGCGGAGGTGGGGCGCGGGAGGGCACGCGGGGCGCTGCCCCCGGGCGGGCCGGCGGTGGGGAAGGGGGCGGGACGGGGCCTAGAGAAAGCCCCGAATTTGGCCTCCCAACTTCTCAGGGACGAGGAGGCGGGCGGGGCTGAGGTGGGGTCTGGGGTCGGGAAAAATGACCCCGACGGTGCGGGAGCGCGTGCATTATTGAGGTCGAGGGTCCCCCAATCTCCCTTCCGGGTTCGGGAGCGACGGGACCAGAGGAAGGGAGGGGAGGTTTGGGGAGTTACGTCCGCTCTCAGGAGGCCAGACCGGAGAGGCAGAAGGAAGAGAGGTCCCCCCAAGGGAATTTGGGGCTGGGGGGTCTGAGGACTCCTTTTGTCAGCGGAGGTACCTGTGGCGGTGGGACTCTGCGAAGGGTCGCTAGGGCAGCGCGGGAGGTCCTGTCTTCCTCCGCGGCGGAGGCGGCAGCGGCGGCGGCGACGCGGATGGATTTTCTCAGTCACCCCAACTCAACCGTCCAGCGCTGCTCTCCCTAGAGCGGAGGGATCCCGCCCGCCAGTGACGCGGCCGTCGCCGCCGCGCCCAGGGCCCGGCTGGGCGAGACCAACTACTTGGTGGGGGGGGCAGCCGGAAGGGAAAGTACCAGCTGAGGGACAAAGATTGACTCCGTTAACAAAAAGATATTACCCCACACGATTTCGAGGCAAAACGGACCAAAATGAATGCTTTGGCTTCCGAAGAGGAGCAAGACATCCCCCCTGGGACTGGCAGAGGTGGTATCGGCACAGGGGAGGGGAGGGGAACCCGCTTGATGGTCACGTGATCCACCCTCCCGGATTGGGCGGCTCCAGACTGGGAAAGGGAGCTCGACGCCCTAGTTCTCGCTTTGACCACGCCCCACCCTGTAAGGCCCCGCCCCCTCAGGGGCGGGGCCAGAGATCTGGGCCCGCTCTGGACGAGGCGGCTTCCAGGAGGCAGAGAGCAGGTAGCGATTAGCAAAGTTCTGGTGCAGGCCCCTAGGAACCGACGAATGCCCTGAAAAGGGTCCTCCCCGGGCGTTCTTCTGCGTTCCCCCCTGGGCTTCTGTACATCTCTTTTCAGGGCCTCATGACATTGTGATAACAACTTTCATTGGAGTGCCATGCTTGTCCTCATGACGAAACCATGAGGCTAAGTACCAGCATTGTCTCCGTTTTATAGCAGTGGAAGTGGATTCCTAGGGCTGCCGAGTTGACATATGAACCAAGGCAGCTTTAGCAACTTTACTGTGTTGTGCTATCAATATTTGCCTCCAGTTGAAGCCTGCCAAAACCATCCCTGTATAGGCCCATGTCTAAAATGAGAAGTGGGGCCTCCCTGGTGGTGCAGGGGGTTGAGGGCAGTGCTGTGAAGCTGTCCACAGCCTCTGCAGCGCGGGTTCGATCGCCGGCCAGCCAGGGAGATACCCACATGGTGCGGCGGACCGCTCCTAGCTTGCCTGCTGCTTCCCTCAGCAGTGTTTTCGGTCTGTCTGCCTCTTCTGCTTCCTGCTCTGGTGAATCCTCTCCCCCTCTGGTACCTCTGACCTGTATCCGAGTTCTTGTATGCATAAATAAATCTTTAAAAAAAATAAAATGAGAAGAGTGGATGGCTACCTGCCCTGCAGGTGACCCTGGGTTGTTATGAGAGCCCCATAGATGGAGAGGTTTTGGAAAGTTCAAGTCAATGAAGAGCTTTCCTTGAGTCCTCGTGTTAAAACCAATTAGCCTCTGTTAAAACCAATATTACAGTTTTCAAAGCTGATTTTTAAAAGAAAATTAAAAAGTCATTGTTATTTATGGACAAACTCCATTTATGTGCCCTTACCAAGCTAATAATATACTAGGAGTGGATAGAACTTGGAAGGAAATTTAATAATTTACTTCAATTTCCTCTCACTCTACAGATGGGCAAAGTGACTTCCCTAAAGTCACTTAGAAAACCAGCAGCCCAGGACTAGAACCCAATTTTTTAACCCCTACCGGGCATCTCTTAAACTGATTCCTCTTGCTCTGATTTCTGTGCTGCTGTGCTTCCCTGTTTTAACTCATTCAGCAAATATGAGTGCTGTGTCTTATCAGCCACTGTCCTAGGCGCTGAACACATGCACCTTCCTCTGCCTGTAGGGGGCTTCAGATCTACAGAGGAGACAGATGGGAGATGATCACTAAAATGATAATTAGTGCTGGTGGCCTGGAAGTACCATCTACTGAGAGTAAGTTGGAAGGGGACACTTTTGGGGAGGAAGATTAAAAGTTTTAAGTTGGAGGGCTTCCCTGGTGGCGCAAGGGGTTATGCACTGCACGATGAAGCAATCCACAGCCTCTGCAGCACGAGTTCAATCTCCAGCTGGCCAGGGAGAAACCCAAATGGCACAGCAGACCTCTCCTGTCTCACCTGCTGCTCCCCTCAGCAGTGTACTTTGGTCAATTTGCCGGTTCTGTTCACCACTCTGTCTCTGGTGAATCCTCTCACCCCCCACACCTCTGGCCTGTGCCCCAGCTCTTGTATGCATAAATAAATAAATCTTTTTTAAAAAAAAGTTTTAAGTTGGAATGTATTAGATTTGAGGTGCCTAGGAGAGATGCAAGGAAGAACATTCAGTAGGCGAGTGTAGAAGCAGGTCTGGGGCTTAGCAGAAGAGTTTGGATTGGAATAGAGCCTGAAAGTGGCATTTTAGAGCAGTTGAAGTCATAAAAAGGTTTGGGGAAAAGACAAGATGGCCTAAGACCAAGCCTTGAGGAACTCCAACATTTAAAGGTCAGGCAGAGGAGAACAAGTTGCCAAAAGGGAAGCCAGAGAGCTAAGAAGAAAATTAGGAGAATGTGGAGTTCTGGAACTCATAAGAAAAGAGTGTTCCAAAAAGGATATACGTTGAATGGTACAAAGAGATGAAGTAAGACTGACCTGGGGAGCACATACTGAGTAACATGAAGGTCACTGTGACTTTGTCTGGAGCATTTGCAATGGACATCCTCTTGCATCATGCTGGGGGTGAGTGAGAAGTGAGGCAGTGTAATGACCAACGTGGTCAAGGTTTGGGGAATCTTAGCTTGGAATGGATGTGAAAAGGTTGGGCAGCAGTGGGAGGAGAATGTGGCGCCAAGATATTTGGATTTTGGTGGGAGCTTCTGGAGCTTGTTTTGATGATAATGGGAAAGACAGGTGGAGGAGAGTGAGGGGAAGTTAGAGGGTGACCAGTTTGTCTGAGAAGGCAGAAACCCTGGAGTAGATGTGGAGAATTTGGTTCTGATGGGTCATGGGACACTTCCTCCTTCCTCCATTGTTTCTCAGGTTTTTCCTTAGCTTTCTCTTCCTCCTCAGGCATCTGTATACACTGATTTTTTCAGGATCCTAGCTTCAGTCTCTTCTCACTTTCCATATTATTCATGGATGACTTCATCCATTACTGTGACTTTACCCCCTAATTGCTCGTAACTCTCAGGTCTCTATCACCAGTCCATATGTCTCTCCCCATGTACAGACTTGGTCTATATCCAACTGCAGACTGAAAATCTCCATCTGTATGCTCATATGGGGTTGGTTGTGCCAGCTCAGACTAGCTCACAAGAGCCCATTGTATTCCCTCTTCCCAGCTCCTTCTTCAGTGAATTCATGTTGACAGTAACTTGAAATCATCACAGTGGGAGTATTTACACCATAGAAATTGGCAAATTTAGAACAGGGCTCCCCTTCCCCAAAGAGATGGCTGTTGAAACATTTACTATACCACTATTTACAGATGTCTCACACTAAACTTGATCAAGAGTAAATCCTCTTCCACCCTACCCTACCCCACCTAGCCCTACCCCTTCTCTCAATCTCTTGGCCCATGAACAGCACTACCATCCACCCAGGAACTTCTCACTCCCTCATTTCTCATAGCCAAAGGATGGTCAACCAGATAGGATATAGTTCAAGCTGTTAGAACAGAACCCCCAAAATGCAATGACTTAAGTATCCCCAAAATAGATCATCTTGGACTGAAATGACATCCCTGCCCCCCTAAACAGGTAGCTTCCATCTCTGGGTCCACTGTGGCCCAGGTAGTTTCCACCATCACATCTGAATGTCATCCATTGAAAATGGGTGGGGTGTGAAGCTTTCTTGTTAAAGAACACCTCTAAGTGCTTTCTTGTTAAAGAACACCTCTAACTTTCACTCAGAAGTTGGCCAGATGTCGGGAAGGCTGGGATATGTAGCCTCTAGCCATATACCCAGATAAGGCATTATTACTAAAAAAGGGAGATGAGTATCAGTATAAGACTAGCCATATACAACACTGGTGGATACATCTAGTGAGTGCTACCTTTTGAATATTACTTAACTCCATTCCTTCTACTAAATGCCAACTGCTAATACCTTGGTTCTTGTTTATTTCCTGGCCTCTAGGATAATCTCTCTCTAATCAACCTACCAAATAGCTGCCAGAGATATCTTTCTAAAATGCAAATTAAATGATATAACTTTCTGTTCTACACAATGCAGTACTTCCTCATTGATTTCATGAGAAGGGTCAAACTTCTTTGCATGGCACACAGGCTGGGTTTTGTGCTATCTACCCAGAATGCCTTCCACCCTCATTCCAACTCTACTTCCTTGTTAGCTGGGAAGATTCAGGGCATTTTCTCAGGCTTAATTTAAATATCACCTCCCTGACCACACTGCAATGCTGGCTCCATTCCTATTGCAGCCTTTACTGAGCTATTTACTTCTGGGCATTTGCCACCTGCACTAGGCCAGGGCACCCTGTGATGTCAAAGTAGGTTTCTTTGGCAGAGGACTGGAGGAGATCTCACCAGTCAGTGAACAGACTCTCACAAGATGCCAAATCATTTTCAAGCTATGGGGTCTGAGAGCCGTGCCCCTCCCACCTTCAACATTATTACCAAGTGCTCAGATATGGCCAACTTGAATGTGGGTCTTCAGTGCAAGGCCCTCCAGATGACTTTATTGAATTGTTTATCATTCCTTTTAGGATGGACACTGAACTCTTAGACAGTCACATCAAGTTATATGAGCCATTATAGTCCCAATACCCACCAGCCACCTGGAGATTATCCATGAAAATGAACGGAAACATGGCAAACATTTCCCCAGGATTAATACTTTTCACACACTGAGGCCCAAATCTCTGCTCTGTCACTCACCAGCTGAGTGATTTGGGAAAGTCACTTAACCTCTGCATACCTTTGTTTCCCCTGCAAAATGGACATAATAATCACATCTTATGAAAACTAACTGGCAATCGGCACCATTTCTCTGGCAATCAGCACCCATTCCCAGGTATTTTCCAAAAGTTAACATTAGGTGCTTCTTAAGAATAACAGGACAGGGCCTCCCCTGGTGGCACAGCGGTTGAGCGCTGGGCTGCGAAGCTGCCTGCAGTCTCTGCAGCCCCGGTTCAATCCCTGGCCACCAGTGAGGTTCCCACATGGCGTGAATACCTCTCCTGCCGCCCGCTGCTCCCCTCAGCAGTGTATCTTGTCAGTCTGCCTGTTCTGTTACATGCTCTGGCTCTGGTGAATTCTCTCACCTTCCTGCGCTTCTGACTGTGCCCAATGCTTGTATAAATTAATAAATAAATAAATCTTTAAAAAAAAAAGGAATAACAGGACAAGGGCCTCCTTGGTGGAGCGAGGTGTTAAAACGCAACCTATGAAGCTCGCCGCAGCCACTGCAGCATGAGTTCGATCCCTGGCCAGGGAGCTGCCCACATGGAGCAGCAGACCTCTCCTGACTCGCCCGCTGCTCCCCTCAGCAGTGTATTTCAGACTATCTGCCTGTTCTGTCCCCCACTCACACCCCACAACTCGGGCCTGTACCCCAGTTCTTGTATGTATACATAAATAAATCTTAAAAAAATAATAATAACAGGACACCCTATTGTTCTCATCATTTAGGAAACCAACAAGGAACAGAAAATAGATCTTGCAGTCCTGCTCCCTGATTTCTGGGAAGGCAGAAAAGCTAACGGTTGAGTCAATCACCAAAAGCCAATGAGTTAATTGATCATGCCTATGTAATTAAGCCTCCATGAGACCCCAAAAGGAGGAGCTTGGGGGAGCTTCCAGATTTCAGAACCAGAGTTCTCCCACGTACCGCTATGCTGGCCCCCAAGCTCCACATAGACAGAAGCTCCTTTGTCTAGGACCTTGTCCATGTAATCCTTCATCTGGCCGTTTGTTCCTGTCCTGTAGTATCATTTGTAATAAGCTGGTGATTTAGCAAATGAACCAGCTTCCTGAGCTCTGTGAGCCACTTTAACAAATTAATCAACCTGAGGAAGGGATCACAGGAACCTCATTTACAGCCAGCTAGTCGTAAACACAGGTCGTAATCTGGGCTTATGACAAGCACCTGAAGTCTGGGGAAGGGGTTGTGTGAACCTCCAGTCTGTAGGCAGTTGATCAGATGCACAGGTAACAGACTGGGCTTATCGCTGGTGTCTGAAATAAAGGGCAATGTGGGAGACTGAGACTTTCTAATCTCTGGAATCTCCAGAGTAAGTAGTGTGTCAGCACTGAGTTAAATTCCAGGACACTTCTGCTGGTTTCTATTTCTTCTTTGTGTGGGGAGGCCTCCCTACACGCTCATGCTGGAAATTGGTTTCAGGATTCCAACTTCATCCATCTACCTTGTCTACTAGGGAACCACTAGTCATTCTTCATAATTCAGTTCAAATTTTACTTCTAGAAGACTACCTGGACTCTGAGAGACAGGTAGCTCCTTCATTCTCTGGGCCTCCACTTCACCCTACTTTCCTGCATGTCTGAGCTTCCCACATCACCAACCTTGTGAGCAGGGATATATTTTATGCACCTCAGTATTCCCATGCCGTCAATAATGTTTGGCAGGGCCTCCCTGGTGGTGCAAGGGGTTAAGATGCAACCTATGAAGCTATCCGCAGCCTCTGCAGCACGAGTTTGATCCCCAGCCAGGGAGCTACCCACATGGCGCAGCAGACCTCTCCTGACTCGCTCGCTGCTCCCCTCAACAGTGTATTTCAGTCAATCCACCTGTTCTGTTCCCCACTCTCTCTGGTGAATCCTCTCCCCTCCCCACACCTCTGGCCTATACCCCAGTTCTTGTATGCATAAATAAATAAATCTTTAAAATAAATAAATAAATAATGTTTGGCATACCACAGGCATAAAAGATGTTCATTGAATCAATGAATGAAAAGATGAAATATATTAATATTTTTCACCTTAGCCTTAATAATCCATAATACAATAGTATCTTATGACACATCTTATATGACAAATGAAAATTGGTCACAGTTGATTAGAAGTTACATCTAAGTCCAGTGCTGTCATTAGTTGACTGTAGTTTTTCCACCAATTATGAAAAGAAGATTCACTTCTCATTACAAGAAAGACTACAAATTTCTGGGCCTACCTGGTGGCACAGCCTGTGAAGCTGTCCACAGCCTCTGCAGCACGAGTTCGATCCCTGACCGACCAGGGATCTACCCCATAACTCGCCCGCTGCTCCCCTCAGCAGTGTACTTCGATCAATCTGCCTGTTCTGCTCCCCGCTCTGTCTCTTGTGAAGCCTCTCACCCACTCCCTGCACTTCTGGGGTGCAGCTCTTTTGTGCATAAATAAATAAATCTTAAAAAAAAAAAAGACTACATGGGCCTCCCCGCAGTTGAGTGCCGCACTGTGAAGCTGTCTGCAGCCTCTGCAGTGCGGGTTTGATCCCAGGCGGCTGGCGAGAATCCCGCATGGCAGGCCTCTCCTGTCTCACCTGTTGCTCCCCTCAGCAGTGTATTTCACAGAGCTCCCTGCTCTGTCTCTGGTGAATCCTCTCACCCTCCTGCACATCTGGCCTGTACCCCGGTTCTTGTATAAATAAATACATCTTTTAAAAAAAGACTATAGATTTCTAATTTATGAATAATAATATTAAGCCTCAAAGACTCCCCAGGGACACTCTTGGGACCCACTATTTACCGAATAGTCCTGTGTGCCAAGTTCTTAGCCAGGAGCTTGACTTCTGGCACCTGGTTAATTCCTCACCACCAGGGACAGTGAAACCTGGGAAGGAGCACAGAGGTGTTATGAAACAAGGTAATCTGTCAACTGGCTGAAAAGAGATACGAGGGCCTCCCCGGTGGCACAGCGGTTGAGAGCTGGGTTGCAAAGCTGCCCGTGGCCTCTGCGGCGCCGGTTCGATCCCCGGCTGCTCCCCGGCCACCGGAGGAGGGTCCCACATGGCGCGCAGACCTCTCCTGCCGCCCGCTGCTCCCCTCAGCAGTGTATTTCGGTCCTTCTGCCTGCTCTGCTCCCCGCTCTGGCTCTGGTGAATTCTCTTACCCTCCCGCGCTTCTGACTGTACCCAGTGCATGTATAAACAAAAACAAACAAAACAAATAAATAAATAAAAGAAAGAAAATAAAAATAAATAAATAATTTTGAAAAGAGATACGAGTTCTAGCCCTGGCTCTACCCAGTGGACTGTGTAACCCAAGACAGGATCTTTCCTCTATCCTGGAAAACCTCTGTAAAATCCAGGGGTTGAATCCATGATAAGTAAGATTTCTTCCAACTGGGGCAGTTTCTGAATCTGAGGTCCTAACAGGGGTGGGGAATATGGTAGTAGGAATTGACAAGGTGACCTTAAAAGGTGAAGCAACATCAATAAGTGCCAACAACAGGAAAGACACAGGCTATAAATAGATTCACTTTCCCTTTCAGTATTCCTTTAATCCTCAGATCATCATCTCGAAGATTAAAAAGTGAAGGCACTGAGAGATTAAGGGGCTCCTCCAATTCATTCAGGCCTCAATTTATGATGAGGCCAATGACTGACCTAAAGTCACTCAGGAATACTTCAATTTCCTAGCTCCTAAGTCAGCTCTTTCCCTTGCAACTCTGCCCTCACACCGAAGCCTGAACCAGGTCTGGAATTGGAACCAAGCTGGGCATTTAAAGCCACTGTAGGTAACCAATGAGCCAGTTCAAACTATCTGTCCTTTCTCTGGGGATGGGTGGAGTCTCTTCCAGGGCGGGCATCTGGTGAGCAGAGAACCTTCAGGAGCATATAGCCATCACACAGTACCCTCTTCCTCTGCCATCTCTGATCTTTATGCTCCTCCCACCCCGTACAAGTAGGTGGGAGTGCAAATACATATGTATTTGCATGCACATGTGAACACACATACACAGGCACACACATTCTAAAGCTCATACATACAAGCACACACCAATACACTTGCTTACATAAGAGTCTCTACATAGCTAACCATGCTGTCAAGGCTGTTCCTTCATTTTCGCTATCAAAACTGCTGCAGAGGTGGTGTCATGTCAGGAGTCCTGCAGAAACTAGGAGCCTACCAGTAAACAAATACTTGATTAATAAATATTTCTTGAAGAGAACAGATGAAGAGAGTGAATGTGGGTGCACCTGTGTGCCTATGAGGCCCAGGCACCAGAGCATATCAGGGGAGGAAAACAGGGGCTACCTGAAACACAAGAGCAGAAAGCAATGTGGAGAAGATGAAGACATGCCCCACTCCGTACCTCTATGTCCTTCTTCCCTTTCCTCTCTTTCCCGGAGATTTAATTCAGGTCCGGATATGGCAGAACCTTCCTTGGGAACCTGAGGATGTACTGCCTTCCTGGAATATAGCACATTCACCTCAACTTAATTTTTAAAGTAGGGAGCAAGGGCCCCTTCAGTCACCCTGCAGAGTCCTGTTCTCCAGATGGACAAGGTCTCCATCTCTTTCGCACTCCAGCTCTATCTCTAAGGGCAGGGCTCCAAGGCCTGGCTTTCCGCCCGCTAAACCCCTCACGGCCATCTAAGAGGGGTCTGCCCCTTTAATGCAGGAGCCCCCGGCAGGGTTATTGTCTTGCCTCGCAGCCAATCCGCGGAGCCATTGTGTGTGGGGGATCCGGCCTCCTGATTGGTCGCTTCGCGCCCCGCCCCGCCCGGGATCCCGGGAGCTGTCCGGCTGCCTCGGTGCTGATCCCGCCGCCGCCCAAGGGCCGCGAGCAGCGCCAAGAGGGCATTATGAGCGGGGGCGTCTACGGCGGAGGTGAGCGAGCCTCCGACTCCCGGCTACGGGCTCCCAGGCCCCGCGCGGCCTCGCCCGCGGCCCTGAACCCCGAATCCAAGCGACCCAAGCTCTGGGCACCCCGGGGCCTGTTACCTCGGTGCTCTTAAGAGTCCAGCCCTGCGTTTGGGTCCCGCGCCACTCCTACTTTTCGTCCTCCCTGGACGCTCGCGAGCACTGGGCCCAACCTCTCCACCACGCAACTCACCTCCAATCGGCCCCTTCCTTCCCGGCAAGGAGAGTGCCTTTAAACAAGGCCTCTGATCAAAAAGGAACCCTGGAGGCTTGACCCCGGCTCCAAGACCCCAGATTCCAGGCCAAGCCCCAGCCTGACCCAGTCCCCACTGAAGGCGGCTACACTGTGGCGCTGGCCGGACCTACTCTTGGAGCTCTCCAAGGGGAGACAGGGTTTGGGAAAGGTCCCTCACATGCCTGTTTCCCCGCACAGATGAGGTGGGGGCGCTGGTCTTTGACATTGGCTCCTTCTCAGTCCGCGCTGGGTACGCAGGGGAGGACTGTCCCAAGGTGAGCTTCCAGCCCCCTCCCCAAATCCTAGGGACCCTGGACTCCTTTCGTGCTTCCCAATGATCCCGGGCTCTCATAGCCTAGAGAGAAGCTCTGCTGAGCTGGAAGGTGGGATTAGCCCAAGGGTGGGCTGAGGGCCTTGCTGTGGGACTGGTCAAGGGCAAGAAGTTGATCCCCCTCCCTGCCCACTCCCCCCCTCCAGGCTGACTTCCCCACCACGGTGGGGCTGCTGGCCACGGAGGAGGGGGGCGGGCTGGAGCTGGAGGGGGAGAAAGAGAAGAAAGGGAAGATCTTCCATATCGACACCAACGCCCTGCATGTGCCTCGGGATGGAGCGGAAGTCATGTCACCCCTCAAGAATGGCATGAGTAAGGGCGCCCTACCCACTTCCTCCTAACACAGACACACAGCCCACAGCCCACTCCCTGGCACATGGCACCCCACGTCCACAGAATCTTGTTTGCATCTGTTCAAGTCCCAGGGATCTCCTCACTGCTGCCCACAAGTGCAAGATTTCAAACTGAGGTTGACCAGATTCCTGTGAAGGGGAGAGTCCCCTGAGTTGGTCTCGTTCTCCCTCTCCTGAACTTGGTTTCCTTCCCTCCTTTCCTTCCTGCCACCCATTCCTGCCTGCCCACCTCCCTTCTCCATGCTGGTCTCCTGGCCCAAGTTGAGGACTGGGAGTGCTTCCGCGCCATCCTGGACCACACATACAGCAAACATGTCAAGTCCGAGCCAAACCTGCACCCAGTGCTCATGTCCGAGGCCCCGGTAAGTGCCTCACCGGGCCCCTCATTTTGGTCTGCGATTAGGTCCGTCCTTTCCCCTTCCCATTCACCTCTCCCCTCAAACCACTGTCTTCAGTCACCTCGCTTTTCAGATTTTCTCATCCTCTGCAGTCACTTTCCTTGCTCCCGGGTTTAGTCTCCCTGCCTCCCTCCCTCCCCCTACTCAATCTATCACCCCTTTTCCCAACCAGCTTTGTACACTGGCCCTGTCCCCAAAACTTTTTTTTCACCATTTTAACTTAAAGTGTTTATCCATATTCTATATCCACACCTCAGTAATCAATCTGCTTTATGTAAAGTGTATTAAGAGAAAAAACTGCCATTCATTTCCCCTTTATAGAGGCAACTGTTCTTTTCTCTTTTAGCGGATTTTTTTTTTAAATTTTTTTTAATAGAGGCATGTTTTATTTATTTATTTGTTTGTTTGTTTGTTTTGTTTATACATGCCCTGGGTACAGTCAGAAGCGCGGGAGGGTGAGAGAATTCACCAGAGCAGAGCGGGGAGCAGAGCAGGCAGAAGGACCGAAGTACACTGCTGAGGGGAGCAGTGGGCGGCAGGAGAGGTCTGCGCGCCATGTGGGACCCTCCTTCGGTGGCCGGGGAGCAGCCGGGGATCGAACCGGCGCTACAGAGGCTGAGGGCAGCTTCGCAACCCAGCGCTCAACTTAGCGGATCTTTTTTGATTATTTCCTTCCAAATCTTTAAATATCATCCTTAAATTACTTCTTGTGCATTTTTTTAGTTCAAGGCATCATCTATGGATTTCTCACTACAGAAAATTAACTTTAAGCTTTCTTTTCTCCCCCCAACTTATGCTACAATACCCATCTTTAAGTACAGCTTTCATTTCATTTTTTTAAAGATCAACAATCAGTTATTACAATCTTATTATTAATCAGGGCAATAAATTATGTTTATTTTTCCTGGGCAACTTTTAATTTTTCCTGCAACTTGAAACTCTCCTTGGTTTTCATTTTGCTTAGCATTCTATCTACTTAATGGGATCCTATATTATTTATCAATTATCGATATTTTTCTCGAGATATTAAATTCCTTTATATATTCTCTCAATTTAATCCTCTTTAAGAAATCTCTCCAGGATCCCCATTGATTTGTTCCACTTTGAACAAGCTGCCTTCCACAGAGGACAGAATTATCATCCTGATATTTGCCTTCACCTTCATTTTAGGGAATCCCTCTCTTTTCTCCTATAGTAGAATTCCTGTTTCCCGCATCTCAGGACTGTTTCTTGGTTTATCCCCTTGTTTTCATGGATCCCATCCTCCAGTAAATGCTTAGAAAAGTCATAGAAAATAAAATTATTGAGATCTTGCTTGTCTGACTTTGGATGGGCAGGCTTAGCTAGGTATTTTAATTCTGTCCTCAGTATTATTTAACTTCACAATATTTTATTGATTTATTTCAGTCACTGCTTTAGACATTCAGCATGTCCCTTCAATCTGGAAATCTCTGTCTATTAATTCAGTGGAAAAAATTCAGTAATTTTAATTATTCATTAATTATTTATGTTCTCTTGTTTAGGAAATTCTCTTGTTGGATTTTGTACTTCCTGAATTGGCCCCCTAATTTTCAAATCTTTCTCTCATGTTTTTCAACTCTTTTTCTTTTCCTCTAATTTCCAAGATATTCGTTCAGCTTTATTTTTCAACTCTTCTATTAAGCAGATCCTCCCTGTTCCTATATTTTTAATTTCCATTTCTTTTTTATTCTATGAAATCCACTTTTTAGAGCATCCTATTCTGTGATCTTACTAAGGGTACTAGTCTTGTTTCTGTTTTTGGATGTTTTAATTTCCCTGTATAATCTACATTCTTCCAAGTTGCTTTTATTCAGCCTTTTTTGGGCGCCTGTCTCATTTTATTTATTTATTTTTTTAAAAGATTTATTTATTTATTTATACAAGCACTGGGTACAGTCAGAAGCGCGGGAGGGTGAGAGAATTCACCAGAGCCACAGCAGGGAGCAGAACAGGCAGAAGGACCGAAGTACACTGCTGAGGGGAGCAGCGGGCAGCAGGAGAGGTCTGCGCGCCATGTGGGACCCTCGCCCGGCGGGCGGGGATCGAACCGGCGCTGCAGAGGCGGCGGGCGGGGATCGAACCTGCGCTGCAGAGGCTGCAGGCAGCTTCACAGCCCAGCGCTCAACCGCTGCAACACCGGGAGAGGCCCCGCCTGTCTCATTTTAGATTGATTTATTTATGCATACAAGAGCTGGGGCACAGGCCAGAGATGTGGGGGAGCAGGGTGTGAGAGGATCCACCAGAGACAGAGTGGGGAACAGAACAGGCAGATTGACTGAAATACACTGCTGAGGGAAGCAGAGAGTGAGACAGGAGACATCTGCTTCGCCATGTGGGTTGCTCCCTGGCTGGCCGGGGATCAAACTTGTGCTGCAGAGGCTGCGGATTGCTTCATAGTGCGGTGCTTAACCCCTTGTGCCACCAGGGAGGCCCACACCTGTCTCATTTTAGAGGCTTTTCTCAGATTTCTGCAAATCTTGGATGTCTGCTTATCTTTAGGAGTCAAGAACTAAAACTCTGATTAGTAGCTGTATAGGGCAGGAGACTTTTCATTGTGATTTTTGCTATAGAATGATCTGACTGGGATGTCTGTTGGGTAACATCTGATAACCGACATCATTAGATCTTTGATGTAACCCACAGGGAACACTTCCACCCTGAAGACAGGCCTGGCCACCCTCGTTATGGGAGTCATGTGAGGGAACAGAGCTGATGTCTCAGCATTCAGTATCCCTGGCATCACTCAATGCCCCTGTTCTACATACAATGTCCTTACTCCCAGCTGTGTCAAGGGTCTCACCAGTTCAGAGACCAACATTTTCACTCTCTCAGAGAATAAACTTCCAGCCTTCTGATAGGGTCAGGTGTGCAATAACCCAGGGACATAGAATTGGGAGTGAGTTGAGGGATCTGTTACTTAAATAGCTTTAAGCAATCTTATTTTAGCTTTCCCTTCACCTCCACTTCCAGAGTTACCTCAAACTACCAATTCCTGATCCCTTTGAAGATTTTGCAGTATAACACAGTTGTTCTAGGTTTTTTCACTACTGGCTTTGGAGTCAGTATGCTTGAATCTCTAAGTTAGATCTCTTGCCATTAAACTATCAACCTTCAAAATTTTGTTGTTTTTTTTCTTTCATATCATTCCTTGCTCTCTTTCTCACATCTGTTTTGAAGTCAAATTCACATAACGTGAAATTACTCTTTTGAATGTTAACAATTCAGTGATATTTAATATATTCATATTGTTGTGTAACTATCACCTCTATCTAGTTCCCAAACATTCATCACACTCCCCCTGCTAAAAAAGCATTTTCATTAAGCAATTTCTCTCCACTCCCCCTGTCTCTAGCCCTTGGCATCAATCTGCTTCAGTCTCTATGTATGTATCTCTTCTGAATCTTTCATATAAATGAAATCATATGTGTCTTTTTGTGTCTGTATTCTTTCTCCTAGCCTATTTTCAAGATTCATCCATATTGTAGCATATGTCTATATTTTATTCTTTGTGTTTGAATAATGTTCCATTGTATGAGTGTACCACAATCTGTTTTCTCACTCATCCATTGATGGATATTTGGGCTGTTTCCACCTTTGGCTATTGTGGGTAGTGCCGCTATGAATGGTTGAGTACAAGGATTTGTTGGAGTACCTGTTTTCAATTCTTTCGAGTATATAACTAGGAATGGAACTGATGGGTCATATGGTAATTCCACGTTTATCTTTTCAAGAAACTGCCAGCTGTTTTCCTAGTGGCTGAATCATTTTACCTTCCCACTAGCAACATACAGTGTTTTAGTTTCTCCGCATACTCTCTAACACTTTTTTAAAAATTATTATAACTGCCCTATTGTGAAGTGGTATCTCATTGTGGTTTTTATTTGCATTTCCCTAATCCATATAGGTTTATGTCTTTTTAAGTTGCCCCTTTGTTATACCTTTGCTAGGATCTTGGGAGGAAATAAAATTAGATGTTTGTATTTAACCCATCATTTTCATCCAGAAATCATCTTCCCCAGCTTTCTTTTCTGAGATGATTAGAATGGGGAAAACAGATATAATGGAGGAGCCCAAAGTGTGTCTTGCTCAATAAAGAGCACTGCACCAGGAGTCAAGAGACGATTACTCTTGACCCAGCTCTAGCAAGAGCCACCTGTGTTCTCCTGGGCAAGTCAGTCTTCTCTTGAGTTCTTTCAGCTGGGCTTAGATTGTGAACTTTAAAATTCTTTACAGTCCTCATATTCTGGAGATCTTAGTGGGTCAGCACTCTGACCTCTATCCACAGTACAAGTTATATGTTTGTGTGGGGGGAGTGTGTACATGGGGCTGTACATCTCCCTTCTGAGTCCTCCCCTCCCGCACTTTCTCTCCAGTGGAACACACGGGCCAAGCGGGAGAAGCTGACAGAGCTGATGTTCGAGCAGTACAACATTCCTGCCTTCTTCTTATGCAAGACAGCTGTGCTCACTGCGTATCCTCTGGGTTGCTCGGCCTGGGTGGAGGGCCAGGGTGGGGCGCTCAGTGTGTTGAATTGAAGGCTGAGTCTGATTCAGTGGAGATAAGTGTCATGGATGAGAAGATACCTCCCTGAATTCCATCAGTGCAGAGGGCCCTGTGGGTTCAATGCCGTGGGCTCTAGGGTGGCCAATGAGTGGCCCCTTGCCCATTCTTCAGATTAGGCTAAACAGAGAGAATCGAGCCAACTGGACAGCAGGGGCTGGAGCTAGCGAGAGGAGGGAAGGGTCTATGACACTGAGGGGTCTCCTCCCCACACAACAACCAGCATTTATTTTGTTAAGGATTGGTCTTGCATTGAAACCTGTGCAAGGCACTGGACAACATGGACCCTATTTTCAGGGCGGGGACAGAATCAAGAATAAAGAGAGTCTGGGCATGCAGCAGGAAGGAATAGAGGAAGAGGCTGTGATTCAGAAAAGGAGGAAGGTCCCAGGAGCCTTTCTCTAATAGATGGGTTCTAAACCCTGGAATGGGCTGAGCCCTGGAGAGCAGAGTAACTACACCAGACCTGGCTCCCAGGCCCCTAACTTGCTGTTGCTCTCTCTTTAACCTGCCACTCCCATGGCAGCTTTGCAAATGGACGTTCCACAGGCCTGGTGCTGGACAGTGGGGCCACCCACACCACAGCCATTCCCGTGCATGATGGCTACGTCCTGCAGCAAGGTCAGGCCTTGGCAGGGGATGGGGAGTGCCTTGGGTGGACCAGTCCCTGACACTCCCTCCCCTTCCAGGAATCGTCAAGTCACCCCTGGCAGGGGACTTCATTTCTATGCAGTGCCGGGAGCTCTTCCAGGAAATGGCCATTGATATCATCCCACCTTACATGATTGCAGCCAAGGTGGGGTGTCTGAGGGGTCCTGAGCATTCACCTATGATTATCTACCCACTGACTCATCAGATATCAGAGCTGTGAGCAGCAGGGCCCCCCAGAGGACCATGAGTCCGGTCCCTTAATTTATAATCTCGGCATCAGATCCAGATAAACTGAAAGACATGGCCAAGGTCAGACAGCCAGCTGCTAGGAGGATGAGTGAGGCCAATGTGGTGGGTTCTGGGGTCCAATAGACTCAGGATCTAGGTCTGCCTCTTCATGTAAGAGCTGTGTCACCTAATGCATGACACTGCAGCTCCTGAGCCTCAGTTTCCTCCCTGGTAAAGTGGAGTAACAGGGGAGTGTTAAACGAGACTCTGCATGCAAGGGTGTGCCCTGGATCCCCACAGGGAGCACAGCTCAGGAAAAAAACCCTAAAAACTGTCTCTGGAAAGTTCTGGCCTCCCATTATATTCCCCATGCCCTGGCTTTCTTGGACTGGGGGCCATCAGACGAACTTTACACGTTGGGTGCATGCACGTGCATGCGCGCGCACACACACAAAGACAGACCTTCCCCATCCTCGCCCCTCACAGAGAAGGGGTGCAACCTACCAGTGCCTGTTAGCTGCAGAGTCAGAGAGTGTGAGGCACGCAGGTGTGGTCAGGGTGGGCTGGAGAAGAGTACTCAGAGGCTGTATTTCCACAGGAGCCTGTACGGGAGGGCGCCCCCCCAAACTGGAAGAAGAAAGAGAAGTTACCCCAAGTTTCCAAGTCCTGGCATAACTACATGTGCAATGTGAGGCACTGGAGAGCGTGCTCCAAAACATTCCACTGGAGAGGGTGCCCCAAAATTTCATTCATTCATTCCCTGCCATGAGTACAAGCGAAGGGACAGAGACCCTATAGGTGGGGTGGTGGTGGGGGGTTGCTGAGGGAGGCGAGGCCCTCAGCACTCTCCCTGGGTTCTCAGGAGGTGATCCAGGACTTCCAGGCCTCCGTGCTTCAGGTCTCAGACTCTCCCTACGATGAACAGTGAGTAAGGTCCAAGGCTGAGTGGTGGGAATGAGGGCGGGCCTGGAGCTCAGAATGGCTTTCTGGTGCTTTGCAAGCACCCCAGGCAGAGTGTTGCTCCTTCCGGGCAGGGTGGCTGCACAGATGCCCACAGTGCATTATGAGATGCCCAACGGCTACAATACAGACTATGGCGCTGAGCGACTCCGCATCCCTGAAGGCTTGTTTGATCCCTCAAATGTCAAGGTTCGGTTGGATGTAGAAGAGGCTGGGAAGGATCACAGGAGCCTGGGGGGAGGGGCCAGAAGGCCCAAAGCCCAGGTCTCATTTCTCCACAGGGCCTGTCAGGGAATACCATGTTAGGTGTGGGCCACGTGGTGACCACCAGCATTGGCATGTGTGACATTGACATTCGCCCGGTAAGGCCTGAGCCTGCGACTCAGCAGAGGGGCTCAGAAAGAGGGGGAGACAGGAGGAGGCTGTTCCCTGCACATTTACGCCTCCTCCTTGCTCGCAGGGCCTGTACGGCAGTGTTATTGTCACCGGTGGGAACACGCTGCTTCAGGGCTTCACTGACAGGCTCAATCGAGAGCTTTCCCAGAAGACTCCACCGGTAGGAACCCACTCCCGACCAGGGCCCTGGCCTTCAGTCTGGCTAGTCCTTGGGTACAAGTCCTTCCTCCTTCCCAAACACTGAGTGCTCTGGTTACCAGAGCAGACCCTCTCCCTGTGGTTTCTCAGTCTTGCCCACCCCCAGACCTGCCCCTTCCCAGAACCCAGGTGTCTGCTTCCCCCAGTCCCTCTTTCCCCCCAGAGCATGCGACTGAAGCTCATCGCCAGCAACAGCACTATGGAGCGCAAGTTCAGTCCCTGGATTGGGGGCTCCATCTTGGCCTCACTGGTGAGAGGGGAAGGGCCTAGCACCACGCTGAATGTGGGAAAGGGGCAGACCCAGATAGTCCTCACCATTTTGCCTGCCTCTTCATTCATTCATTCATTCATTCATTCATTCATTCAACAAACATCTATTTTTGAGAAAGGGCTGTCAGAAATCCCAGAAGGGTGAAGACTCTGCCAGAACACAAATCAGGGAGCAAGGGGACAAGAAGCTGGAGGGGTTGGTTGGGATGAGATTGTGGATAGCCTTGTGTGTAGGAAGAGGCACCCACTGTACTCAGCACAAGGTAGGCATGAAGGCTTGGGGCAAGGGATCACGTGATAGTCACAGGCACATTGGGGAAGACTATCAGGCATGAGTCTTTGGAGATCAGGGTATGAATTGGACGCATGGGGACTTTGCAAGGAGGCTCTTCTATTTGTCCTGGAGTCACAGAGTGGGTAGCAGTGTGGGTGGGGAGAGCAAACAGAAAGTGGGGACAAACAGAAAAGGAGATAGGCAAGGTTGGTTCCATGGTAGTAGGTGGAGAGTTCAGTCGGAAACTTCTGCTGAAGCAGATGCTAGATGTCGAGTAGGCAGCTGGAACTTCAAATTGCATCTGGAGGGTGTCAGTTGCACAGAGGGGACAGGAGGGCCATGAAAAGACAAGAACAATCACTAAAGGAGGAACCCCCAAGGAGACAGAAATGAGGGTCAGAAAGACAGGAGGCTGACATCCTGATTTTAGCTTGGAGCTGGGAGTATGTCAGCTGTACACCACTGTGTGGCTTCCTGTGTGCTGGATGTGGACAGGCAGCCCACATAGACCTTGCCTCCGTGAGCAGGGACAATCTAGAGGCCAAGGCAAACAGGAAGTCACCACAATGTGTGGGAGTGTTCCTTCAAGGCAGGATCTGATGTAGTTGAAGGGTTCCTAAGGGCTCTAAGATGCAACATTCAAGCTGACATGCATGGGAAGAGTAAGAACTCAAGAGGCAGAGAGGGGCCATGGGGAAAGTTGGGCAAAGCCAAGGTCAAAGACAGTAAGCCAGCGCCTCAAGTCTGACTAGGAAGCTCACTTGCAGAGTACAGCGTGGAGTGGAGAGGGCTGCTGTGGTCTCCACTGTGACGGAGTTTGACGGAAGAGTGGATTTTTAGGGGGTGGAACTAACTGGAATTTTATTAGAGATCCAACAGACAGAATGTGGATACTGTTTGGATACAAGAGGTAAGCGAGGGAAGGAATTAAGATGGAGGTCCAGGACGCTAGCTTCTGGTAGAGGCTAGAGCAGAGCTGTCCAACAAGAAGGTACCATGAGCCAGTTAGGTATTTGGCTTTGGAACTCAGCGCCCTGATCTGTACTGGAAACAGGAGATACAGGGAGGGGTGGGGCTGCAGAGCATGAGCAGAATCCAGGGAGTGGATCAGTCAGCCAGGGAGGCCTGCTTTGTTGCCCAGGACAGAAAAAGGGACAGTGCCAGGAACACAGACACTAACTTTCAGGCAGCGGCAGTGCAACCATGAAAGAGAAGGGACAATCTGAGCTGCCCAGTGCAAGAGACCCTCAGAGGCAAGTTTCAAGTATGCGTGGGGAAGGAGCACCAGAGCGGAAGACTGCCCAGAGGAGGGCCATTTCTTGGGAAATGGACTGGGCCTGTTTATAAAGTGCAGTGTGGTGCTAGGATACCTGCAGGAGGAATGTGTGTGTGTGCTGGGGTACCGGCTGGCGGGCCCGGGCTGTCAGCTCTACTACCCAGCTTGCGAACAGAGAACACCCGTCCCAGGTAGGGAGGGAGGGAGGGGGCTCTACTAATATTTGTTGAATGAATGAATCATCAACCAGACCATTCGCCTCTGAAATAACGGTCGCAGAAGGATGCTGGGGGTGGGCGGAGGAGTAGGCGGGTATGTGGGCCTGGGAAGCCAGGAGAGGCCCAGGAGGAGGGTCCCCGCGCGGCTGAGCCTGCAAGGGTGGACGGTGGGGGGAGGCTGGTCCCGCTCCTTCCAGCACCACCCTGACTGGCGACGTCGTTTCTCCCACCAGGGCACTTTTCAGCAGATGTGGATCTCCAAGCAGGAATACGAGGAGGGCGGGAAGCAGTGCGTGGAGCGGAAGTGCCCCTGAGGGCGCCCCCTGCCTACACCGGCCGCCGGCGGCGACGACGGGGAGGGCCGCGACAGGGGGGAATGGGGCTCCCCCGGCCCCGCCTCCGCAGGTCGACGCCCCCAACCCCTCATTGTCTCCATCTTACCCCCCATTCTCTTTAGATTGTGATGTTTCTGGGTTGAAAGAAGTAAACATGTTTTAAGAAAAATTAAAAGTCTGGTTTTCTTGGGGCCAGTGGGGCCAGTTTGGAGGGAGGCAAGGGGAGGCCACACCTACGTCCATTCGTGATCCCCGGGTGGACTCCGGGCAAGGTCTGCGGGCGAGGGCAGAGTCCCAGCGGCCGCGGACGCCTCAGGTTTCAAAGGCGCGCCGAGGACCCGGCTAAAGGCCGCGCCGGGGCGGGAGGCGGCGGGGCGGGGCGGCCGCGGGGCGGGGCCTAGACGAGGCCGGAGGGGCGGCCTGGGCGGGCTCGGGCCTCCGGGAAGGCTGCGCCCGAGGACGCCGCCCCGGCTGCCAGCTCTGGTGGGGGGCGCCGCCGGGCTGTCTTCAGGCCCTGGCTCTTGGAGGTGACGGAGAAGGGGGCGGAGCCTGGGGCGCTGGTGCACCCCAGCATCTCAGAATTTCTGTACCGATTGGGTAGTAGCTGAGGTTTGCCAGGGAGACCCGTTTATTCCGGAGCTTCTTGTCCTGGAGTCCTTGGCCGGGACCCGTGCCGCCTGCCTCAAATTGTGGGTGAAGTTTAGTGATTGTGCCCTTGACGTATCCCAGACCCAAAAGAGGTAGAAACCTGTATGATTAACTGCTTTGGTGACTAAAAAGGCGTGCGTGCCCAGGGAGGACTGTGATTTGTCCAAGGACACCCAGCTCTGCCTGCACCTGGCCACCACTCTTCACTGATCCTAGTGGGGCTTGTCCAGGATCCCACTGGTCCTGCCTGATCATGTGCTTTCATCCATGCTCCTCCCCGGCAGCCAAGGAGAGACTGAGACCGCCTTTCAGTCAGATCCTGAAAAGACAAACATCCACTTGGCCAGACCAAAGCCCCCTCCCCCGCCTGGGGTCACACCACTGTGGCACTTTCAGCTTAGGATCCCACTGGAGCAGGGAGCACTGGGGGTCTGCAAGCCAGATGAGTATGGGCCAGAGGTGTTCATAGCGGGGAGCTTAGGAAGGGGTCTGGAGGACACTGGAAGGGTGGAAGCAAGAGAGGGAAGGGGCATCCATATCTCCGCCCTCCTCAGTCATCAGCCCTCCTCCTCCAACCCTGCCTGTAACTGGGAGGTCAAAGTCTGCCCCAAGGTCAAAAAATTGATTGTTTTGCAGGAAGGGGGCAGGAGCAGGACTGGGGAGGGATTGGCCCCTCATCCTCTAGCCTGGGCTGGTGGGCCATGTCCCAGAGACTGGACTGAGGCCAGGGCTGCACCCCACCCTTAGAGGAAGGGGGACAAGGAAGGGCTTGGGCTTAGGCTGCCTGCTAGGGCTGATAAGGGGCCCTCTGGGGCTCCCACAAACGGTTTATCATTGCTTAGAGGGATAGCCCGCAGGGCTCAGGAGGACGCACAAGCATGGAGCAGCTTTGGGGTCTACTCCAGAGAGCGGTAAGACAGAGTGGGTTTGGGGACACTTTAGGCCTTCTCTCCAGCCTCCTCCCAAACTCCAGGGTTGGCCCTCCCCTGCCTTCTCCAGCACGCCTCTCAGGCCCCCTCCCCTGCCTTGTGCTCATGTGGCACCTGAATTTACTAACACTTCTATTGCCAGATTCTTCCCATTCCCTAGCCTCTTCCCCCCATCTCCTACCCGTTGTGCTCTCCACAGCAAAGGCTGTCCTCACGACCCTCCCAGACAGTCTACAAGCCTGTGGAAGGCACCCAGCAGGGCCACCTGGAGGAGGAAGACTGGGAGGAGGGGGCTGAACCACCAGCCCGCTTCTGCCCCATGGAGCTGAAGGGTCCTGAGTCCCTGAATCCTACAACGGGGCGGCAAAACCTTGGACTCTGGGTGACAGCAGGACGAAGGGCCGCCCCGTATCTGGTTCTGACAGCCCTGTTGATCTTCACTGGGGGTGAGCAACATGCCCCCTTCCCCCAGTGAAGGGCCTGGGCTGGAGGGAGATTTCTGGGGTCCAGAGAGGGACAGGGAAAATCTCCATCTTGCCACCCGCCAGCCTTCCTCCTGGGCTACGTGGCCTTCCGAGCGTCCTGCCAGGCATGCGGGGGTGACGTGTTGGTGGTCAATGAGGACGTGAACTATGAGGTGGGCCTGGACTTCCAGCAGAGCACTTTGTACTGGAGTGACCTCCAGGCCCTGTTCCTGCGGCTGCTGGGAGAGGGCTACCTGGAGGACGCCATCAGGTAAGGACCCAGCTGCCCCTCCAGGCCTCAGAAGCCTCACCAACTTCAGACTCAGCCTCTTCCTCCTCTGCCTATCCTCAGCCCCCACCCCCTTCTGAATCCTCCACCTGCTTCCCTCCCCGCTGTTCAGTGGTCTGGGGAGGGTGGCAGGCATCTGGAGCTGAGAGAGGGAGGCAGTTTGGAGAGGAGGTTCAAAGGCTCAGACTGAGGGTGACACACTGGCGACATGTGGGAGCTGACTGAATGGGAACAAAGAGCTCTAGCATCCAGATATGAGGTGGGATACACCCAGAAAGTTTGGAGTGTCATACCAAGGAACTCAGATGGTGACCTATGGCAGTGGGGAGCTCTTGGGAGCTCAGAGAATGAACATTTTCAGGGAATCAGAAAAACAAGCAAACAAATTCGATAGTTTTTCAGGGGATTCTTCTGGGTTTTCTAAGTAGATAATCATCTAAGCTATATAGTGGGAGACTCACGGCTTCCTTTTCAATATTTGTAACTGTATTTTTCTTTTTTTTTTAAGATTTATTTATTTATTTATTTATTTATACAAGCACTGGGTACAGTCAGATGCACGGGAGGGTGAGAGAATTCACCAGAGCCAGAGCAGGGAGCAGAGCAGGCAGAAGGACCGAAGTACACTGCTGAGGGGAGCAGCGGGCGGCAGGAGAGGTCTGCGCGCCATGTGGGACCCTCCTCCGGTGGCCGGGAGCAGCCGGGGATCTAACTGGCGCTGCAGAGGCTGCGGGCAGCTTCGCATCCCAGTGCTCAACCACTGCGCCACCAGGGAGGCCCTGTAACTGTCTTTTTCATTTTAAATTTTTTATTGAGGAAACATTGGTTTACAACATTGTATATGAAGCAGAGGTAGAGGATCACACCTCTTTATCTTTTTAAAAGATTTATTTATTTATACAAGAACTGGGGTACAGGCCAGAAGCACAGGAGGGTGAGAGGATTCACCAGACACAGAGCGGGGAGCAGAACAGGCAGACAGACCGAAAACACTGCTGAGGGAGAGGAGCAGCGGGCGAGACAGGAGAGGTCTGCCGCGCCATGTGGTGAGCTCTCTGGCCAGGCGGAATAGAACGCGTGCTGCAGAGGCTGCCGACAGCTTCATGGGCTGCATCTTAACCCCTTACACCACCAGGGGGGCCCTCTTTTTTTTTTTTTTTTTTAAGATTTATTTATTTATGCATACAAGAGCTGGGGTGTAGGCCAGAGGTGTTGAGGTGAGAGGATTCACTAGAGACAGAGTGGAGAGCAGAACAGGCGAATCCACTGAAATACACTGCCGAGGGGAGCAGCGGACGAGACAGGAGAGGTCTGCTACGCCATGTGGGTAGCTCCCTCGAGGGGATCGAACTCATGTTGCAGTGGCTGCGGATAGCTTGATTGCACCGTGTCTTTAATCCCTGTTTTGTTTCTTTACACTCCATCGATAAGTGAAAACATCTGGTATTTGTCTTTCTCCTTCTGACTTATTTTGTTTAGCATAATCCCCTCCAGTTCTATCCAGGTTGTTCCAAATGGCCAATACTATAGCTGCATAGTATTCCATTAGTTATATTGATATATGTCACGGCTTCTTAATCCACTCATCATCCTGTTCTTATTGCTTTGGAGAGATCATGAATTTGGGTAATGATGACAGTAGATATCTTTGTCTGTGTCCTGATTTTAATAGGAATGTTTTTATAATACTTGGTCACCGAGTGTGAACTTTCCTGTAGTCTCTGGAGAGCTTTTTAAAATCAAATTAAGGAAGTTTCCTTCTATTCCTAGCTTACTGAGACTTTTTTAAAAAAATTTTTTAGAGATTTATTTATTTATGCATACAAGAGCTGGGGTACAGGCCAGAGATGTGGGGGGTGGGAGGATTCACCAGAGACAGAGTGGGGAGCAGAACAGGCTAATCGACTGAAACACACTGCTGAGGGGAGCAGCAGGCGAGGCAGGAGAGGTCTGTTGCACCACTGCTCCCTGGCCGGGGATTGAACTCATGCTGCAATGACTGCGGATTACTTCATAGTGCAGTGCTTAATCCCTTGCACCACCAGGGAGGCCCTGAGACTTAATTTTTTTGATGATCAGGAAAGGAATAAATAGGTATAGAATGTTTTTCAAAAATTTTCTAGAATGTACTATGATGATCACATGATATTTCTTCCTTAATGTTTATGTAGTAATTTGTTTTTAAATCTTTTTCCAGTTTTAGTATATGCAGTAGTTTGTATTAATAGATTTCCTTGTCTGCATGAGCTCAAGGCTAAAGATTAAGGTCTATTATTAGTCTTTTGATACACTAGATTTGCCTTGCTAAAAGACCTAAATTTGTGACATCAACTATAGTTAAAAATTTAGGGTTGGGGCCTCGCTGGTGGCACAAGGTTTTAGGTCTCACCACTGTGGGGCTGTCCCCTCTGCAGCATGAGTTTGATCCCCAGTCAGGGAGCTGACCCACATGGCGCAGCAGACCTCTCTGTCTTGCCTGCTGCTCCCCTGAGCAGTGTAGATCTGCCTGTTCTGTTCCCCACTCTCTCTGGTGAATCCTCCCACCCCCTGCACCTCTGGCCTACACCCCAGTTCTTGTATGCATAAATGGATAAATTTTTTTTTAAATGTAGGGCTTTTAAATGTGGTAGTCTGAATACAGGCTGAGCAGGTGGACAGTTTGAGAGGTCTAGGGCTGGGGTGTGGCACTGTGGGTGCCATCAAAGGGCAGGGAGGCAGGAGTGTAGCAGTGAAAGAACAAGCAATGACTCTAGGTTGTATGGGAAAGGAAGGAAAGCCAGGCAGGAGCAGAGACCTGGAGAAACTGGACAGTCTGGAGTGTTTGATGGGGTTGAAGAACAGGTATAATGAGGGTAAGGGGGCAAGTTGGAATCTGAAAAGCTTTAGGCAGAGAATAGATTCTGAAACTTTTCAATTTTGTCTGAACTGTGTCTCATTGATATTGGAGTCTCCGGCACTACCACGTGCCTTGTGCTTAGTGTCTGGTAAATCTTCAATAGGTAAGCATTCTGGAGATGGAGCTCCAGGTAATGACAAAATCCATGGTATAGCCAGGAGAATGGATGGCCAGCTTGGGGGTGGCTCTGATGCATCATTTATTCATTTGTCCAACAAAGATTTTGAACATCTGCTGTTGTGGCAGGTGCTGGGCTAAGCAGATGGTGGTGATAAAGCAGAGAACAAAACAGTCTGGACTTTACCATCATGGAACTTACAGTCTATGGAAGAAAATCAACACTAAACTATTAACTACATTCATGACATAATTATGACTAGAATCAATGCCTTGAAGGAAAAGTAAAGAGTGTGAGGAATGACTCTAACTAGGGGGACCTGGGTTAGCCTGGAGCTAGCTGAGACCTGAGTGGTGAGTCAGCTTGCCAGGCAAAAAGGTAGAAAAGCATTTCAGGCTGTAAAAAGGCTCTGAAGTGGGAGGATGGTAGTCTATTAGTAGAGGTAAAAGGAGGTCTTTGTGGCTCAGGTCATAAAGGGCCTTCTGGTGACATGAGGTTTTCTGGATTTTATTCTAAGAAAGAGAGAGAAAACTGAAGAGTTTATTGTGATCAGATGTGGGTGGGTATTTTTAAGGTCCAGTGCAAGGAATGGAGTCAATCCTACTCCCAAGACCACAGTACAGTATCCTCAGTGAAAAGGCATCCTGTTGAATTTTCCCTCCCTATCCCTGAACACTTCCCCCCACCCCCTCCTCCAGGAGCACCCCACCTAACAAGTTGGGCGTGTGCCTTTAAATACACATGTGGCTGTCATGTTTTATGCACGATGTAGATTTTTTTATGCACTATGTAGATTTTTCAAAACATTGTATAAAATGTTCATTTTAAAATTTAAGCAACATTGGGAAAAAACACTCCAAGGCTCATTCTGCAGGTATAGTCATCACTAATGTGTGCTTTTACTTAAACTTTTTTCACATAACACTGTTTTCAAGCTCTGTCTATACAGTAATGTGTGCCGCTAGTCTATTGTTTCTTACTGCTGCGCAGATATTAAGAATTCATTGACAGGTGCAGTTCCAAACACCTGAGCCCCTGGAGGGGACTGGCTGGGGGCACAGGAATGGTGCTGAGGAAGCCAGTGAGATCAGGGATAGTAACAGAACAGTAGCCCCAGTGAGCTGACAGGATGACTGACACTGGGTGGATCATCCATGTGGATTCTGATGGGGTACAGAGGCACCATGGATGTGGAGAGGAAAATAAGCCAGGTGCCAAAGTCCTCAATGAAAGAGAGCAAGCGACTGACTGGAAGATAATAGCACTGGGGGAGGGGGGTGGGTGGAAAGGGTTGGATGGCATGGGCCTCAAAGAGTTTTACCAGAGGAGAAATGGTCAGGAACTTGAACAGTGGAGTCAGTAGCCTCCACTCCAGGCGAGGAGGTGGGAGAACCCAAGTCACCTTCTTCAAGAGGAGGCCTGACCTCTCAAGAGAAAGCTCAGTTGTTTTTTTTTTTTTTTTTTTTTTTTTTTTGGGTGGGACTCTCGCCGGTGGCCAGGGATCGAACTGGCGCTGCAGAGGCTGAGGGCAGCCTCGCAGCCCAGCGCTCAACCGCTGCGCCACCAGGGGAGGCCCGAGAAAGCTCAGTTTCTGCCAAGCTAGAGGGGTGGGTATTCAGTGATGGCACTGAGGAGGGAGGGCACAGGGGGAGCCAGGTGACAGGGAGGCCATGTAGTGGTTGAGGTGAGATGGAAGAATCGGGAGTTCAAGTGCCAAGAGACTCAACAGTCAGGTGGTGACTATGGAAATCAGGGTGAGGTTTCCAAAGAGACAAGGGACCCCCATGTGTAAGTTGTCTCTGTGAGATCCAGGTGGAAGATGGAGGGTCCCCCACTTTTGCCCAATGAATACTTTGTAAGAAAAGTGTTCTCCTGCGGGGGCAAAGCACAGGTCAGTGCACTTAGGAGGCGAGGAAGAGGTAGCTAGAACAGTGAGTGTAGCCTGAGCCTGGAAAAACGGAAGGGAGGCAGGCAGGATGGCCGAGCAGGAGGCCCTGGAGGCCCTAGGGTGCAGTCCTGGTGGTGATGGGAGGGGTGGTGCCGGCAGGGTGAGGGAGAGACAGGAGTTCCTCGCTGCCCACGGCTCTGGGCAGCGCTCGGATTCCACCTCCCCAGCCTTCCCCCTCCAGTGCCCCAACCCCATCTCTCCCCGCTTAGGCAGATCAGCCTTCGGGAAAGGGTGGCCGGCTCCGCCGGGATGGCGTCTCTGGCCCGGGACATCCGCGCCGCGCTGTCTCGCCAGAAACTGGACCACGTGTGGACCGACACGCACTACGTGGGGCTGCAGTTCCCCGACCCGTGAGCGCGTGGGGGCGGGGCCGAGGCTGGGGGGAGGGTCGCGCGCGGCGAGCGGGGTGTGCACGCTCAACAGCCCCAACCCTCAGGGCTCGCCCCAATACCCTGCACTGGATCGGTGAGGCCGGGAGGCTCGAGGAGCAGCTGCCGCTGGAGGACCCCGACGTCTACTGTCCCTACAGCGCCACCGGCAACGCCACGGTGCGCGCCTCGGGCTCAGCCCCCAGGAAGGGGTGGGGCGGGAGGGGGACAGCCAGACCCCCTTCCCTGGTGGTGGAGGAGCTGACGTCGTGTGCGCCTCACTATGCTCCCCGTCTCCAGGGCGAGCTGGTGTACGCCCACTACGGGCGGCCAGAGGACCTGCAGGACCTGCGCGCCCGGGGCGTGGAGCCGGCGGGGCGCCTCCTGCTGGTGCGCCTGGGGGTGATCAGCTTTGCCCAGAAGGTGAAGAACCCACGATGGGGGAATGGAAAAGGGCGGCGAGGGTGCGAGATGGGCAGTCCTAAGATCCTCTGTCAGAGAGAGGAGAACCACGTGGATCATAAGAACATGGTGGGGAGCAAAATCAGGAGAGGGATGGGGAGTTGAAAAATAAGGGCATGTGGGGTCCCATGAGGTTTGAGGGCTGCCAAGGCACTGCAGGAGGGAATGAAGTCCTGCCACAGTCTCCCTGTGGTACCCACAGTTGCAGGTCTAAGGCCATGTTATTTCACCTGCATTTGCTCCTCCTGCCCTTACAAGTTGGTTTTCTCTCGAAGGAGTCCATTAGCCACTGTCTTCCCCAGGTGGCCAGTGCCCAGGACTTTGGGGCCCAAGGAGTACTCATATATCCTGACCCTGCAGACTTCTCCCAGGACCCACACAAGCTAGGCCTGTCCAGCCATCGGGCTGTGTATGGACACGTGAGTCTGTAAGAAGGCGGCAGTGCCTTCCCAGGTCCCCGGCCCCATCTCCTGTCTGGGAAGAAGCTGGCACACTCTTCCTGAGAGCCCGTACAGTTTCGTTGTCAGCACCCCTCTCCCCACAGGTCCACCTGGGAACTGGAGACCCCTACACACCTGGCTTCCCTTCCTTCAATCAAACCCAGTTTCCTCCAGTCCAGTCCTCAGGCCTCCCTAGCATCCCCGCTCAGCCCATCAGTGCAGACATTGCATCCCTTCTGCTGAGGTGAGGGGCATATGGCGGTCAGGAGAGGGGGCAGGGAAGGGTAGGCTGCCACTAGCCTATAGGTGCCTTTTGGTGAACTAGGAGACTGGCCCTTATTCTGGGTGAGCACAGCTTCTTGCCAGGACCCACCATTTGGTGGGTAGAGCAACAGCTCGATTTCATACCCACTTCCCTGGACACCCTTGAGCAGTACACAACCTGCACAACTGCCCGAGGCAGGACTGGTGAGCAAGGACTGGTGAGAAGCAGCAAGGGAGGGCTGGGGGTGGAAGGAAAGAGCGAAGAGGGGTCTTTGGGCTCTTCTACAGCCCGGGCCTCTCTGCCATTTCCAACTCTGCTCCACTTCTTTCCAGGAAGCTCAAAGGCCCAGTGGCCCCCCAGGAATGGCAGGGGCACCTACCAGGCTCCCATTATCGCCTGGGCCCTGGGCCAGGCCTGCACCTAATGGTCAACAACCACAGGGTCTCTACTCCCATCAGCAACATCTTCGGTTGCATCGAAGGCCGTTCAGAGCCAGGTGTGCTTGCTTGCCCGGCATCCCCAACAGCCTGCAGGAGCTGTGTAATGGCCCTGGCAAGAGATGGGGCTGGAGCAGGGGGCCTAGGAGGGGGCGAGAGAGGTGCCCCAGGGAGGAGGGCAGCTTTGACTGAAGTGAAGGGTGTGGCAGGGGCTAGCTCTGAGGTAGGCTGGCAAGTTCAAGGTAACCTGGGATGAGGGAGGGTAGCAGTGAGACTCCACTGTCACAACCACCCAGAGTTCTGCCCAGCAGTGAGCAACCAAGCACTGGAGGTGAGCAAGCACCTGCTGGGTGATGTTCTAGAATGAAAGGGAGGTCAGACTAGATAGGAAACACTTTCCAGCATAGCTGGGTATGCATAAAGGTGGGGAATCAAAGCAGGTTCTTGCACGCTGGAGTGTCATTGCTTTAAGAATTAAGGGAGCAGCCCAGGGAGGCCTGTAATGAGGCTCAGCTGGGATGCCGGTGGTAGGAATGTGAGAGATTTAAAAGAATAAAGCCCATAAGGACAGCTGAGGTAATGGAGTCCAGAATGACTCCAGGCACTTCCTGGAGGAGCAGGCCTTCCAAGGCTGCGCCAAGAGGAGAACTATTCCCTGTGGGGCAGCAGGATTAAGGGTAGGGTTGCAGAGATGTGAAGGGCTGAAGACTGATGGAGGAGGCCTGAAGAAATGGTGGTGCCGCTCTGCCAGCACCCACCTTTCAAACATCCCCCCTTCCCCCAGATCACTATGTTGTCATCGGGGCCCAGAGGGATTCGTGGGGCCCAGGGGCAGCCAAATCAGCAGTGGGGACTGCCATACTGCTGGAGCTGGTTCGAACCTTTTCTTCCATGGTGAGCAATGGTAAGGTCAGGGGCAGGGCCTGGGCCAGGCAGCTGGGGCTATGACAGAGCCAGGATGGGGAGAGAGGCAGTTAGGAGCTCAGCCTGCAGGGTGGCCATTCAGACTTCCAAACCTGGCCACTCATGTCCTACCTTTGTGGCCCTGGGCAAGTTATTATCTCCATTTCCTCATCTAAAAATGAAAGTAGGGCCTCCCTGGTGGCATAGCTGGGTTGCGAAGCTGCCCACAGCCTCTGCAGCGCCAGTTCGATCCCGGCTGCCGGGCGAGGGTCCCACATGGCGCTCAGACTTCTCCTGCCGCCCGCTGCTCCCCTCAGCAGTGTACTTCAGTCTGTCTGCTCTGCTCCCCGCTCTGGCTCTGGTGAATTCTCTCACCGTCCTGCGCTTCTGACTGTACCCAGTGCTTGTATAAATAAATAAATAAATCTTTAAAAAAAATAAAATAAAAATAAAAGTAATAATCACCCATGGTCTGAGTGAAGAGCAGGCAAGAGATTCCATATGTAAACAGTCTCCATCCCAATTACAATTGAGTCAGACAGACCCAGGAGAGATGGGCTGGGATGGGCGTGTAGTGAAAGGGAAGGAGAGACCCCAGGAAGGAAGAAGAAAGAGAGGTGGCCTTGCTTAACCCCCAACAGAGCCCATCCTCTCTGCCCCCAGGCTTCCAGCCCCGCAGAAGTCTTCTTTTCATCAGCTGGGATGGAGGTGACTTTGGGAGTGTGGGCTCCACGGAGTGGCTGGAGGTAATGTGGGGTCCTGGGTAGGTGTCAATCAGTGGGGAGAGCTGGAGGGGTGGTTCCACACTCCATGTCCCTCACCAACAGGGCTACCTGAGTGTGCTGCACCTCAAAGCCGTAGTCTATGTGAGCCTGGACAATGCAGTGCTAGGTGAGCAGGGCAGTGCCATCTGCCATCCCCTGGGCCGTTTCAGGGACACCCCTGCCTTCAGGCCAAGTCATGAGCCTGGTATCCCTCCCCCACCCTCTCTGCAGGAGATGACAAATTCCATGCCAAGACTAGCCCCCTTCTCATCAGCCTCATCGAGAACATCCTGAAGCAGGCAAGAGCCCAGTCAGGAGCAGGGGGTGAAGGGGTGAAGGGAAGCTGGTGAGGGCCAGAGCCTGACCAGTGTGGCCGTCCCCCCCTCCCCAGGTGGATTCTCCCAACCATAGCGGGCAGACCCTCTATGAGCAGGTGGTATTCGGCAATCACAGCTGGGATGCTGAAGTGTAAGTTGGGGGCGGGGAGGAAAGCCGGGGATGAGGGGGCACCTGAACCCACACAGCATTCCCACCTGCCCACCCTCAGGATCCGACCACTGCCCATGGACAGCAGCGCCTATTCCTTCACGGCCTTTGCAGGGGTCCCTGCCGTTGAGTTCTCCTTCCAGGAGGTGAGCCCGCCCGGCAGCAGCAGCCCCTCTTCGGTCTGCACCAGGGCCCAGCGCCAGCCCCCCATTCCCTGTCCCCGCAGGACAGCCAGGCATACCCTTTCCTGCACACGAAAGACGACACATATGAGAACCTGCACAGGGTGCTGCGAGGCCGCCTACCCGCTGTGGCCCAGGCTGTGGCCCAGCTCGCTGGGCAGCTCCTCATCCGACTGAGCCACGATCACCTGCTGCCCCTCGACTTCGGCGGCTATGGGGACGTGGTCCTCAGGCACATAGGCAGCCTCAACGAGTTCTCTGGGGATCTCAAGGTCGAAGATGCCATCCGAGCTCCCTGCTACTGGGGGTGGGGGTGGGCATCGCCCCTTAAAGCGCAGCCCAGCCCCTCCCCCAACTCTTGGGTCTTGATCCCCCAGTCACTTAAGCCCCTAAAGCCCAGCTCCGGTGCTGTCCCAAGCCCCAGGGATTTGTTCCAACCTCCAGGCCCGGGTCTTCATCTTCCCTTTCCACCCTGCTCCCAGCCTTGGGTTCCCCTCTCCCTCCCCCTCCCGCCAGGCCCTGTGCCCCAGCACCTGCACCCCCAGCCAAAGCCCGCGTCCTAGGCCCTGCCGCCGGCCCCAGCCTGCACCTCCGCCCTCAGGCCCGCGGACTGACCCTCCAGTGGGTGTTCTCGGCGCGGGGAGACTACATCCGGGCGGCGGAGAAGCTGCGGAAGGAGATCTACAGCTCCGAGGACAGCGACGAAAGGCTGATGCGCATGTACAACGTGCGCATCATGAGGGTGAGCCCCGCCCCGCCCCGCCCCGCCCGCCTCCCCGCGCCCTGGGGATGCCTGCCCGGCTTCTCCCTACCGGGCTCTTGTGCCAGGGACGCTCTTTCACGGACCGGCAGGGATGGAGGGACCATTGAGACAGGCCCTGCATAGTGATGAAAGGGAAAGGCCGTTGACCATAGTCGACCGGCCGACGGGTGGCAGAACTGAGGATGCGGGGAGGGGTGCACATATCCCCCCTAAGAGATACCCCCCTGGAGAGAAAAAGCATGTCCCTGATGGTCTGCAGAACATAGGCAAGCTTATGACCCGGGAGGTGCAAAAAGCTTATTAAATGCAAAGCAGGGCCTCCCCGGTGGCGCAGCGGTTGAGCGCTGGGTTGCGAAGCTGCCCGCAGCCTCTGCAGCGCTGGTTCGATCCCCGGCTGCTCCCCGGCCACCGGAGGAGGGTCCCACATGGCGCGCAGACCTCTCCTGCCGCCCGCTGCTCCCCTCAGCAGTGTACTTCGGTCCTTCTGCCTGCTCTGCTCCCCGCTCTGGCTCTGGTGAATTCTCTCACCCTCCCGCGCTTCTGACTCGACCCAGTGCTTGTATAAATAAATAAATAAATCTTAAAAAAAAAAAAAAAAAGAAGAAGAAGAAATGCAGAGCATGGAGAGCTGTGTTCTGGTAATGAGATAGATGAAATACAGAAAGGCTGCTTGGGGGAAGTACATGTGGAAGTTAATCAAGATCTTATTCCCTCACCAGTCACTGCTTAGCTTTGTTTTTTTTTTTTTTTTTTTATAGAGGCATGTTTTTATTTATTTATTTATTATATTTGTTTTGTTTTTGTTTTTGTTTATACATGCACTGGGTACAGTCAGAAGCGCGGGAGGGTGAGAGAATTCACCAGAGCCAGAGCGGGGAGCAGAACAGGCAGAAGGACCGAAGCACACTGCTGAGGGGAGCAGCGGGTGGCAGGAGAGGTCTGCGCACCATGTGGGATCCTCCTCCGGGGCCGGGGAGCAGCCGGGGATCGAACCGGCGCCACGGAGGCTGTGGGCAGCTTCGCAACCCAGCGCTCAACCGCTGCGCCACCGGGGAGGCCCCACTGCTTAGCTTTGAATACTTCGCAGCTCACCTGCCTCTCTTTCATTTCTTCATCCTAACAACTCAACCCTGCAATCATCTGATCTTGGAAAATACATGGCTAGGGACTGTGGGTGTGGGACAAGGTCTACAAGTCAAAATTATTAGTGAATGTAGGGTGAATGGGGAACCCATTGTGTACCCACGCAGTCTGGGAAGTCTGTGTGCCCCCTGTAAGCTGGTGTTCTTCCTCTCCCTTGTGTTTTTTCCTGCATGCACCCATTCTGCCTGTCCCTTGGCATCACCCATTCTTTCTATTCACAAGCCTATCCCTTTTGCTTTTTTGTCCTTGCCCTTGCTCCTGCTGCCTCTTATTCTCTCTCCTTACAACCTTCTCTCCCCCCACCCCTTCCTGACCTCTCCTCCTCTTGCCTTTGTCCCCTTCACTGAGACACGGAAGACCCTGTGGTAGGAGTGGATGGGCATGGTTCATTCTCATTTACAGATCTTCGTTTAATCCCTGCTGTGCCAGACTTCAGGAGCACAAATAGACATCTCACCCCACCCCTGAAATTGCCTCCCATCCCTACCCCTAAAAGTCATCCCTACACAAAAGGCATCTGTGTATAAGGGGCAGAGTAGGGACAAGTCTCAGGTTCAGGACTTCAGACCCAAAACACAGGGCTCATGCCCACCCAGGAAACTTGGTAGATCTAGACCAGGGGTTGGTAGACTATGGCCAGAAAGACAAATTTGTCTCCTGCCTCCTGTTTAATAAATAAAATTTGATTGCAACATGACATGCTTATTGGTTATTGTATTGTATGTGGCTGCTTTTGTGCTACAACAGCAAAATTCAGTTGTTGCATCAGGAACAGGATGGCTTGCAAAACCTAAAGTATTTACTATGTGGCTTTTTGCAGAAAACAAATGCTGACCCTTGCTTTAGGCCGTGACTTGGGTCTTAAAGTTCAGACAGAATTTAGGTTGGTGCAAAGAAAAGCCTTTCCAGGTTGGTTGGAGACCCAGAACAAGGGTGTGACAGTGAAATAGGCCTGACTGTCCTAGGGAACAGGGCGTGGACTAGTAGAGCCTGAACAGAGAACTGATGGAGAAGTGGAGGGAAGAAGAGCACCAAATGGTGGCCTAGGGATCAACTGTGAAGAGCCTTGAGTGCCTTAAAGTTTTCAGGTTTGGGCATCAAGGAAATTAGGGAAGGTTTTGAGCAGGCAGGTGATGGGAACAAAGTGGAATTTAGGAAGAATTTGGCCACAGTATGGCCAAAGAAAGAATGAAGAAAGAATGACCTGAAGAAAGAATAAAGTTAGTGAGGGCTGAATTCCGGCAGAGGGTGGCAAATGGCAGTAAGTGCCACTGTGGGTGAGGGGATCAGACTGATAGGATATTTAGAAGGAAACAAGGACAGACTGGGTGTTGAGGGCCACCATTTGCTAGGGGCTTACTTCATTTTGTTCCCCATAGGACTCTCCTAAAATCCTATGAGGTTGCTAATATTGTACACAGAACTAAGGCCCAGAGAGGCTAAGTAATTTGCAGTCTGACCCCAAGACCTTTGCTCCCCCCACTCTTACTCACCTTCAAGTCTGAGAAGCTGGCACCTGGGGAACACCATAGTTTCCTAGGAGGAATGTGGGTAAAGGGCCAGGCTCCAGAAGAGATTGGTGAAGATATTATGTGTCTGTGTCCAGGTGCTCCCCCCCACCCTTGGGGTGGGGGGGAAGAAGCTGGAGGGCAGGATGATTGGGTGAGTAGAACTGGAAACTCCCCATGAGGGCCTGCTTGAATTCAGGGGTCTAGATGTCTCTGTGAATGAAAGATGTTGGCCCTAAAAAGATATGAGTGTGTGAGGCCCCTAAAGCTTCTGATTTTGCTGGGGAGGTGCTGAGAAATGGTAATTTAAAAACTTTTCCCAAGTGATTCTAATAAACAGTCAGGGCAGAAAACTGCTGGATTGTGGGTAAAGAGGAGAAGAGGTCCAACTGAGGGTTCACCCACAGATAGGAACAGGAGGAGCCAGAAAGGTGGGAGAACTGAGCTAGGAACAAGCTGTTATAGGACAGGGAAAAGGGTCAGCCCAAACCCCGCAAACCTGCCTATTCTAAATGGGTTCTGCCATCCGCCGCATCAACACAAAACATAGGAGACTTTAATGGGAAGGAACTTTAATAAAACTAAGAAACAATACAGGTAAGGCAAAGAGTCTAGGTAAGGCAAAGAGTCTAGTTTCTAAGTGAAGCACCCAAAGTTACCCGTCCCCTCGTGGGTAAAAGTCCATCCAAATGGGATTGGCCCAGAGCAAGGCCCCAAAGCCTGCCATGAGTCTAAAGCACCTTCCAGTGGGGACCCACAGCAAAGGGTCACAAACAACTGGACAAGCCCGGAAGGGAAAGAGCAAAATCAACATCAAGATAAAAGCTGCCATTGTCACCTCCCCACGGGTCTCACCCACATCTGTGTCACCTAGTCCACGACCAAAAGACAAGCGCAGTTTCTTCACGTGTCTCTAGGCTCCATGTGCCTCCTCCAGGTCTCCTGGCTCCATCCTGCTTCCTTCCTCAGTCTCTTCAGCAGCTTCTCCTCTTCCTGCTCAGCTCCACCCTCCCTTGGGAGGGGCAGGGAACCTCCCCCTTTCCTGGGGACCACCCTGTTGCAAAGCCATCTCAGTAAAGATGTAACAACATCTGAGTCAGAATCAGGCACTTCACTGGGGCTGGGCTGCCTGCTTGACCTTTGGCTCTGGCCTGTGGACACTGGTAGAGGTGGGGCAGAATGACTAGGTTGCTAAAAGCTGTGGCATTAAGAGGAACAAGACAACAGATTGTTCTTTGAGGCTTAGGATGGGGGGAAGTGAATGGGTGAGGAAGTCTGGGGAGACCTAGATACAGGCTTGGAGTAACTCACAATCTGACCCCAAAACCTGTGCTCACCCCACTGTCACTCACCTTCATGGCTGAGAGTCTGGCACATGGGGAAGACTGATTTCCTAAGAGGAATGTGGGTAAAGTTAAGGTGACTGAAGGGATGGGACCCAAAATACAATTGGAGCAAACATCCTACCTGGCTACTGATGACATCACCAAATGACCTTTCCTGATTGGGTAGCCAAAGGGAGGTGGGTCATAAAGAAGGGCTCAACATTGTTAAACACACTATTGTAGAGCCCAAACTAGACTAGGAATTGCTCTTCAGGCCCTTTGCTCTGAGGTAGAGGCCTCACCCAGACCTGTTCCCCTTCTCCATACAGGTGGAGTTCTACTTCCTGTCTCAGTATGTGTCACCCGCTGATTCTCCATTCCGCCACATCTTCCTGGGCCAGGGGGACCACACACTAGGGGCCCTGCTTGAACACGTGCGGCTGCTGCGTGGTGGTAACTCTAGGGACCCTGAGGCTTCCTCCTCTGCGGTCTCACCTGGCCCGGGCTTCCAGGAGAGCCGCTTCCGTCGCCAGCTGGCCCTGCTTACCTGGACACTGCAGGGGGCAGCCAATGCCCTTAGTGGGGATGTCTGGAACATCGATAACAACTTCTAAGGTCCAATGTGGGTGTGTAGGGGTACCCCCATATACCCCTGCCTCCTGCTGAGTGCTCCTGCCCTCACTTGAGTGGTTTCTGGGTGACCTAAGCCAACACTCACCTACACACCCCTACCCCTGCAACTATAGGAGTGACTGAGCAGTACTTTGCATAAAGAAGGGCCATACTGTCAGCTAGACAGTGGACAGCGCCCTTTCGCTCAGTCACAGCCTCCTCTCTGACCCTCCCCTTCAAGAGCAGCTCCTTTCATACACACATACCTAGAGAGCACTCTGGAAAGTGTCCTAGGCCCTGGGACCTGGCCAGCTGTCTTGGTGGGAGAGATGGCTGGGACCGTAGCCCGTGGCCAACAGGTGGCCTGTGATGGGAAGGACTGAGGGTGGGACCTCAATAAACCATCTAGTTGCATCTGTTGTTTATAAGCACCTTTCTGCTTCTTCACCCTTACTCCACCCAGTTGTTCCTCCCTAGAGATCTCAGGAAGGGATGGGCAGAAAGGGCCAGAGAAAATGCACTGGAAATGCTATCTCCATGGGAAACTCTGAGCTGGTTACCTAAGCAGCTAAGCAAACTGCCTGATGAAATAAGGAGGGTCATTCTCCAAACCCCACCATGGACAGGGGGCGAAGGGGTTGGGTCTGTGTCTAATGGAAGTGGGGACGCTTTAATTTGTACTGCCTGTTGCCGCTTACTCAAAAAGCAAGGACAAGGCTTATTTCTTCCACAATCTCTAACCTGTCGTGGTCATTTTTTATTTGACCTTTAATGTCCAGACCCCTCAGACACAGGGAGATACTCTGGGGCAAATCCTTTTCAGCACTCAAGGTTCTGTCCCACAATTTGGTAGACTGAACATGTACCTGACCCAGATCTGGACCCTCCCTGTGCCTGCACCCAGGGACCTGCTGGAAAAGAAAGTTAGCAGCTGTTGCTAGGTGGGGGCAGGGAGATGTCAGGTGAGAACCCACCCAGGGGAAGCAGGAGTCCTGGCACATGTTCCATTGTCCTGTCAGATTGCACTTATAAAAATAAATTCAGGGTCTCCCTGGTGGCGCAAGGGGTTAAGACGCAACCTATGAAGCTGTCCGCAGCCACTGCAGCATGAGTTCAATCCCCGGCCGGCCAGGAAAACAACCCACTTGGCGCAGACCTCTCCTGTCTCGCCTGCTGCTCCCCTCAGCAGTGTATTAACATCGATCTGCCTGTTCTGCTCCCCGCTCTGTCTCTGGTGAATCCTCTCACCCTCCTGCACATCTGGCCTACACCCCAGTTGTTGAATGCATAAATAAATAAATCTTTAAAAAAATAAATTCAAAGGTAAAATCATTAACCCACAAACACGGCCCTCCTCTGAGCACAGGGCCCTGTGAGTCTTCAGTGGTCACACACCTGTGAGGTTGGTCCAAGCCAGGATCTCATCTCCCCCCAGGGTCCCTTGGGCCAATCTTTGTGCAAGCAGGTGGGAGCTGTAATATGGTAGGGTATCCCAAGTGCTGCTGGGTTCCTTCACCTTTAATCAGTCTCAGGAGACTGTAGCCTTGGCTTTCATTGCCAGGACAGCTGCATAAATCCTGGGGCCTTGAGGGCAGCCTGAGAGGTGCTACCCAGCTCCTTGAGATGGTGCAAGTGAACACTTCTTAGTCTCTGGCTCAGGATGTCCAGTCTCTGGGTTCCAAAGTGAAACTGCCACTTCCTTGACCCTGACTGGGTAGTTTCTCTGGAGCCTGAACTGAGGCCAGCAACTTGTTTGGCTGCTTGCTTCCCTGACATGCTGTCCAGAACACATTTTTCTAGAGTGGTTTTGTTACAGGGCAGGGGGAGGGGCAGCCCAAACCCCGCAAACCTGCCTGTTCTAAATGGGTTCTGCCATCCACCGCATCAACACAAAGCATATGAGACTTTAATGGGAAGGAACTTTAATACAATTTGGAAACAATACAGGAAAGGCAAAGAATCTATTTTCTAAATCAAGCACCCAAAGTTACCCGTCCCCTCGTGGGTAAAACTCCATCCAAATGGGATTGGCCCAGAGCAAGGCCCCAAAGCCTGCCACAAGTCTAAAGCATCTTCCAGTGGGGACCCACAGAAAAGGGTCAGAAATAACCAGACAAGCCCGGAAGGAAAAGAGCAAAATCAAAATCAAGATAAAAGCTGCTATTGTCACTTCCCCACGGGTCTCACCCACATCTGTGTCACCCAGTCCACGACCAAAAGACAAGCACAGTTTCTTCACGTATCTCTAGGCTCCATGTGCCTCCTCCAGGTCTCCTTCTGGCTCCATCCTGCTTCCTTCCTCAGTCTCCTCTGCAGCTTCTTCTCTCCCTGCTCAGCCCCACCCTCCCTTGGGTGGGGCAGGAAACCTGGAACCTCCCCCTTTCCTGGGGACCACCCTGTTACAGTTTCTCAGTCCTTCCTCATCCATTTGCTCCCTGAAGTAGAAAGAGTAGCTGTCTGGACACATATGTACATGTCCTCTAAGCCCTGGAACCTGTGAATGAATGTTACCCTACATAACAAAAAAAAAAGACTTTGAGATGTGATTATGTTGAGAACTTGAGATGGGAGTATTATGGGTTGAATTGTGTTCTCCCAATTCACATGTTAAAGCCCTAATCCCCCAGCACCTGGGAATGTCTCTATATTTGGAGATAGACCATTTAAAGAGGTGACTGAATTAAAAGGAGGCAATTAGAATGGGCCCTAACCTAATTCCACTGGTGTTCTTCGAGTAAACAGACCCAGGTAGTGCTCTGTTTGAGGACACAGCTAGAAGTGGCCATCTGCAAGCCAGGGAGAAAGCCTGCAGGAGACACCAAATGGGATGACACCTTGATCTTGGACATCTAGCCTCCAGAACTATTAGAAAATCATTTTCCATTGTTTAAGTCCCCCAGTCTGTGGCATCCACAGCACATTAGCGGGGAGATTATTCTAGATGGGAGAGGGACAATGCAATTGCTAGGGTTCTTGTAAGAGGCAGGGGGATCAGAAATAGAGAAAAGTGGTCTGACAACAGAAGCAGAGGGTGAGAGGCAAAGATGTGAAGATGCTACTCTCCTGGCTTTTTTTTGTTTAATTAAAAACAACAATCATTCATTTTTTCACTCCTAGCCTTAAGGATAGAGGAAGGGACCACAAAGCAAGGAATGCAGGTAGGTGGCCTCTGGAAGTAAAAGACAAAGAAACATTTCCTTCTCCCTTAGGCCCTCCCAGAAGGAATGCAGCCCTCTGGCGGCTTGGTTTTATTCCCAGAAGACACATTTTGGACTTCAGGCCCCAAAAAACTATAAGAGAATTAATTTGTAGTGTTTTTAGCCACTAGGTTTATGATAAATTGTTACAGCAGCCACAGAAAACTAACATTCACTTACTCTAACTACGGTAAGCTGAGTATTGGTTTCTAAAAACTTAAGAAACAATAGCTGCTTCAAGGCTCTCTCTGAAAGCCTTTCTGTCGTCACCAGCAACAAGGCCTTTTCACAGCAAATACCAGCAGGGTTATTAATGTTCAATGAAATGCCTTTTTGGGGTCCTGGGCACAGCCTGTCCAATATGACAGTGGCTGCTTGTACATGTGTCACCTGGAGAGTGGTTTGCTGCGCTGTGGTGAAGCCCACCCATACTCCCAGACACATGTTGCAGAGCCTTTCTCTGTACACCATGGGCCAGTGGGTGTAGGAGGGGCAAGACTCCCCTCTGGGCAGAGGGGCTGCTCCCCAGGCCCCCAAAGTAAAGCTGGAACAACTGATAATCTTTCAATAGCATAACAGATGGGGTCTATTTTAACATAATTTTGCTGGGTTTTGTCCCCAATGAACAATCTTGCCACTGCCACTAGTGGGCCCCTCTCCCTTTACTCCCCTTCTCCACATCTGAAGGAAGGCAGGTGGGTTGAAATCCTGCCTTTCTAGGGTCCTATTCTTTTTCAGTGCCTTAGTTTCTCCTACCTGGTTAAACTGGTTATGTCAGGCAATGCCACGCCCCCAGGACCTTGCATTTCTGACCCAAGGGAGTTGAAGTCTTAAAGAGACAAAATAAAAACCAATAAAGGGTCAAAAGACAGAAGAGGATTCTGGAGATTGGAAGCATCCAGGCAACCTTGGCAGGAGGCTCCTGACAGTGAGACGTCAGTTCTACAGTGGACAGGATTGTTGGTATTTTTGTGTGTTTCCTTGGGACAGAATCCTATTTTAGGGCTTAAGGGAATCGTGAAAATCCCCTTTCCAAGTCCTTCATTTTAGAGGTAGAAGCTGAAACACAGAGGAATTAAAAGACTTGATCAAGGTCACAGCATTTTTGGGCAGTACCAGGACTAGAACCCAGATCTAAAAGCCCACTGGTCCACTTCACCACCCAGGTCCCCTAGGAATGGGAGCAGGAAGGAACTGGAGGAAAAGAAGTGGGAAGAAAGGGGTATGTTTCCTACATTTTTCAGTTTAATTTTAAAAATTTAGTTTATTCAACTTGGAAAATTAATACAAATCCCTGGGTATTTCTGTCAGGGTTTAGGTGGGGCTGGTGGACAGGAAGGATGAAGGAAGGAGGAGTTGAGGCAAGGTCTGGGCATCACAGTGGCTGTCTCACATCCCACATCACTCACTGCCCGTGGACTGGACCGGGTGGAGGCTGAGCAGGGCGCTCAAGTTCGAAGGAACACCATGGTGAGGAGGCCTAGGGAGGGGAGAAAGAACAAGATCCGTTGAGCGGCCCTGGGGCTGTGTTAGCTTCTTCCTATCCCTCAACTCCTTTCTCTGAGCCCTGGATGCCCAAGTCCCTACTATGCTCACCCAAGACGTAGGCTGCCACCAACTTTTGTCCCAGGGAGACGTGCAGGATTTGGGGCAGCTGGCTGCCGAGCTCATCCTGAAGCGGGAGCAGTAGGAAGGCCACAGAGACGATGCCCGTCAGCAGGAATAGGAGGAAGGAGCTGGTGGCCAGCTGCGGGTGGGGGTCTGGGAAACAGAACTTGTCAGAAGCTCTAGTCCTCTCCTGCCTAATCCCAGGCTTTCCAGGAAGGAGGATGAATGTGAAAGATGTGTCCACTTTCTTTGCACTCCAGAGAACACTGTCAAGTGCCCTCCCCTCCCTCGAGCCTCTTGTCTACTGCAAGAAACCCTCTCTCCACTGATGCCACAGCATCCTTTTTATCTGCTTTGATTACTGGCTCCTGACCTACCTGCCAGGCAGGGCCGTCTGTCTCCCAAGCCAAGTACACAGCTTGGTACAGCATAATCTCTCAGTACAGGTTTCTTGTTGAACTGAACTGAGCTGGGATGTGATAGAAAGTAATTAAGGGCCTCCCTGGTGGGGCAAGGGATTAAGCACCGCACTATGAAGCAATCCGCAGCCTCTACAGCACAAGTTCAATCATGGGCCGGCCAGGGAACAACCCACATGGCACAGCAGACCTCTCCTGACTCTCCCGCTTCTCCCCTCAGCAGTGTTTCAGTCACTCTGCCTGTTCTGTTCCCCTTTCCCAAATCTGATATAAAATCTTAAGTCCTAGAAATGTTTCCACCAAAAAAGCAAATACTGAACCAGGAGACCTTTTCTAATGCAATTTGAGCTCATTTCTAAGGTATTGCTAGGTGCTCCCTCCCTGCAAGGCTCAAGAACCCCCACCAACAAACTCACTTTCTGGGAAGTGTCCGGCTGTGGGTGATGCTGTCCAGGAAGGAGGCCCTGGGTGAGGCGTTGGGTTGGGCTGTCCCTGAAGCTCAAGGGGGTATGCTGGGGCCCTCAGGACTGAGGTGATGTCCTTCCTCCCCACCACTCGGCCTTCAGCTCCCTCCTCAGACAGCTCAATTCGGAAGCGATCCTGGACATCATAGTGGCTGGGAGTGGGGGCCACATGGCGAATCACACTGTTTTCAAGACAGGGAGGAAGTGGGTGAAGAAGCAATCCAAATGGATCGAGGTCCCACCCTCCGAAGCCTTTCTCTTAGGGATGAGAAAATAGGTTGAAGAGGTCCAGGTCTCAGACCTAAGACAACAGCGCAATAATTCAGAGGAAGGTGGCAGCCATCCCTGAATTCCATCAACTTCCCCACCCTCTAACTCACATGTCAATGCAGGACTGAGGCTTCACATATCCTTCTGCGTCAAACACTGTGTATTTGGCAGGTGCAGTGCACAAGACTGAGGGATAAAGGCATACAGAGATCCACTATCGCCTCAGAGACCCTTCACAAGCCCTGTCCTTGCCTTCTACCCCAGGGCTGAACAAGTCTCTTCCAGCGCCCCGGGGCTGGGACATCTGACGGCACTTATCTGACTTCTCCAGTCCACACAGCCTCCCCCACAACGCCCCCCCACACCCCACAACGTCCCGCCGCCAGCTCCCAGACCCTAGCCCAAAATGCCCATCCCTTCACCTCGGAAGCGAAGCGCAGCTCCTGTGGGATTATAGAGGGTCAGCAGCTGCCGGGGTCCGCTCCGCTGGTCAGCTCTGAATACTAGATCCGGGGGAAAGACGAGCACCGGGACAACAGGTCCCGAGGGAGGAGGGGCGCCCCGGGACCCTCGTCCGGGAGGCCCGGAACCCACGAGCTCCTGGTCCTGGGGCGCCCCACGGCGCATGCAGGCTCTGGTCGGTGGGACATCCGAGGGCAGAGCTCAGGGAACAGGGCCCGGAGTTTAGAGCTGGGGGCGCGAGAGGGACAAAACGCAACGGGATGAGACCGTGGGGCAGGGCCTGGTCTGAAGCCGCCGCCGCCGCCTAGGATTCCCGCTAGCTGAGGCCCCCGCAGACCAGGTCCCCAAGGCCTGGCGCTCGCCAGCCCGTCCCGGGTCCCTGTAGGCCCCGCCCCCAGGCCCCTCCTCGCTGGCCACGCCCACCCCGCAAACCCGGCCTCTCGAGCTCCCACCCCGGTCCAGTCTCCGAGCCCGGTTTCCGATCTTCACAAACTCCACCCCGTCGCAGGCCCCGCCCCTTCCGGGCGTCCCGGCCGCCCCGCCTCGCCCCTCTACCTATCCCACCGCCCCCTGCCGCCCCCACCCGGGTCGCTCACTCAGCCCCTCCGGGCCTGCAGGAGTCCTGTGTCCGTGCCGCCGAAGTCCGCCCTCGCCCCCGCCTTGAGCTGGGGCTCGCGCTCCGGGGGCTTCCTCCTCCAAAGGCCCCTCGTGCCAGGATGCTCACCTTCTGGCCAGAGCACCTGCCTATCAACTTGCGGCCCCTCCGGGCTGCCATCTTCCCGAGACATCGTGTCTGCACTTCCGCCGTACGGCCTGTCATTGGCCAGGGCGGTCGAGTTTCCACCCTGTGTGGGCGCCGATTGGTGCGCTTGAAGACGGGTCTTGATCTTAGTGACGTAAAACGTTATGGGCCTCTTGGCTACTACTCTGGAGTAACGCGGGATGCTCGGGCTGCGGCTGGATGCGGCTTTACTTCTTCCCCACTCAGACGGTCTAGATGACTAGAGGCACACCCCCCATGGAGGCTCTCTTTCTCGACTGCAACTCCTGGCTCTCCTGGAGGTCTGCGGCAACGCAAGCCGTTTTCTGAAGTACTAGTTGGAAGTTGCTGCCTGTTGCATTCGGAGCTCAGCTAGGGTTCCTCTCCTGATTCTCTTCTGCATGGGACTGGGAAGTCACATATGCACTGGGAATTAAGATTTCCTAACTCCGCCACTTACACCATCCCATCGGCTCCTTAACTCCTTTTACAAATGAGGAAAACAGCCTCTGCAAGGTGAAGAATTGATTCACCTTAGGCCACACATGAGTGAAGCTGCTCTTCTCTAAAAGCCTTTCTTGAGCACTCTGTCAAAAAATGTAGAGTCCCTCTATCGTTTTCTTCATAGCATTCCTAGCGCTGTTTGACATCACCTTTTGTTGTTTATTTCTGGCTCCAGTAGTTACTCCTCTCCACAAGAGCTGGAGCTTTGTCTTCTGTTGTCTTTTGGAAATTTAAACGGTGTCTACTATTTGGAATGAACAAAATGATGAGGGTGAACGGTGAGTTGAGATCAGACTGAAGTTAGGAAGCCAGTCATGAGATCTTTAAAGAAATCCAGATAGAGGGAACACAACAGAAGTGTACCAGAAGTGGCCAAGGAACCACTGTGACTGGAACAGATGAGGTAGAGAGATGCCGATCTTCCAGGGCCTCAGAATCCGCAGGACTTTCAATTTTATTGAGCATTATCGGAAACTATGGGAGTTTTATTTTTTATTTTTATTTTTTAAAGATTTATTTATACAAGCACTGGGTACAGTCAGCAGCGTGGGAGGGCGAGAGAATTCACCAGAGCCAGAGCGGGGAACAGAACAGACTCATGAAATACACTGCTGAGGGGAGTAGCGGCATGGAAGGAGAGGTCTGTCACGCCATATGGGACCCTTGCTGGCAGCTGAGGATCAAACCAGCGCTGCAGAGGCTGCGGGCAGCTTCGCAGCCCAGCACTCAACCGCTGCGCCACCAGGGGAGGTCCGGGAGTTTTATATTTTAAAAACAGCTTTATTGAGATACCTTTGCAATAAAAATTATGTCTAAGGCATGCAATTTGATGTTTTGAAATATGTATACATATTTCAAATTGATCACCACAATTCATATTGATCACAATTAAGCTATTTAATGTATCCATCACCTCTCCATAGTGTGTATGTGTATGCGCTGGCATATGTGTGTTGAGAATATGGGAGAGTTTTGGGCAAAGAGATGACAAGATTTGATTTATATTTTTAAAAAATAATTCTGCATAGTAAGTGTCTATTAACTTTAATGAATGAATAAAATTCCCAAGATGGGTCCCAAAGCCATAGAGGTGGCAATGTGACCCCTTCCTTAAACAAGGACATTTTATTTGGATAGGAAAGGGGTTCCCAAGGGCTGGAGCTGGCCTGGGTCTCAAGCCCTGGACGCAGTGGCCCGAGCAGGCTGGGGAGGGCACTTCCTCTTGCTCAGGTTGGTGAGGATCTGGTTCTGGTTGGGACGGTAGAGAACCACAAAGCTCTGTGGAGGAAGGACAGGACCTCCGTTCTCTTCCACCTGGCCCATCAGCAGATAACTGGCTCCTGGAGGAGGGGAGGGAAGGATATCTTCTGTTACTGGAATTTGGCAGCTGAAACTCCTTAGTAGAGTCCCTCAGATTCTACCTCTCGGTCATTTCATGAGGTTAAGGAGCCCTTTCCCATTTTCCCACATCTCCTTTACCTTTCTTCATGGGGGGGCACTGCTTGCACGGCACATAAAACTTCAGGGAGGTGTCAGTCGGTGGAGAGGGCAAGTCCAAGCCACCAGTTTTGTAGACACCAATGAGACTGACAGTGACAGTGAGGCCATCCCCTGGGCCCCGAACCATGGACTTCACTGTTGCCGTTACCACTGTGGGAGAGTAGGGGTGAGAAGTAAAGAGACAGGAGATGAGGGCAGGGCTGGGACCAAAAAGGGGGTGGGGACTTTGGGGAGTGCTTTCTTACCCAGGTTGTTGCTACAGAAGTTGCTCTGCAAGGTGCCTGACCGCCGACACTGCTTTGGGCAGGTAACACTGGGTACATCTAGGAGAGAGGGTACGCAGTTTGTGTAGGGTAACCCTACCCTGCAGGTAGAAAGGACCACTTTCCCTATAACTGCCTCGTGAGTTTGCTCAGACTTTTATCCAGCTTTGGGTCCCAACACCCAATAACATCATCACTACAGAGGCCGCCCCAAGGAATATTGTATGAATGAATGGATTAATCAGGAAAGAACTCTTTGAAAACAACCCCCTTTAGTCTTTGTCCCTTTCCCAGACTCACTGGGGCCTGGAGTTGCAGAGGCCTCCGGCAGAACTTTAGGTTTCTCTGCGAGTGGGAGTTTGGGCTTGACTTTGGGCCCTCCTCCAGTCTTGGGGCCCTGGTGGAGAACTGGGGGAACTGGCAGGGAATCTTCCCCTGGGCTCTGCACTGGCCCTTCTTCAGCTGCTCCTCGAGGCAGGGTCCTGTAGGAGGCTGAGAAGCCATCAGCGGTGACACTAAGATCCGAGACAAACTGGACAAGGAGCTCGTTCCCTTCAGAAGAGATGGGCCTGCGAATGGCGAGGCAGTGGGACAGATATCAGAATGGGCAGAGTACTCTGCCTCTACCCAGGCCTATGAGCTCCACTAAGCTGCACTAACTTCCCTCTTGTCCACACACCCCAGGCCTGGCACCAACTCTCATCTTCTGGCTGGTTCTCACTTGCTCGCCCGCAGGTTTGGGGCTTCCAAGTTCTGGTCCCACCTCTTCAGCTAAGACCCTCCCCTCCCAATGGCAGCTGGGTCCCTCACTGCCCCAACTCCCACACCAGAGAAAGTGGTGTGAGACCTAATCAGCCCATCCAGTTCCTTACCCCGGGGCTGTGTCACCGCAGAACTTCCCTAGTCTCTTGGCATCATCATTAACTGCTCCATTGAACACGCTGACAGAGTCATAGCGGCAGTAGGTATCTGGTTCAATGTCAAACTTCCCAAAGGTCAGAGAGATCACCTGGTAGCAGGGCAGAAAAAGGCATGGGAGTTCCATATCTCCTCTCCACCTCGTCCCTTAAGCCCCCTCTTGATAGATTCACACCACAACTCAGAGGCTCACACCCATACAAACCCGGCAGTGATGTCCATAGCCACAGGAGGCAAGGTCAAGCAAGCTCTGGCTCATTCTCAAGGAGCAGATCCAGAACCCCCAAAGACCTCCCAACACAGTTCATATCCACACCCTGTGCCTCACTCTCCTAAGTCTTGTCACAGTTACAATTTTACATTTTTAGTTTGCCTGCGATCAGGTCTGGGTCTGCTTTCATTCCCCACCAGCGCAAACTCAGTGGTCTGGACTTTGAATAAATCTTTGCTGGCTGCCAGGGGCAGCAGGGCAAGGGGTGGGTACCTGGTCTTGGGGTGCGATGATGTGCCAGGAACAGCTGATACCGGGAGGGTAATCGGACTCGGGCCAGTTGGGCGTGGTCAAGGTCCCCTGGGCCTTCTCCAGCCGCCCCCCGCAAAACTGGTGCTCTGGGGAGGGGAGAGAGGTGGGGGTGGGGGGCGGTGGAGACCCTGGATCAGTCCGAGGAGAGCTCTAGGCTGGGAGCCCCTGCAGGAAGTTCGGTTGTTTGGGTCTCAGGCAGAGGGGATGAGAAGAGGGGGTGGGAAGGAAAATGGGGGGGGTTAGCAGGTGTGGGGCTTGGAGAATGGGAGTCTTGGGCCGGAGCGCCCAGGCGGGTGGTGGAAGAGGGAGGAATTGGTTGGTTACGCCCCCTTCCTTTCCCTCCCCCCAAACCCAATGGCCACTCAGCTTCTCCGCTGGCAGATCCCATCTCCCCCGCCAGGCAAAAAGTCTCCCTGGCAGGCTGCAGAGTCCCCACGCTGTGAGGATGTCTTTAAATTGGGGCAGAGCCCCTTAAAGTCCCTTTGGGGAGGTCCCTGCCTTCAACATTTTATGGGAGACTTCAGCCCCCGGGAGGGGGTGATGGGACCGCAATCGGGAGCCCAGGACTGGGTGTAGGGGGCTCTGGGTTGGGGGAACCTAGTCCCCCAGCCCAGGGGTGACCCCTAGCCGCCGTCTGAAGGAACCCGATTGCGGATAGGGGCGGGCAGTTACTCACCGTCCCAGTAACCCCAGGCCGCCCATTCCACCCGCGGGTCGGTGACCCATTTCCGCCTCGCGCCTGGGGGGGGGCCTGGAAGAGGGGGTGGGTGGGAGCGGGAGAGGGAGAAAAGACGGGGAGGAGGGACTGAAGGGGCAGTTAGTGAGGACTAAGGGTCAGGGATGTAGGTAACGGGGCCTAGGCTCTTGGGCTGGGGTGCGCCAGGAGGTGGAGGTTAAGGCTGGGGGCGGGGTCTGCGCCGGGGGCGGGGCCAGGAAGGGGTGGGGAGGAGAAGGTGAGGGAGGTCTCACCAGTGCCTGAGGTGGCCCTCCCGCTGTACCAGAGCAGGAAGCCTCGTCCTCCAGTGCCCTCGTCCGCCGTCATCCTCAGGGTCACTTGGTTGCCGGGGGCGACTACGGGTGCCGGCCGGAAGGTCCCGCAGAAGCGTCCGAGCCGCTGACCCGAGGTTCCAGACCCAGCGAAGATCTCCAGAGCATCATAACGGCAGGCTGGGTGCAGTTCCAGGTCAAAGACTCGGAAGGAGAGGGACACAGTCTGGGCTTCGGGAACCTGATGGCCACATACAGGTCACATACAACCCAGGCAGAGGGCACCTCCCTTAACCCAAACATCTACGGAAACTGAGCCTGAATAGGAAAGACCCTGGTCAGGGTGCAGAGCAGGGGCCCTGGGCTCTGCAGCTGGCTTGTGAGTTGAGCAGGGGATAAAACCTGAGGCTATGCAGAGATTAAAGGGGGCAGGAATGAAGTTGAAGTTGGAGAATCAGGATTTGAATTTTAAGAGTTAAGGGATGAGGACACCAGGCAAGTTATTGTGAGCATGTCATCTGTGAGCAGAGGGAGGGACTTGGACATCCCATCCTCCCCAAGACCCTCTTCAGAAAGTGTTGCCTGGAGAGGGGATCCCTTAGCACTCAGGCCTTTGGCTGCCTGGACCCAGATCTCAGGCTCTGACAAAGAGGCCATCTCACCGTTATTGTCCAGATGCACTCCTTATTGGGGGGGTAAAGGTTGGGGAAACCCTCACTCGCCACATAACCTGACTCTCCAGTCACATCCCCTCCACACAGGAACACAGGTCTGTGGAACAGAAGGAGGTTGGTCATGAATTGGGGAGTAATGGAAAGATTGGGACAGAGCAATGAGGATAGGTGGTCAGGGAGGGAAGCCAGGGGGATAAAGGAAAAAGGTCTTAGGGACCTTGGGTTGCCTCAGCCAGCCACAGTGGGACGGGGTGGGGAATACTTCAGCAGAGAATGAGGAAAAAGTGGGGCTAGTAACTTGGTTGTCCCTCCATGCCCAAGTCCCCACCCCCACCCCAATAGGAATTCCCGGAATCCTCCTCAGGGGGGCCCCCCTTCTTCACTCTATCCCCTAGCCCCGCCTTGCTTGGCAGTCTGAGACTGCAGGCGCCTAACTACTACCAGATGTGGACACAGCCACGAGGCGGTGGGGGGGAGGGGGCGGAGAGATGAGAGAGCAGCAGCAGCTATGGCCCTTAAATTGAACCTGGAAACCGGCTCCTCCTGATCTCTCAACCTTTGCCCTGCTCCTGTTCCAGCTAACTACTTGAGTATCTGACTCCCAGTTCGCTCACTTGCTGTCCCCTCTCTCTTTCACAGTCTCTAATTCCCTCCTGGAACCCAGGTCCAGTTACCAGGCAAGTTCAAGGTATTGGTGCTCCCAGGACCATGGGGGATCAGGGATCTGGGTGGATGGGAGGCTTAGAGGACAGACGGTAGAAGAATAGGGAGCGGTGGTGACCTGCAGATTCAGTGGTCTTGTAGCAGGAAGGGAGGACTTGGGGGTCAGAAAGGGTGTGGGGCTGTGGGAGATCTGGGAGGGTGGTGTGTTAGCAGAGGGACCCACAGGGTTCACAGGTATGACCCCCAGGAACTGGGGCTTTGGAAGCTTACTCAAGCAATCTGGAGGATGCCAAGAGACCTACCTGGTATAGTTGGGGGTCTGACCCTGGGTGAAAGGCAGCAGGGCCCAGGCAGTGAGGAGGAGCCCCGAGAGGGAGGTTGTGGCAGCAGGCAGCATGGCCGGGGGGAGAGGTGCTGGGGTCTTCGAGACAGAGGCAGCAGCTGAGTTTAGCGGCAGCAGCAGCAGCAGCAGCAGCGGCAGGGATAATCAGTGCCAGATGAGACAGCCTAGGGTGTGTGGGCGTGGGGACTGGCCAGTGGGGCGGGCAGGGAAGGCGGGCCAGGGAGAGTAGAATGGGACAGTGGCGACTCCAAGGGCCTCTCTAGGTCCAGGGCTCACATTGACCTAAGTAGGAGGTGGAGCATGAAGGGAAGGGGGCATGGGGCATCAAGCAATGTCATATGAGAGCCCACTCTGTCCGGGCCTGAGCATCCTGTCAACAGTCTGGTCCTCCAGTGAATGCTCTCCAGCTCAGACATAATCCTCCCCATTCCTCAGCACCCAGAGGATGTCCTTCCCTGGACTCTCAACCTCTAATCATTCACCCCTCCCCCATTCCTGGCCACCCTTTTCCAGTTTATTTTCAGTCTCCATCTTCAGGCCAGACAATTCTGCTCACCCATTTTCTCTCCCCCAAATCTGGAGGTACAGGAGTAGGGTAGGGAGGAGTAGGTACAGGAGTAGGGTATGTGGATGAAGGGATGCCCCCCTTGTTGAAAAAAAGGGAAAAGGACAACATGAGACCAAATCTGGAAGGTAAACTGGAAGAGGAGAGGAAAGGCGCTGACTTCACAGGGATGAAGGGAGAGGGGTAGGAAGCTTTCTGGAGTCAAGAGGAAATGACTTCCTCAGGACTGGAATAAGTCTGTAGACAGAGGATCCAAGTGGGGGAATCAAATGGCATATGTTGAGAGTTGTTGTTCCAGAAGGTGGAACTAGGCTTCCAAGTCACAAAGAATGGATCAGGTCTTGGGAGAGGAAGGGCAGTCACTTAAAACTGGGGCAGAAGCTGCTAGCCACGCCTGTCTGTACTCTTGGACTCCCTCACCATGGAGTCAGGCAGCAGTCCCCCATCCTCGGCCCCACTTTCCCCCCAGGCCCCCGGGTTCCAAGCTGGGCCTCATTTCAGCCTTTTATTCTATTTGTCCATCAAATCTCTTGTCCATGATAGTCAGGTTGGGGGTCCCTCCTGGGCAGCCCCCTGACATTTTACAAAACAGTTCCCTGCCCTACCCTGGCATGTCTAGCAGTTCCTACCCCCCTGAGCCCCTCCCCCCTCCCCCCCTACACAGTGTTCATGGCTGCCACTTCATTTCTCCTTAGCCCCTGGCTATCGCCAGACTCTCCCTCTAGGGTGAGGCTAAGGGAGGGGGTCTGCTCTCAGGAGTTGGGGGGCCTGGGCCAACTCCTCCAGCAGCCCTCTGTAGCATGTCCAGGGCCTCCCAGAAGAAATCCTTCTGTGCAGCCATCAGGGGCATCCAGCCCACGATCTCCTTCATCTTTTCCATGCGGTCCTGCAATGTGGGGCAACTGTGGATCTGGCTGAGGTATTCCTCACAGGCCCAGGCTGCCCCCCCAGGGTCCTGGGGTGCTCCAGCCCCTGGGCTGGGCTCGGGAGTCCCCACCACCCTGCTGGCTGGTAGGTCCCGATAGGCGGGATGGTGCTCGATGTCGTGGCTGGACAGCATGTAGAGGCACTCTCTGGTGGAGCAGAGGGAGCAGGCACACAAAGGGACCTTGGAGGAGAGAAGGAGCTGGCTGAGTGGGGCTTTTCCTGGGGGGGGGGGGTCCCAGGGAGCCCCAACTGTGTGTTCTTTCCTTTCAGACTAGCTCTGAGCCAGCAAGTGAGCTCTAGTTGGCTGGGCCCCAGGTTGTATGAGGTCAGACAGGACCTCAAGGGTCTGCTAATGGGAAAAGTCAGGAGCAATGGTGCATGCAAGAAATGGAGGTGAGGTGGAGCTGGTGAAATGGGACCCCTGGGTCCCTGAAGGAACCCCAGCCTGAGTCCTCTGGGCAACCTGGCTCTATGCTCCTGTCCTACGTGCCTGCCCACTTGCCTGCCCCTGCTCTGACCTTGACATGGAGCTTGACAAAAGAAGCACTCCCCTTAGGCCAGCCAGGGAGGCGTCCTCCGGCCCCACAACCGCAGCCCAGCAGCTCCTTGCTGAAGTCCGAGCCCTGGCTCAGCACCAGGGAGTGGTTGAGGCCACACCATAGGGCAATGGGGCGTTGCAGATAATGTACCTGAGGACACAGGGCCAAGGTTCCTAAAGGGCAACACTGAGGGACTGGGGGCCCAGGCTGGAGAAGGGTGATGGTCTGGTTCAGGCCAGAATCTAGGGAAACCAGGAAAGGGAAGAAATGGGGCTCAGCTTACCCTCCACCTCCTTCCGCGGATCTGCCCTGAATGCTGAATTCAGTCCCCCAAAGTCTGACCACATGGAGTCTAACACTTGTAGCACTTGTTGGTTCCTAATCTTTGTTCCCTGAGATCAGGGCCTGCTGTCTATTCCCTTTTTCTCAACCCACAAACTTGTGCTAGTCCAGCCTCTCATCCTGCCAGTTCCAGCCTCAGCACAAGGAATATTCTTTCTCTTCTCAAGGGTTAAAGACTTCCTCTGTCCCTATGCAATTCGTGATTAGTCCCCAAGAAGGACTCCTTTCACTCATTCCTGCCCTCCTTTCCTTCTCCAGCATTTTCTATTTGTCATAATATTATCTTCCCAAATGGCCCTAGTATGAAAAAACAATTCCACCTAATTCCTGCTGCTTCCTACCTCTATCTTTTAGACAGCAGCAGTCTTGTTCTCATCACAGCTAGTCTTTTCCGAACCTTCTTGTGACCTGGCTTCTTTCCCTACTATGTTAGTGACATGTTCTCTCCAAAGGCACTTGACTTCCTAGTTGCCAAATCCTGGGGCCTCCCCTGCATGTTTTCTCCTGAGACTGTGCACACTTTAATTTGAAAACATAGAAAATTAATTTATGGTCATTGTAGAAAAATCATAAAATATTGGCAAGCAAAATTAATTTAAAAATCACTGGAAATCCCACCACCCACTATCGGCATCTTGTTGGATATTCTTCACTGATGCCTATAAAAATATATACATGTAAATTGTATATTTTTAGACATAAGTGGTATTATATACTATGTAAACCACTTCATAAATGGCTTTTTTTCACCTGAAAATATAGTTGGACAATCTTTCCACGTCAATAATCATATTCATACATTATCACGGTCACATTTATCACTCCCTATTTGAAACTTTTTTAAAAAGATTTATTTTTAGCATAGAAGAACTGGGGTCTAGGCCAGGGGTACGGCGGGTGGTGGTGAGAGGTTTCACCAGCAACAGAGTGGGGAGCAGAACAGGTAGATCTACTGAAAGACACTGCTGAGAGACGTAGTGGGCGAGACAGGAGAGGTCTGCTGCGCCATACATGGGTTAGCTCCCTGGTGGGGATCGAACTTGGGCAGTGCTGAGACTTATTCCCTTGGCCAACAGGGAGGCCCCTATTTGAAACTTTGTGACCGTGGCTTCTGGATATAGTATTTAAGGGTGTGCTACCTATTAAAGAAATAACTCATTTTCATTCCCTCCGTCTCCAATAGCAGCCACTGCCCAGGTTTGCTCCTCCAGCTCTACTTTTGTCATTTCAAATGTTCCAACTCTGGAACAGCTAGATATTTCTACTTTAGTGACTTACTATCACTTAAAAAAAGTCAGATTCATACTCTTCCTCTTTCCTCAAACCAGCATCCTATTTTAAGTCACATGTTTGTTGGTGATACCATCTTTTTTTTCTGGGATGTAATCAAGGGATCAGTCACCTTTGTCCTACACCTCTCTCTCCACATCTAATCAGTTTCCAGGATCTATTCATTTTCTTTCAAAACATCTCATGTTGTCTGTTGCTTTCCATTCTTACCACTACTGTCCAGTCCCAGGCCCTTGTCTCAAGCACTGTCATCTCACACAGCCTCCCAGTGGGCTTTTCACTCTAGGCTTCCTGTGCAATATAGCCAGGAGCCCTAGTCTCAGTCCTCTGTGGGGGCTGTCTTCTCCTGCTCCAGAATCCGCAACGACTCTCCCAAATTTGTAACTCTCCAGGCTCAAACCCACCTCTACCACTTCATACCTTACAGATTTCTGAAACACCCCTCAACATTTTCACTGTCTCAGGTGCAACTTTGTGCAAACTCTGTCCCCTTCCCCATTGTACAGAACTCTTTCCAATCCACACTCAAATCCTAGCTAACCCATTAGGCTCTATTCACATCCCATTTCTCCTAGTTACTCCAGCCCATCCAGGTCTCTGCCTACCCCTTTCACTAAATTCCTATCGCATTTGCATTTACAGAGTGTGCTGCTCATAGTGCCAACTATGGGCAAGGCATGCAATAGGTTGGCTTAATTTCTGTAAAGAAAAGGAAAGTAGATTCTAAAGTAGAATCTAGGGAATTTGAAGCAGAGAGATCCAGGGGTTAGGCATTTGGAGGAAGGGGGTCAGGATGAGATTTCTGGGTCACAATTTTACCTGTGTGGGTTCTCCTCGGTCCATTTTGTCCCCTGTCCCCAGCTGCCCATATCTGTTATTTCCCTGCATAAAGATTCGGCCAAATTCATCCACCAGGCCAAGGTGATTGTAGCCAAGAGCACAGAATAGGATCTAGGAGGTAAGACAAAAAGGGAATGTGGGCATTTAGTTCCCTCTAGAGAAATTCTGAGCTCCAGAATCTCCCAGCCACTAACCTGCCATCCCTAGCTGATCTCATTAGGCCTTGCCCTCTACCTCACCCCTCTCCCTGGGCCCCCTGTCCCTTCCTGATCAATCATTTGATTGCTGCTCATATTTCAGATCTTGGGTACCTTTCAATCCCTAGAGTCCCTCCCCCCTCTGGTCTGCCCATCCCTCCAGGAACCTACCTTGGCAGGCAGTGAGAGAGCAAGCGGCATCTGCTGGTCCAGGGGGTCAAAGGCTTGAAGGGTCCCAAAGAGATCACGATACACCCCTGGGGTATGCACCTCAAAATACACTCCCCCCTGGTCTGGGGGGTCGGGAGCCCTCAGCTCAGCAGCTTTGGGCACCCAATTCCTAGGGATGAGGTTCCCACCTGGGATGAAAGCTGCAAGATCAGGGGCATCTTACCCCCACTAGAAATGCATCAGCTATGATGTTTGGGAACCTAAACTCAACTTTTCATTCACTAGGACACCCTAAGGGGTCCACCATAGAGCTGGAATGCAGAGAAGGGGGTTGTTCATATTTGGAAGGTCTGCCTAAGGCTGGGGTCTGGTAAAGAAGGGAGGTGGTTCTTACCCGTGATGTACAAAGTACTGCTCTGGTTGGAAGCCATGCAGACCACGCGCAGGTGAGGCAGGCAACGGGACACCTTCCTCAGAGCCAGCTGAACCGTGTAGGAGCGTGGCTGGTCCAGCTGGGTCTCATTCACTACCAGAGAGTAGATCTTGCCTTCCTCTGAGGGATGGGGGAGAGACAGTTATGTGGAGGAGGGATCCTCCAAAAAGAGAAAAATGACTAAGTTTCCTAGACTCCAGCCTCATCACCAAAAATAAATCAAGAAAGGCCTTTAGCTAAGAGATGAATAGAGAGAAAACCTAGCAGAGTTAGATTTGGCAGAATCCAATTTGAGTGTTGGGAAGAATGATGTCTAGGGAGTCAGGGCTTTACCTGGCATTAAGGAGGCTTGGGAGTGTGGTCAAGTAAAGGGGACATTAAGGGGGTGGGTGTGGAAATTGAGTCATAAAGTGAGATGCTTGGCAGGGAAGTGGGAAGGTTAGAATTTTAAATATCAGACATTCACTTAGTACAGTGGTTTCCAAACTATTTTTTTTGCAGAAGGGCCCTTCATTGATAGGAAATATGCAGAATTCTAGGCTATGAGACAGTCAAGAGGAGAACTATTTGATCTGAGACCAAGATGAGGTGGTGCAAAGAACCCTGTGTGAGAAGCCTCCTTCCCCGCTTCCCTGAAGCAGATCCTGCAGAATCTGCAGGAAACAATTTTCAAACCACTGCTCTAGGCCACACCTGTGAGGAGCAGTAGAGCACGCTGGGTCTCCTGACCAACCAGCACAATCTGTTTGAAGCTCATGGAGTGGTGGAAGGTCATCTTGAAGACCCGCTGCCCACTGGACTGCAGATAGACCTCTACACAGTCACAGGCCCGGCTGCCGGTTGTGCCGACCACTCCGGGCTGCTCCCGAGTGGCCAAAACATAGAGGTATTTACGGTAAACTGTGTCACATCTTGGATCTGAGGCAAACTGTAGGAAAAGATGAAGGAGTCTGGGATCTAGGGCCTTGGGGTGGGATGAGGTAGGGGTAACTGGATCCTGGGGTGGGAGATGAGATACTTGGGTCCCGGGTGGGAAATGAGGACTCATTTTCTGGTTCCTGGCATGGGAGGGCAGCTGTCTTGAAGAGGATATCTCAGGATTGATATGAGCCCTGGGTCTCTGGAGGAGGGACAGGTCCTCTAGGCTGCCGTTTCTTCTACTCACATCTTTGGCTCCGCGACACAACACAACATAGCGGCAGGCACGCTTCCACTGGATCTGGCCAAGCGTGGAGGAGACCAGGGCATTTTTGAGGAAGAAGAGGGTCCCTGAGTAGTCGAGAATAAAGACGTGGTCCTTGGTAGGCAAGAAACGGCGGTAACCATGGGCTAGCAGGGGGGCTACACTCTTGCTGAGGCAGCGGCGGCGGCCCCCAAATGCCTGGAAATACAGGCCTTTTGTGTCTGGAGAAGGGAAGAAGACAAAAGGTTCAAGGGTCAGGATGACACACAAGGGTAATGAATCAGAGCTTGAGCAAACTAGATTTCTGATACCATGGTATTTAGCTCCTCCCCACCCCTGGGACCCCTTCCAAAGGACATATGGAAAGCTTAGAAGAGTATCCTCAATGTCTGAACTTTAGTTCTCTCACCCACCTCCGCCCAGGGCCATACACATGTTACTAAGTGACTGCTTCACTGGTCCAACCTTGCATTAGAGATATCAAGGGAAATATAAGAATACATACGAAAGAAGCAGAAGGGGTAAGGAAAAGGAATGACTGAGAAAGGCCAATAACCTCCCTCACGGCTAGCTCTGGCTCTGCTATCTGGATCAGGTCTAGATCCATTATCTGGCTCTCCCTCGATATCCAATATGTGAGATAAAGTAATTAGATAAGGGCTTCCTACAAAGGGGGTAGGTGTTTAGAGCCTGTTAACTTTTTCCCTCAGGGGACATTAGTTGTCAAGAGTGAGGGGAGTGCTATTGGCATCTAGTTTGGGTAGAGGCCAGGGATGCTGCTAAACACCCTATAATGTACAGGATAGTCAAGCCCCCCTGCCCCCGCCACTTCAAAGAATGTCAATAGCAACAAGGTTGAGAAACCTTGGTTTAAAGGAGGGAAAACTCTAGGTTTGGAGATGACAACTCTAGAGGATGTATGTAGGGTAAAATTTGAAAAAAATGTGAATCTGGAGGGAGATTTGGCAGGGATGCTAGTAATGGGGATGAGGATGGCTCTGGAGACTTAGAGTACTCAATGGTCTATGTTTGAATCTAACATGTTTCTTCTAGAGAAAGGGGCCCTGGAATGGTGGCTGGGAATGCTGAGGTCATCTGGCAACTCCATGGAGCAGGAGGGATCCCAAATAAGGTAGGACAGATACAAAGGGAGTAAGGTTCTTAGGAAGGTATACAGTTAAGAATGGCAGCTCTCTTCCAGGGTCGGACCCCAGAACCCTGCTCTCGTAAGCGGGGACTGAGCCTGCGACAGATACGTCTCCACACGCCCTCAGCATCGCACACTTCGTGGAAGTAGTGGCAGGTCTGGCCTAGAGCGACTACATCCCGGACTGGGAGGAATGAGATGATATGCTCCACCTGGGGAAGGAGAAGCCGGGGTTGAGGGCCCCTCAGTGGCCCTCAATCCTCTATTCTTAACACTTAACCCCCCCACCCCAGGACTCACCAGCTCTGGGGGGAACAACTGAACAGAAATAGGGTTCCCTCTCCCCTTCTTCTCTTCACCCCCAGGCTCTGGGCCACATGAAGGGCAGCTCCGCTTCACCTACCCAAGGAGAAGATGGGGGCACAGGGGTTCCATGAGGGTCACATCTCTTTTTCTCCCTTCTTTCAGAGTATCTTTCACAGCTACTATCTCATAACTCTGACTTTCAGCTCAGTGCTGTCAAATCCTCCCATCTGTCTCTCAAGGTCTAGATCTAGGTCTCTCTATCCCTCTTCCGTCTCCTTTCTCAGCCCAACTTCTCCAGTAACCATTTCCCACTCTCTGGCAGTCATCTTGCTGTCCTTCCCTTCCTCGTCCCCCCCCCACCTCCCTCACCCTGAGACCCTCCTCCCGTCTGCACAGCCCGGTGAATTTTTGCAGCTTCTGTCTCCGGCTTCTCCGCACCATCCTGGCTGCCCCCTCCCTGCTCTTGCCCTCATCTCTCCGGGCCTCTTGGCCCCCGGTACTCAGCTCCCTGGCCCCCGTCCCCGCTCCCTTGCCCACACCATGCCCCTGCCAGGGGCTTGGGGGACCTCTGGGGCCCCTCTGTCTCCTAGGCCCCTCCCCTATGGAGTCTGGGGCTGACAGACCTCTCTGTGACCTCATTGCCCAGTCACTGTGACCTATTTTCCCCAGTCTTGCCTGGGATTTTCTCTTTTAGAAAAGCTCCTGGGTTCTAGCTTAACTTTAGCCACCCAATGGTTCATGGGCTGTGCATTTTACAGGAAAAAGAAAAGTGAACTATGGTAGATGAAGACTTTACTTTCAGGGAGTAGTAGGCTTTTCCACTTGGGGCCCTTTTAGCACTAACTCTGCAGAAAAACATTGGAGAATTCTTCATATCACAGCAGGCCAGGGCCTCCAAGGGATCCATAGCATGAGAGTATAAGCTCCCATATTTATCCATCCATCCATCCATCCATCCTCAATTCGACAGGTGAGGAAGAAAAGGAGACCCTGCTAATGACCATCTAGCTCATGAAAGCATGCACCAAATCAAAGATGGTGGGGCGGGGGGCAATTCAGTACAAACTCTATTTACAGTCTCATGAAAAATACATCCAAAGGCGGCCGCTTTCCTGGGACAGTAACGTCACTGGTGTGTGAGAGCAACCTATTACGCGGAAGAAAGGGATAGATTTACCCACAGCTTAGGGTATCTCTCCCAATCGAAGCTATTGACTTGGCCTTATGGGGGTAGGGGATGGCATTTAAGAGAAGAAACAGCAAGTTGGAGTTGTGTCTGTCCAGGTGGGGCAGAAGCTCTACACCAAGAAATCCAAGGCGCAGTAGGCTCTTCCAGGAACTCAAAGGCATGCAGTTCTGGACCACCAGACCTCAGCGGGGCAGTTTTACGGAATCATTCATTTACATGTGAGCCAACAGGCTGTCAAGCACCCAAAAAGAATCTCTTATTTACAGAGACTAGCATAGCGCCCGCTTGACACCCAGGATAGAATTTTAATAATTTAATAAATATTAAGGACTATCAACAACTGAGATATTGATTAAGAGAAAACATTTTAAGAGAAAACGGCTTAAGGGCCTCCCCGGTGGCGCAGCGGTTGAGCGTTGGGTTGCGAAGCTTCCCGCAGCCTCTGCAGCACCAGTTCGATCCCCGGCTGCTCCCCGGACACCGGAGGAGGGTCCCGCATGGCGCGCAGACCTCTCCTGCCGCCCGCTGCTCCCCTCAGCAGTGTACTTCAGTCCTTCTGCCTGCTCTGCTCCCCGCTCTGGCTCTGGTGAATTCTCTCTCACCCTCCCGCGCTTCTGACTGTACCCAGTGCTTGTATCAATTAATCAATCAATCAATCAATCAATCAATCTGTATAAATAAATAAATAAATCTTTTAAAAAAAAAAAAGAGAAAACGGCTTAAGAGAAAACATTTCGTCACCCGTGGTTCGGCAACAACGTATTAGGTGGATGACAGGTTTCTTCCGCCACCTAAAAGGATGTTAGGAAAGATCCCAAGAGGATCTCTCAGTATTAGCATCTCTCAGCAAACCAAAAAAAAAAAACCCTCTGCCAGTCTCCTCTTGTATCATGGTCCTCTCCATCCACCCCCGTTCCCCGCGGAGGTGGAGAGGGGTCGCGCAGGGGAAAAATCCAGTGTAAAATCTGACAAGGCGGGAAACCTGGCTTCAGGGTCAAGCCGTCAGTAACTTGCCCTCTGCCCTCGCCTCGGTTTTCTCGTTTGTAAAACGGAAGCTCCTTCTAGACGAGGAGGGCACCGGGAGGTGGGCTGGCAGGCGGGGCGGGACCTCTCGAGGATCCGCCGGGCTCCCGCAACCCTCCCTCCAGGAGCCGGGCTCGGCCTGTCGCCTCTGGGCAGCCGCCCGCCAAGCCAGGACGCGGAGGCCGTCGCAGGGTCTGTCTCCGCGGCCGCGACGGCCCCACGATCTTTTCGGTCGCATCGATTGATTCCCTGAAAACTGGCCTCAGGCGTCGCCTTGCTCCCCCGGCCCTCACAGCAGGTGCGCCCCCTCACACGTCCAGCGCGCGCACACCACTCCGGCCCCGGCACGGCTCCCAGCGCGCGGCGCTCGCATTCTTTACCTCAGTCTCAAAGTTCTAGCTCACCCGCCTCCTCCTTAGCGAAGGGACCGCCTTTTCGCCCATTCTATTGGTAGGTAGAGCCGTTCCTCAGAGAAGAGGCTGGGCCAGGTTCCCTCCGGAGGCTTTAATTGGCCTTCTCGACAGTCACTCGCCTGTCTGGCTTGCGATTGGTCTTCGTTGGACTAGGCCCCGCGCCCCCGCTGGCCGTCTCTGCGCCTCTATCCCTGCTAGACGGTCGCCGGCGTCCCCGCCTCCTCCTTGGACCTGATTGGCTCCATCTCCAGCCCTAAGCATTGTGATTGGATGCGGCTGCCGGGGCGGGCCTGCCTGGAGCGTCGGCCGTTGGCGAACGCTCCCTTCTGGTCCCCCTCCCTTCTCTCGCCTCCCTCCGGCGCCGCAGACTCCGCCCCCCAGTCGGCTTCTGATTAGCCACCGCCGACAAATCTCGGGAGCACGATTGGTCCGCGGGGTCCCTGAACCCGCGTCCTCCCCCGTGAAGCCACTACGGCGGCTCCGAGGAGGGGGAGGGGGAAGAAGGGACGGCCGGTGCCGTCAGTCAGGCAGCGGGAGCCGCTGGGAGCGGATGGCGGCGGCGGTAGCGGCCCCCCTCGCCGCCGGGAGTGAGGAGGCGGCGTCCCCAACCTCCGTTCCAGGTTCTGTGGGGCTGCCCGGGAGCCGCAGTGCAGAGCGGGCCCTAGAGGAGGCCGTGGCCACCGGGACCCTGAACCTATCTAATCGGCGCTTGAAGCACTTCCCCGGGGCGCGGCCCGAAGCTACGACCTGTCAGACATCACCCAGGCTGGTGAGTGCGCCCGGCCCCGCGCCCGCCCGGGACCCTCATTTGCATAACCCCGCCCCCACCCGTTTCTCACCCAGCCCAGGGTTCTGGCCCGCCCCCTCACCTGTCTGTCCGGGTTCTGCCGATTTACATTTACCCCCCCTCCCCACCGTGAGAACTACTAGACAATGACCGCTTTTCTCGTTTACACGGAACGCTAGGCGTCTCTGGCCAAGCTTTGGGGAGCCCCCACCGCCCTGCGCTTTTCTTTATTTGCATATCTGCGCACCTGTAGAATGGTCCCGCCCCTCACCTGGGTGGCTTATTTGCATGATCTCTTATACCTCAGTTCTGATATTTCCCTAAAGCTTTCCTCTCACGAGCTGCTCTCATAATATGCTTTCCTCTTCCTCCACTTCGTCTCTCTTTTTCGTGTTGGATGGAGATCCCAGTAACCCCAGGCCACATCCCCCTTCTCTGGGATTTACCCCTAACCTGACTGACGTTTCTGGCGTACTTTGTTTGTAGTCCCGCCCCCTGAGGTCATCATCATCCAGCCAGCCTATGGAAAAGCAGGAAATCTCCTACTCCCCTAACTCTTTTTCTCTCCCAACTCTTCCGCCTATGATCGACATCGCCTTATCTGAGATCACTTAGCTGTGAGGTCACTGAAGACCAGTGACCTCATAGGGGCCCTAGAATTCCTATTTCAGTTTCTGCTTTCCCAAGGGGGAGGGATTTGAGGCAGTCGCTGGAAGGAAGGAAATATAATCTAAGAGCTCGGGGTGCTGGGAAGCTGGAGACTGTCCTCTTATCCGTCCGCTTACCCATCAGCAGTATCCTTCTAATTATGCTCTCCACCCTGTTGTCTGTTGATGGTGGGGTGTGGGGGACCCTACTGTGACAGGTGAGTCAGGCCTCAGCTGCTTGGGAGGCAACCTATCTATGGCCTTGAATTGGCAGTTGGGGTGTGGGGATTGGGAGAGAGGAGGAAGGCTGCATTCCCGAAGCCCCACCCCAGCCAAGCCCAGGGTGGGACTTGGGGCTCGAGGAGAGTGTTGTCTTGGTGATACTGCCCTGAGAGTGCATGTCTCCCCTAGCAGGTGCCTGCTCACCTGCAAACATTCAGTTGGGCACCGATCCACTCTGGGAAGAACCAGTTTAAACATCTCCACTCTCCTTGGGTTGCTGGGTAAACAAACTTGTTCACTACACAGTAAGTGAGTTCAGGGAATGCATGAGCCCCAGGAGCCATTCCTATCCCTCTCAGTCTCCCCAAGCTGCCTAACCCCCAAGCTCCAGATTGACCTCAGCAGCTGTGTGACACTTGCCTTCTGTTCCCTTTCCCCTCCCCCTTGCTTGTTTTTTGACAAAGACCAAATGTTATTCTTTACTTCCTTAGGGCTCTGTCCCTGTGAGCAGACTCCTGGGGAAAACTACCAAGAACTCCCCCAGCCGCTCCCAGCTCTTGCCTCCTCTCCCCCCGCCCCCTGCATTCCGGCTCTGGGTGCAGCCAGTTCTGTGAGGGAAAATCCCAGCTTTCTGAGAGCCCCTTTCTGCCTACTCTCCAGAAATCCTCAGTCCTTTCAGGGCTTTAGGTCAGGTGGGATCAGTCTTATCCAGAACACTCCTGTCCCCTCTCCCCAAGCCTGGTACTTAGAGCTGGCAGTGGAAAGGGGAAGTGATCAGAACACGTTGTTGCCCATACCCTGCCCTCCACCCCTCCTTGCGCTTCTGTCCGACTGTGCCACCTGAATCATTTCTGAATCCGTTCCTCCTACTTCTCTAGCCTTTTTTGAACCAGTGTTTGTCTTGTACGTTTCCCATGGTGCAGGTGCCCCATATTTCCTAGACCCCATTCCTGGGGCCAAGAGTTGGATGGATCCTGAGATGGGGGAGGGGCTGCTCTCACAAAGGAGAAGTGCAGCTCGATCTCTCACAGACCACATCCTGTCCCTTCTATGCCCTGCCTCCTGCAGCCTGGGCTCCCTTCCGCTCCTAGCTTTTGCCCCCTTGGCCCGCTTACCCCAACACAACTTGTTCTCTGCCCCCTTCATCCACATTGGCTTGCACATGTTTGTGGATGCAGAGGCCCAGGCTGGTAAGGGTGGGAGGACTATTCTTTCCACCATCTCCAGAACTGTGTTCTCCCATGACAGGTTTTCTGACTGTACATCAGGGGTGGGAACAGAGGGAAAGAGGATAATTCTGGGGCCCTCAGGCTATCATCCATCCTGGGAAATGTGGCCCACGAGAGACAGAACCCAACGGATAGTTTTTACTTCATTTCCTGTCACAAGACTCATTTCCTTGGGGGATATACCCCAGCTCCTTCCCCCTCAGTTTTTGCTCACCCCTCCCTGGGAAGGGCCTTCTAAGAAGTTCATCCAAGTTTTGTTACTTGGGACCTTCCCCAGCAGATCCTAGGCTCTTCCTGCTGCAGGCTGAGCAGAGGAAACATAAACCCAGGCTGCTGGAGACCTAAGCAGTTCACGTCTCCAGAGGCGAGGGCATCCCAAGGCCTGACCCCTTGCATCGGGATAGCAAGGGGTGGTAACAGACCACCCTTTCTCCATTCCCTGTCTATGCCTAACATTCAGGCAGGGTTACTGGTCTTTTGAAATCTGGGTCAGTCAGAGAGGAAGTAGAGAAAGGCTGGCGTGGCTGGGAGTGGGTGGGAAGGCGGTCAGTCCTGAAAGTGTGCCCTGATGGGAGAGACCTGCAGATTCTAGCTCCAGTTGGCCAGTTGCCTTCCCCTCCTGGATCTTAGGAATCTGTAACCTCACGGTCCCTTGGACCTGACTTGCAGACCACAGAGACTGGTGAGAACCTGTTATCTAGTGTCAGGAGCCATACACGTCTCTAGAGCCAGGCCACAGTACTTGGTTTCTCCCCTGTGTTGAAAACAGATTGAGATTGGGAGATAAGACACTAAGGAGGGCCCCTTTCTAAGGGGTTTCCTCCAGGGGCTGTCCATGTTCTTACCTTTTGACTCCCAACCCATCACCTGTTGTTTTCTTTGAAGCACCAGCCCTCTCCTATCACCTTTGCCTTCCACTGCTCCTGGGATTTCAGAACAAAAGGAACCACGAGAGTAATAGGACCCAGCCCCCTTTCCACAATTGTCTTTCATTTGTGTGTTTGAAGACTGTTCATGACTCATTCCCCATCACCCTCCACCAAGTCTGGGCTTCTGCAGCCCAGTGACCCTGAGGCCTTTGCCTTCCCTTTGTTGTTCTGGTCATGCTTGGAATGTCCTCCAGTTTGCAGAAGGCTTTGTTATCTAACCCCAGGGATCCCAGGTTTATAGGTCTGATTCTTTAGGGGGTTGGGCAGCTGGCTCTGGGTCCTTCTGTCCAGGGCTGGGCTGTTCCACAGCTCTCCCCTGACACTTGCTTCCCCTAGACCTGTCCAGGAACCGGTTCCCCGAGGTGCCAGAGGCAGCATGCCAGCTGGTGTCCCTAGAAGGCCTGAGCCTCTACCACAATTGCCTGAGATGCCTGAACCCAGCCTTGGGGAATCTCACAG